AGCGTCAAGATGCGCCCAAGTTAGATGCAAGGTAGATACGACAGGTGCATGTACATAGTAGGTAGGTAAGGGTCAGCCGCCAACATGAAGAACAAGTACCATAACGTCAGGGTGGGCCCTCATGGAAACCTGTAATAGACGGAGACTGCCGTGCCGTATGTACTGCGATATGTATGAAAGCCCGAGGGAGCATGAGATAGGTACGGAGTTCAGACGAGCAGACGGCACAAGTGTCTCAGAACCATTGAGCCACTTTCAGGCAGGAGTGCTGGTGGTCCCTGAGATGAGCGACCTTGTGGGCTGTCTAACCGTTGCAAAAGTGAGATGGTGTGTCTTACAAGGGTATGCGTGTACGGGTACAAGGTAAACCACAGGCACTCCTGGAGAGTCTCACCGGCACTTCAACTACCTACCTATCTACCTACCTACATGTAGTACCTAGGTGTCTAGGTGTCTTAGTACAGTACTAGGAAATCAAGCAGGGCAACGAGCGATCTTGCACTAGACCCTCGCAAGCCTCGTCAAAGCTGGCAGCGATGCCGCGAATGCCCTCAAGCATCAGGCGTTGATGTCGGACGGACAGGGTTGGGAGCATGCCCATGTCCCTTTGAGGAGCAGCAGCGCATTGATCTGATACCAGCCAGCACCCTCACCCCTAGCAGCGGGCACTAAGGGTCAGCCGCAGTTGGGGCATGGAAGCACAGAAAAGGGATCCCCAGGCTTCGAGCAAGGATCCAACAGGAGCGGTACATGCAGCCCCATGAAGGCAAGGTAGCGCTACTTGTAAGGCCAACAATGATCGCGCAGCAAAGTGTGCTCAACGCTAAAACAAAGTACAAGTACTGGGGTAGGTGTAAGGAAGAGTACCCGGCAGAGATGCTTGTAGGTGGACCGAAGCTTGTGGGCGTGGGGAACGGAGGCGTGGGGCCTGTCCAAGAGTCGTCAGAGTCGAGAGCCGCGGCTCCAAGCCTCCCGGTTCTACGGAATGATGGCTGGCTTGTTTGGGGGGGAGAGGGCTGAGGAGTAATAAGGATGGCTGAGGCGGACGGAGTACAGTATGGCTAGCGGTGGTAGGATAAAGGTCCAAGGATGCGAAAGCCATGGCATGAAATGCACTCGGATGAAATAAAATGAAATGAAGTATTGTAAAATGAGACACATACTCGTACTTGTAGGACAAGGCCAAGTGAGGGTGTGGTGAGGCCCAGAGGTGCGTTGCAGTGGCTGAGGACCTGCAGGACTATGCGCAGTTACGGAGCCCATGATGCAGGCGCCGCTGGACGAATCAGCATTGGAGAAGAGAGGCGGATCGACCCAGAGAGACGACAGGCTTGGGAGACGGAGGAGGGATGCCACATGCAGGCGAGGGTGTACTTGTTGTGTGCATGTAGGTATGCGTGTCAGGTCTGCTACCAGCTCGGCATCTCATTAGCTGGGCGGGTTGAGTTTGATATCAAATACTTGATTATCAGCTCTTCTGCTTGCATGGCGAGTGTCTGGATGTAATCAGAGCCCCAGGGGGCGTACTCGTACGGGCGTGTGGCTTGTCTCACTGCTGTTTGCTCCCAAATCCATGCAAGGACGTCCAACAGAGCGGCCGGGGATGGAGTGCCCGGTGTTGGGGCTGTTGGCTGTTGGTCATCAACAGGCTGCTTTGCACAAGCCGTCCCACCCCATTGAAGCCACCCAGCGTTGATGCAGGCCCAAGGTAGCCTGTGCTGGTGGTACGCATGAAGTAGTATGTAGTAACCTGCTGTCGAGGGATTACGGGACAGTAGGTACATGTAGTGTTTGAGGCTTTCGAGATACCCTGTCTGCCTTGAAGAGCGAGGCATTCGGTATCTAGGCCCACGGTGACCGACGTTGAGCTCCGTGATGGTGCCGGACATGAAGAAGCCCGCCGGTAGGGGGTTTCTCCGGACCCTTCGACGACGAGAGCCGACTGTTCAAGAGCAAAATTTGCATGGCGACAGGTTCTTATCACAGTAGTCCTCGTACGAGTAAGGCAAGGTATTGCTTGTGCCATTAGTAGGAGAGCGGCCCGAACAAGTTGAGATTGATGGCCTTCCGGCAGTGGCCTCAGTGTGGCCTAGGTAGGCACTACGGTAGGTACTTGTACGTACTAAAGGGTACTAAGGAGGGCCGCACGGGACGGATTTAGCGCAAGGAGCAGAGGCAAGGTAGCGGTACCGCCTTGGCGCCGATGTGCCGCGTACTGCAGTACCTCATGCCTGCAGCAGTACGGCGCAACAGCGCTGCCAACACCCAGTCACAGCCCGGCATCCGCATCAGCCTCCGTATCTCTACCTCTGCAGGCGGACCGAGTACACACCCGCAGCGCAGGCGCGGGTAGCCCCTACTTCATGTTGTAAGCCCAGCAGCAAGCCCCAATGGAAAGACGGCGGCAGCTCCTGCATCTTGGGTGCTTCTGGATCCACGCCACACACCACCCAAATCTTTCCTGGTACTGTAACACTGAGGTGCCAAAGGCTGGCCTGGGACTCGCTGCCCATGTCCTCAACCAAATTTTTTCTCTGCCTCAACACTCTGCCCCTATGGTCTCCTCTTCGCCTTGCCCGGCTGTGCTTCGTCTCGCCACAATTCGTCCCTTATCAGCTCGTGCTCGATTGCCCCTGTGATTGTGTCTGTGCCTGCACGACGTCAGGGCTGGGGCCGAGCCGCCAGCATCGACAGACCCGCAGACAGCATCACACCAGTTCCAGAGCACCGGAGAGTGCCTCAGCCTGAGCCCGAGCCCGAAACAGCGCCACAAAGACAAAGCACAGCACAACCGGACGGCCACGGGCAGAACAGCAGCAACCACAGGCATCCCCGCGACCAGGGATTGGGAGCACGAGCGAGAGCAGCCAGGCCAGGCCAGGCCAGGGCGGAAGACCAAGGAAGACTGGAGAAGAGACAGACAGCCCTGCCTGGGTCCAGCGTCGACCAGCAACTGACCTCGAGGTCCGCTTCGAACCTCCACTGCCCGCCGCGTCTTCCTTCGTCTGCTGCTACCGAACGGCTAGCCTCAACTCTCCCTCCACTTGACCTGCTCAGGCCTCGGGGCTCATTTGCTCTAGCGCCAAGCCATCCAGCAAATCATCGGTGTCTGGTCGAGGCAGAGCATTCATACCTTGCCTTACCTTGGCCTCTGCCGTGCTTGTTATTCGCACTCCTCTGCCGGCCGCTGCTGCTTGGTCCCAGCTTCTCGGGATCCCGTTCGCCGCTTCGTCTCTGCCGTCCCTCCCTCTGCTTTCTCACATCTCATCTCTCGTCCCATCGCTGCGCCGTGTCTCGCTCCCTCGCTTTTTCGCCCCCCCTCCCAAGACCGGGTCGACTCAACCGCTCCTTTCTCTTGCGCTTTTGCTCCACCAAACTCAACCCAATCTCAATCATATCTTCATCCATCGCCCATTCCAATTAGCTTTCACGCCAGCCTTGGTGGCCGTCGACTCCAGCACCAACGGAATCAAAAAAGGGAGACGAAGGCAAAGACCCAACCTTTTACCAACTTGGCAGCCCTTGCCTCTTCGTTGCTGGCTAGTAGGGGAGGCAGGCCATTGATCCCGGGCTCGCGTCAATCCACCAAGCCCCAAAGAGCCCTAGAAGCTCGCGACACTTGTCATTGAACCAACACGACTCTCAACCGCCGTCTGTCGATTCTCACTTCGGCATTCGTCGACCTCCTCCCTCCAGCCGCTGGTCCACTCCGGACCCGAGCTTCGCGCCAGTCTTAAAGGGCTAGCCGTCCTCGCCCCCCCTTCTCCAGTCCGCCGAACGACAGTCTCAACCTCAACCCTGGGAGTCGTGATAATTTTCTATACCGCCCTTCTCCGCTCTCTCAGCCGTCACTCGCTTGTGTCTTCCAACCGGAGCTGTCCACGCTGCCGCCTGGGACGATTACGCCCTTGCCTGTCGCTGCATTCGTGCTGCAAATTGGTTGCTCCGGTGGCTCAGGTGACCCTGGTCGAGGACTTCTACCTCTTTCAAGGAGCCTCGTGAGAGTTGATACAGCAGCTGCCCTCGACAGGTCACACAAACACATGGGATCGTCGCTTATTCTGACCTACGGCAGCTGCGCGGCAACCCACCCGTACCACAGGCATCGGTATCTGTGTCACCTCCTTGACATCTCGGCCAGTTGAATTTCTGATGTAAGTTGCCATCTGCCTTGTTGTTGTTCGTCTGGCTGCCCTACACCATCTTGCCCGCCTGCTCGGCTCCCATCTACTCCTTGATTTATCTTTCCATCTTGTCTTACTGCCATGATGCGCGTTGAAAGGCGCCATGCATGCCATCGTGTCCGGCCAGGATATGAATGCTGTGCTCAGTCAGCCGTCTTCCTTTTTGGAAGCCAATCAGCAAGGTTGAACTGTCTTTCTCTTTCCTTGCCATCATCAACCCTTGCGGCAGATGTTTATGTCTCTCGCCCCTTGCCTTGAAGTGGGCACCTCCCCGCGATTTCAAGCTGTTACACTCTTCCCCCCCTTCGGCCTCTTCTGTCGCCTTCTACCGCCCTTGGACTTCTATTTCGGTAGAAGTGCCACTTGTTCCTTGCCCAAGACATCCTCACGCGTTATACTGTACTTAACAAGCAGGGTCTCGCTCCACTCCTTGTTATAACACCATCACATGCGCTTCTTCTTTTCAAAAAAACGGCTTGGGATTAACAAACTTGTTGTAATTAGCTATCTAACATCTCCTTGACCGGCTCAAAATCACCGGCTATAACTACTGACCCTTCCTCTCCCCTTCCCCCTTCCTGGACCCCTTGGCACTGGACTCTGGAACATCCGCCTGGAGCCCGCCACCTGCATTCCCAAGGATTGACCCGCCCCTCCCGTTGGCCCTCATAACCTTCGCCATTACTCACTATAAACGCCATGTCTCGAAACGCTCCCAACGGGTGTGTTCCACCCTCCCAAGCTACTGCTCCGCCTTCGCCAGCCACAAGTCTGCGACTAACAGTTGGGGAACCGGTCAGCGAGCCGGCCACTGAATCCGGGGAGAGAGTTCTCCAGGATGGGTTCTGGGAGCACGGTCGCTTTTATGGTTCTTGGAAGCCTGGGAAATACCTTTTCCCCATAGACAAGGTTTGTCTCTTTGTAGCGTCAATACCCTCCGCGCCTGTTCGTACAACTAACAACATCACCAGGAGGAGCTCAATAGGTTAGATGTCTTTCACAAGTATTTCCTCGTTGCAAGAGACGAGAAAGTCACTTCAACTCCCCTGAGGAAAGATGGACGGCCGAAAATCATGGATCTCGGCACAGGCACGGGCATCTGGGCGTATAATGTTGTGGAAGAGTAAGTTATTATAGAGGTAGTTTCACACTACGCTGTGCCAGTTGCTCACATTTTTCAGGTATGCCAAGGATGCCGAAATCATGGCCGTGGATCTCAATCAAATTCAACCAGCTCTGTAAGTTGTGAGCTTTCAATCGCTTGACCTTTTTTTTTTTTTTTTTTTTCAAACGCTAATGCATTTGCTGAATAGCATTCCTCGAGGTGTAACAACCAAGCAGTTTGACATTGAAGAGCCCTCGTGGGATCCACTGCTTCGGGACTGCGAATTGATCCATATGCGATTGCTATACGGCAGCATAAGAGATGACAAGTGGCCCCATGTCTACCGCAAGGCCTTTGAGTGCGTAACTCGTGTAACCAACAACCTGCTCCGTTTCTGACGTTCGTTTACAGGCACTTGGCCCCTGGCATTGGCTATATCGAGCAACTGGAGATTGACTGGATGCCGCGATGGGAGAATGAGGATCTCCCCAGACATTCGGCTCTTCAAGAATGGGCTCAGCTATTCCAACGTGCCATGCATCGCTACCACCGCAGCGTCACGGTATCAGGCGAGGCTACCAGACGCAGAATGGAAGCGGCTGGCTTTACAGATTTCTCCGAAACAACGATCCGGTGCTACGTAAACCCGTGGTCTCCCGATCGCCATCAGCGGGAGTGTGCCCGTTGGTTCAACCTCGCCTTCAGCCTCGGCCTTGAGGCCATGAGCATGATGCCAATGATTGACAAACTCGGCATGACCAAGGACGATATCGTCGACCTCTGTAGCAGAGCCAAGAAGGAGATGTGCATTCTGCGGTACCGCGCCTATTGCACTCTGTAAGCCGCCCGCCCCCCTGACAAACACAATTTGCCGGAGCCACAACTAATCACGCTTGCAGACACATTTGGACAGCCAGAAAACCGAACGAAGATGAGTCTCAAACTTTCAAAGAAAGAGACTCCGATACGCAGCCATCTAGAAGAGAGGAATCCTCTGCTTAAGACGCCATGGTCGCCAATAGATCGGATAGAGAAGAGAAACAGCATCCTTGCGTCCACATAATACAAACGGCGACCGGCAGGGATGCGAGAGCCAGCGTTCTGCGGCTTGTCCTGTTTTCGAAGCTACAGAAGCCCACCGTGCTATGTGAGCTACCGCTTCATATATGATCGTCGCCGACGCTGAACAATGTCATGCAACCATCACCAAGATTCTCATACAGGTATAGACGAAGCCTATTCAAGAACGAGAAGTATGCGAGGTGTGGATACTTTGGCTCTGTCTCATTCGAATGAAGCACTGCTAGTGGGTTCATGGCCGGATATATGATCTCTCGTCTTCGTTCTTTACGCTCTTGACGATATGATGCCCGACAAAGGCCAGCCCGTTTGGTTACAATGAAAGATGACCTTGGGCTTAGACCTACTCCTCTTCTCTCCCTCTTCCTTCATCCTTTCTCTTCCCCTTGATCCCGAGGACTTATCACATGACGACGAAGAACGGGGAAACTCTGATGGCTAGAAGCATTGTAGGGACTTAGACGAAGGTGGGGAACAGGTGTACAGAAACATGTCGGCCAGAGTGTTATGGGACTCGGCCGTTGCAAACACGAAGAGATGGCGATAAGAGCCTGAATGGGGTTGGCGTTACAGGGGCATTGTGTATGGCTTTACTCTCTGCTGTCGATTGGATAGATCGTGTCTTTCGAACTTGAGGATGTTGACATCACTCGTGCTGGTTTTTCTGATTATGTTGTTGGTTAATCGCTTCTGCTAGCAGGGGCATCTCGGCAAGGGGTGGGCATGACCAAGAGATGCCGGAATCACCCCATTACGAAACACTACCCAAGCTGCTAAAACATCCCCATGTGGCCAGATGCAAAGGGAACGAAAAAAAGAAGAAGAGTAAAGAAAAAGCAAACAACACTTTGAAGATATACTATTAGGGCCCTTTGTATGATACACTTGAGACTGCCTCCTGCATGGTTTCATCTGGGACGCTGATGCATGGATACCAGCGCCATGTAACCCGGGACAAGGTCCCCTTAGGTTTGGGTAGTCTAGGTGGTAACCTAGGCCAGTAGACAGGGGAAGGGTATGGGGGCAGACCGGGCAAATCATTTCAGGGACGGGGCAGCAAACTACGAGTGAAAGATTGAGAGGCCGAGAGGAAACTTGATACGGGTGGAAAGAGTTTGCTTCTGTTCAAAGGGGGATGTTGTTGGAGAATGGAAAGCGTGAGTCTTTTGGTGAGAATGATGTTGTGATGTTGAGCTAGTCCGCCACTCAACTTTTGCTTGGTCAACACAGCCGTAGCATTGATAAGGCTACTTGCATGTGTCTGCGTGTTCTCTCTCGACATGAGGCGTATTATGTACAACGATTCGTGTTGCTTTACTTTGTGATATGTACTTGCTCCTCGTCCGGGGAGCCGGGAGCAGGGAGCAGGGAATGTGACATGTCTGGCTAAGGGGGGGGTTGATCGCTCGTACCAGGATACCAGGCCAAAGACGGGAGTGATAAAAACTGTACTACTACTACATGAATACTGATACTACTCTCTGCAAGGGCGTTGAAAGATCCCAGTCCAGAAAAGTGAGGTACAGAGTACAGGACAATGAGCATGCTACAACAGACAAAAAACAACAGACGAGAATGCCTTCTGGCCAGTCGGCTCGAGTCCATCAAGCCACCGGGTTCCACACATGCAACAGGGTCAATCTATGTACGAGAAAAGACGCGGCACGGGATTTCTAAGTGACTCGTCGGCAAGACTGGGCCGGCTGCTGGCTCAGGGACAAGGAGGCAAAAAGAAGGAGGTTGGTCTTGATCATCCGAAGGGTGAGTTGGTCGTGGATTAAGTAGCTGTTTGCTGCTGCTACTGTAGCAACAGATCAAGTCTCTGGTGTACATGGTATGTGTGTGTGTGTGTTCTCCTGTGAATGCGTGACAAAGAAAAAGAAGAAAAAAAAGTCCAAAAACCAGATGCTCACACGCATACACGAGGGCCAAGGAGGAATCTCCCGATAACCAAGACCAAAAAAGAAACCCTTCCTCATCCATCCTGGCCCTCGCCCGCCACGCATTCTCCTTGCTTTTCGTCTCTGCCAACCAACTGGTCACACCCGATGATAACCCCTCGCTTCACCAGTCGGAGTTTGGTGACACCGACCATGTTTTCGTCTATTCCGGTCCTCTTTGTCTATCCGTACATGCCGTTTTTTGTTTTGCTTTTCTCTTGGTACATGTTATGTGAGTGCTGTGCGCGCGTTCGTCACCTCTGCTGCTTCCTCTCCAGGCTTCGTCTTCTACCATGGGGCTTGTTCCATGTTGCAGCGCCAGGCAAGCCTGGCCAAGGTCAGGCTAAATTACTCGACGCCCGAATGCTCTTTGATTTTGCGTTGAAACGGTAAAGGGGATACGACATTCGCAGACACGTTTAGTGGTGAGACGCGGTCTCTCCGCGGTAGCCCACCAGCTTGAATCGGCCAATCATCTCACCAACGGTGAAGAAGCCCAAGCACTCAGCAAAGACAACACCGCCGGTAACCAGCTGACCGGGAGTCAGGCTGCGGACCTGCTGGATGAGGTTCTGGGGAGACCTGAGGATGGCGCCGCTTCGGATGGACTGCCACAGGGACTGGTAGTAGCTCTGGAAGGTGGCGAGAGAACTGCGAATTAAACGGTTAGTGTCATGCGTCGTTGGGTACAGAGAAAGGCACATCGCTTACGGAGGGCTCATCTTCTGGGCGTGGAAGACAATCTTGCCCGTCTCGAGGGCGACCTTGCCGTAGTAGACGACCTGAGGAGTTTGCTCTATTCAAAGTCAAGCGCGGGTCAGCAATGCGCGACAGGACGTCTTCGGGACAGGGAAGCCGCCGTGACATACTCTCAATGAAGCTGATGAGCTTGCCGGTGCGCCCACCGACCTTGCTGAGCGCGCTGGTCAGGCCACGAGCAGCGCCGGCAATGGCAGGGCCAGCAGCACCCGCGACGCGCGACAGGCCCTGCGCAGCCTTTGCCTGGTACTCCTTGGCCTTGCCGGCGGTCTCCTTGGCGGCCTCAGTGGCCTTGTTGGCGGCCGAGCTCTCGAAGCGGCGGAAGGCAAGCTGGCGCAGAGCCGGCGAGCGGAGCATGGGGCGAGCAAGCGATGAGGGGGCCATGATGTCTTTTTTTTTCTGTTTTTCTCCTCTGCGGGAAACTGGCGGCTGGACCGGCGATGCTGGAAGAGCGATACAGGAGAGAGGCGGCGAGGAGGGATCCGGAGCGGCTCTAGGGAGAAGCGGCGGGTGTCGTCGAGGCTCGTCTCGGGGAGGCAGGGCGGAATCGCTGTCCGGAGCGCAATTGACGGGATTTTATGGAGTTGGATGTCCTGTATGAGGGAGAAAAAAAAGCTCGGGAGAATTCGTGAGGTCGCAAAGCCGAAAGGTGTGATGTGTGGGGGCTTGGCCCGAATTGGGAAAGTTGGAAGGCACGGCGGAGGCGAGCGCTTGCAGCTTCAGCAGGTTCAAGCTGGTTCCAATGAGTTCCCGGGCCGAAGGTATAGGTACCTGCTCCCAGCGCCGAGTTTCGTGCATTTTCAGGCACTGATGGCGTGCATGCGTTAGTACTGCTACCTCCTGACGTTATCGCATCATGGCCTCATCCGAGTAAACGGAAGGAGCGCTTGAAATATCATGCTTCAAGCATTTCTCTTTAGACATCTTATATTCTTCACCTTTCTTCCTCTTGTTTTTTTTTTCTCTCCCTTCTCATTTTCCATCTTTCATTGTTCTCTGTTGATCTGGATGACTGGTTTCTCAAGTCATACCTACCTATTTGGTAGTCTCATCTCTCATAGGTATGGATCGCATCTTGTCATTTCTGGAAGCAGCAAAAATCAGGGGAAGAAAAGGGGGAAGAGCAGCCCCGGAAGTCATGAACAGGGAAAGATGGAATCATTGCACAAAAGGCAAACACTTATGCTTTGCAAACCATTACAGCCAACTCCCTATCCGCCCGATTCTTGCGCCCGCAGTCTTTCCATCTTCATCATCTATCTATTATCTACCTCTACCTGGTAGCACCTCACTCTCAATCCAGGCTCTGAATCATGACCTTAATGGCGCCGCTCTTGGGATCTGCTGACGTCTCAAATGCCTTGACGGCATCCTCCAGCGGGAAGCGATGCGTCACAAATTTGGATAGATCGATGACACCGCTCTCGATGAGCCGGATGGCACGAGGCCAGGTGTTGCTGTAGCGATACTGCAGCTGGATATCGACCTCGCGTACACTGGCCCTCATAAAGGGAATGCTGATTTCATTCTTGCCGACGCCGATCACAAAGACCTTTCCTCCAAACTTGCTGGCCCAGATGGCCGCTGCAATGCTGCTCTCCACACCGGTGCACTCCAGGGTCACGGCTGGCTCGACGCCCCCAAAAGAGCTGACGATGCTTTTGGCCGTTTCCTCAGCCGACTTGCCAATCTCGATGCGGTGCGTGGTGACGCGGGGGCAGATCTCCTTTGCAAACGCCAGACGGCTCTCTGAAATGTCTGTGATGACAAGCGGGCAAGCACCGGCGGCAGCAGCGCACAGCATTGACACCAATCCAATCGGACCAGCGCCGCAGACCAGCACGGGGTCACCGAGCTGAACCTTGGCCCTCTGCATGCCGGCCAGAGCCACGCTCAGGGGCTCCAGCAGCGCGCCGTTCTCCCACGACATGTTGCCAATCTTGTGGCACCAAACGGCTGGGTGGTTGACGTAGCGTCGCAGCAGTCCGGGCACTGGCGGCGTGGATAGGAACTCGACCTTTTCGCAGCCGTTGTATCGACCTGTCAGGCAGGGCTCGCATGCGTTGCAGATGATGTTGGGCTCGATGGCAACCCGATCGCCGATTTGGAGGCTACTGACAGTCGGGTGGACGGCGATGACCTCGCCGGCAGACTCGTGGCCGAGGATGTGGTCGCCCTCGACGATCATGGGCCCAATGCAGCCGGCGTGCCAGAAATGGACATCTGAACTATTCGTATTTCGTTCAGCATGCTGCTCCTCTGCGCTTGCGCTCTGTGGACAGAAGCGTTATACATACCCACAGATACCAGTGCTGCGGACAGCAATGGTCACCTCGCCGGGCTTCAGATCAGCGCCAGATTTGACGGCATCGGCGCTGGGTTCAGCTTCGCTAATCCAGAGGTCATGTTTTGGATTTGTGAAGACGCCAATGTTGGGCTTGACTGAGATGGCTGCCCCTGTGGCCTTGGGAGCGTCATCGACTGCGGAAGGCGACATGGCGAGCTGTGAATGCGCGCGGTCTCCGGCGAACAAGGCGTTTGAGGGTTGGGAGGGATGACGCGTTTGGAGATCAACCACAATACCGGAGCAGAGGGAGTGTATGTATGCTTATATACGCTCTCTTCTCTGCTTTTGATCTTCTGTTCCAGGCCTTCTTGGGGTCCAGAATGGTAATGACGGCTATAAAAGGTAAGGCAGCTGATACCAAGTCCACCTCCAAGAGCTCCTTCATCCCCTCTCCGTCCCCTCTCCGTCCCCATGCGATGATGATGTGGGGGTTTTTATCGATTCTCCGCCTCTGCTGCGAGCATCCCCGACTGACAAAATGCTTGACTGTGCCTCGCACTTTGCAAGTTCCGCATGGAACAAGTGGCTCGTTGCCCAATTGTATCCCAGTTGATCCCCAACCCGGTGCGATATTCCACCCGGAAATGCCCAAGCGCAGCCGTCCGGGGCCGTTTAGACGGAGACCGATCCTGACCCGCGCCAATCACGGCGATGGGGAACAAGCGTGTCGAAACCGCCACCATACACACTTGTGGACCGAGAGAATTGGACGTATTCAGGCAACCTTTTCCGCTCTGTCTGTGACGAGATGTTGCCCAGTTATTACATTGCATCTGCCGGTGAGAAACGGACTGGAGTTGGATTGAAAACAAGTGCATCGGGATAACACACCGATTTACTAGATGCAATTTATCCTGCCGGGGCTCATTAATACGCACCAACATACATGGGTAGATCACACCAAGCCTTCGACTAAACAAATTGCCCCGGCATCAGTTGAGTATCGCTACAGATTTTTGAAAGCCTTCGGCTTAAAGCTGGAGTTTCCGTAGCCGGCGTCATATTCTTCCCACCAGTCAGTCATTCACCTCTGTTCTTGTGTTCTCCTCCTCCTCCTCCTCCTCTCCCCCACACTGGGCTCGACGTCAGAAAAGGCCCCATGTCGAAGCTCGAACTGTGACTGGCACGGATATATACTCGGTGGATCCTTGTTCATGGTCTTGATTTTAGGCATGTTCCATTTCCACGGATTACCACGACATGCTCACATGCAGCCTTGCTTACCAGATGTGGCTACGGTCACTTGAGATTCATTCTGAAACCCAAGGTGCACACATGAGCTCTCGATATTGCTAGATTCTCCTTGGCCGGTTCCCTTTCGGCACCGCGGTGTTTCGGCGTGGTCCGTTGTCGGTGCGAACCTCCTACAATTTCATAGCTGGACTGCCGGGCTTTGCCGATAGCGTTGAGGTGTTCTTCAAACTGAGTGACTTGAGTTTTTGGGGAGCAATAATCCTCGATGCCCCGTAATCATAAATTCGAGTTGTAAAAGAAGACAAATAAGAGGATAAAAAGAAGGGAGATAAAAAAGAGATAAAGGCAAAAAGAAAATTCTATGCGTGAACTGGGAATCGAACCCAGGGCTCCCCGACGTTGCTCGGATGGCAACGGAGAATTTTACCACTAAACCATTCACGCTACTTCTTGTTGAAGACCTTGATTGATAATTACGTATATCCGGCTTGGTGCCACTTGCTAGAAAGCCATGAAACACCAGGGTAAGCTTGGTGCTGAAAGGGACTACTACGAAGCGAACAGACATACAAACAACCCGGCAGTGCGTGAGCATTGCAATCTGCGAACAGGTGCAGCCATTTGATTCTTAGGAAATGCACGCAATGTATTATGAGGACCGAAGACTCAGCAAGCAAGACGATACCCATTCAGTGTAAGTTCCTCCCTTCAACCACCCCTTTCTTTCCCCCTTTTGTCTTGTTCCCCCTAGTGGTCTTATAGAGAGCCCGTACGATGTGTGCAGCTTTTGTTCTATCTCTGGAATAGACCCCCAATTTACCGTTGATAGAGTGTGGAACATATATCTAGACATAATCATTGATCGCTGTTCTGCTTCCATGATCATGAAGGCAATTACTAGTCCTCAGGCACTGGCGTCTGTAATCAATGGGAGCCGAGTGTCGTATCTGAGCTCTTAAGCCCGACTTTCTTCTCTATGATGATGCCCTCCGTAGTAGCTAAAGAAAATATTTTTCTGATCTGCTACTACTGAAACTTCAAGCTAAACAGAGTCCTCATTTCAGACACGATTCATGTATCTGTAAGACCCATCACAAGCGTCATGTCCAAGCACATTAGCATCCACGCCCAGATTCCACACCCTGACAACGATCCAGTTGCTACCCCTTATCGAGATGCCCAGAGATGCCCGGCAAGAGGACGTCATTCTCCTGCCGGCACTTTACATGCGCTAAATCGATTATTATCTTGGCTTGCTTGCCGGTTTGCATGAACTCCTTTGTCATGCCAGCTTGCATTTCCTCCCGTTTCCCCCGCATTGCTCGAATCACGCGTAATTAGACATGGCCGACGAACTCGTGTCTATTTGCCGTTTTCGTCCCTTGCAAGCTCCTTTCCCGCGTAAAGAGACGACATCCACGATCTGGTGGTAACTCCTTTAACCACTTGGGCCACGGAGCTCTCACTTGCCAGACACACACTTTGAACGCGAGACGTTTATGACTGGGTCAGTAGTTTTCTGTATTAAATTCGGCCAGCTCTACCCGTATTGACTTGGTGAGGGCTTAAAGCACTATAAATCACCACGCTCGACCATCCGACTCCTGTCATTTTCCATATGTACGCCGGTGCCGCATTCTTCCCAAAACGCCAGTCCAAAGATATGCTCTGCTCTTCATATCGCCATGGTTCCCTTGAATGGCCTCAAAGTGTTGGCCGTCATGTTGAGTAATTATTGAAACGACGTGTTTGCGAACGACGCCTGGTGCTTCCCAGAAGTAATATCATGCGTCTCAGTATCCGACAGAGACGACAACGTCGCCTTTGCATTGCCCGTAGGAGCAACAGATCGATGGGTCCATGTCACCTCGGAGGATGGCATCCACCATTGCCTGTGAAAGAAAATAGTCAGTAACCGATCATTTGACGAAACCTTTGGCGTCAAGTTCTCACGTCTGGACACGGCCCAGAAGGACCAACAGGTGCTGAAGCAGCAAGCAAGGCCTGCGTTATGGCGAAGCCTGCCCATACAAGTACCGACCTCATGATGGAGATCGTAAAGGGATGGCTTGGAGATATATGCTTCAAGTTCGACGCTGGAGGAGAAATCGTCACCGAGTCTCCGTGGGTGAGACGTCTTGGAAGATGGAGACTGAGGTGAAGGATTCGGAGAAGAGGCAGAATGGAGCCGATCCGATTCCTCGGTCGCCCAAAAGTCGAAGAAAGTCAAATAGGGTTTCCAGTCAGACCGCGTGCAACGGAAAGGGTCGTCTGCGTTGGGAGGCGGTGGGAGGAAACTTGGGCCCTGGACGCCACACCTTGTTCCTGAACGATCTGCGAGAGTCCCTCTTAAATGGATATCCGCTTCTGGAGGGCCCTGTATTATGTAGTATAGGTATGTCCGCGTAGAAGAATTTGCAGCGTTATCGGGCGGGATCCATCAATTCGCTACCTGTACCCTGCAATATTAGCATCTCAGTCTCTCTGGTAACTCTCTATCCATGTGATGTTTACCGTAGTGCTTGTCTGTCCTCGGTAGGTATCAAACAGCCGTTGGCTTCTCCTTGGTGATACAAGAACTCCGTGCCGAGCATCCAGAGGTACAGACGGAGCAGGGAGGTGCTACCAAGAAGACAGTTATACACAAGTTGGTAACGCAATGAAGTGTCGAAGCGGGACAGAGATGCCGTTGAGCAGGACAAACATGGCGCTTTTGTGCATCCGCGGGAGGAGGGCGGGCGTCATATTGGTGCTTCGTACCTTCAACTATCGCGAATCCACTTCCCGTCAAAACTTTGCGTCACAATAGCAGCAATTGCTTGCTAGATCTGCCAAGAAGGCGCTATCGTGGGCTTCTGAATACGAGATGATTCTTGCGGCCGGCGTGAGAAAAGGGACCCTTGCCCGGCTTTGCTGCCCTGACTGCGCAGGCAAGGCAAGGTAGGCATGTACGTTCAATACTTACTCGTGCCCGTCCCTGTACCCCTGTCGCGCAAGCTGTTTCTCTGCACCTCGCTTGACGAATCGTGCTAGATGGCGGTGATGAGAGACATTATAGGGATCATTTGTGCTTCTGCATGTAATATGGAATGTCGAAATTCATGACGAGGATATTTGAATTGAATGCCTTCGATCTCTGTCATTGTCAAGGCAAGTACTAGGTACCTATTGCCCAAAAATTCTGCCGCGTGAATGAGGCAGGTGTCAAGGCGGTGGGCGGTGTCTCTATCGTGGCTGCCGCATTGTGTCGACAAACCGTGATAGTGGACCTCTGGAGGGAAATTTCTAGCCCTTCCTGTTCTTCTCTCACGTTCTCTCTCCTCATCGCCAGCAGCTGAAAGCAAGACTGCCAACATTGAATACATACACCTCACCACTTTTCATGTCTTCCCCTCCATTCTTCAGAAGCAAGGAAAAGGCCTCCCTCTTTCGCTTGCTGAGAGACATGTCGTTTCAGCTGCCTCGTGTTTTGTCGCGTCAGCACGTCCTCGGAGAAATTGGTCTCACTCCCCTCCATCAACCGCCTTTTCGCCTTTGAACCAGCAATGGATCTCTCAACGACTGCTGAACGGCCTCTTACCCCCGCCGGACATACCTGGTGCTTCCTCTTGGCCCAGGCTGAACCCTGATTATGACGACACAGCCGTTGCTGTCACAGCTCCTAAGCAAGGGCCCTGGTCTCCGTCTTCGCAGAAGCTCCATAGAAAGCCCACATACGCCATCCAACTGTTCAGCACGGCACTGCCATTCCCCTCTCACAACGGCGTTAGCCAAGGAGTGACCCGGAAGCATTCGGCCGAGGCCTGTCAGTCGTTGGGCTTCTCTGGCTCCTTACTGTCTGACTGAATGGCCGGGGGATCAAGGAGTATTACTCGTACGGGTTACTACTATCTACTGTACGAGTCCCAGCCCAGCATCGAGAAGCCGTGTTGTGATATGTATGTACTTCGCACGGAGTGCCCGTGTTACCTATTACGCGATAAAGGCATTTCTTGCAAGCCATGATGATATCCTGACATTTGCTTTCTTATAACCAGGAACAGCTTATTACTTCAGGCTCCAGGCCTCAAGCCCTACGCCTGCGATTACTATAGTCGCCATGCCACCGTCGAAGTCGCCGACTGCTGCGATGTCTCCCGCGTCCGCCACACCGATGCAATCCCCCCTGATCAGCTCGACGTTTCCATCCTCGCCGCTGGGGATGCTCCAAAGCTTCACTCGCTGATCGTTGCTTACGCTTATTCCGACGACTCCCGTTCGCCGACGGATCAGTAGGACGCCTGCGATGGCTGCGGCGTGGGCTCTGCGCACAATGTTTCGCCTCGAAAACGCCCAGCTTGCACTGCCTGTGCTGCCCGAGGTCCCACCGAGCCATGTTACAGCTACGCTGTTGTCGTCGCCACCAGTGAAGACCTGATAACCTTCTCCTGAATCGATCAAATCTAGGCTCTTGATGCTGTTCTGGTGCAACGGCACCGCCTGCTCCAGGACGTACTCGCGCATGGCCCCTTCCTGTGGCTCGGTCCGCCATAAGGCAAGGTGGCCATCCGTGGATGCTGTGAGCAGTTGTGGGAGTTGATCGCGCATGCTGAGATGGCGCGTTTGGGTGATGCATGCACCTGTGTATCTACCCTTGGCAAGGAGTTCAAATCGGCCGCCGTCGCTTGTATAGCGATATGTCTTGAGCACCGAGTTTGAGAAGCCCATGGACACTATCATGCTGCTTCCATCATCAGACTGGCAGACGTCAAAATCCATGATGCGGAGATCTGCATCCTCGCTTTTGTCTGTGAAGACGCCCTCACACATGACTGCCAACCCCGTGTAATCCGACTCCAGGCTCTGCACTTTCCATACGAAGAATTCCTCGTTGCCAGCGCTGCTAAAAAGATAGTCGTCGCCCAGCCAAACAACCTTTTGGAGCCCCGTGATGTGCGCTTTCATAGCTGCGACGCACCGCAGCTCCGCTTGGGCGCCGTCTGCAATTTGCAGATACTCCCAGATGCGAATGGTGGTATCCTCGGCACCAGTCGCGATATAACGACCATTGGAACTCAAGCTTCGAATCTCCCTGCCGTGGATCCCAGCCTTGACCCACTCATGCGCCAAACGATCTGATGAGGAGATGGAGAGCTTGGAGGTCTTGGTGAAGGCGAAACGATACCGTCCAGGTATTGTTTCGCTAAATGTCAGCTGGAACGTTCGGTGGGCACCGCCGCACTCAATGGTTGCCAGTTCTTCTCGGCGTGTCTCGTTCCAAATGACAAAGTCTTTACTCCTGAAGCCATATAGAACGAGTTCAGGCACAGTGTCCTGGGTAAACCATGCGCCGGCGATCATAGGTCCAAAGGGCGGCGAGGTTTCGTGCCGCAAGTGAAGGAACATGAAATCTGATTGCCGATCCAGCTCGTATATCCTGTACTTTCCGTCTCGACTTGTGACGAGGATATAACGTGAGGCATGTGTCGAGCCTGGTTTGGGAGGGAGTGGGAGAATGGCCGTGATGGTATCACGGCTTCGTGTCGCGATGTCTAGGATCGAGTGGTACATTCCATCCTCTTGTCGATCTAGGACGGATAGGAAGCCATGCCGAGACCCGATGACGAGCAGGTCATTCAATTTTCCAGCTGCTGTAGGGACAAACCTGGGGTCGAGCCCTTTGGTCTGCCCCTGGGTGTGGACATGTCCCGTTGAGACATTGATTGCAAAGTAGTGAGACTCTGCCCTTCCATGGAGGTAGATCAATACCTCGACCACTCCATCCCTACTTGATAGACGGTTCACTTCGATGATCTTGCCCGGCACAGAGGCGATGTGTGTTATACTCTGGGTGGGGAGATGAAAGTGGTAGATGTTCCCACTCGTTGTGCCCAGCAGAGCTGCTGTGGGGGCAATTGCCTTGACGACATAGCAAAGCTTGACATCGTCTCGCAGGTCGTGGGGGACCTCAATCTGCTCCCATTCTGGATCAACGTGAGGCTCTTTCAGATGGCCAAGGAGTAGCCTGCCTTGGCTGGTTGAGACGAGAATGTGATCATACGAGAGGAAGTCGTAGCGGCTGATGATCTCTTTTGCAGCCGTGTTTGAGGACCCCGGATGGTCTAGACCTTTGAGAATGTCGACGGTATCCAATGTCAGTAATTGACCAAGACTATCTGAAGTCTGACTGAGTACTAGACTGGACTCGTCAATGAGGCAGATCTGACTATCGGCGCCACCGGTAGCGACAAACGCGGCCTTGTCTTCGAGCAGCACGGCTCTCGACCAGAGATGCTTGCCGCTATGCAGAGAGAATGTCTTGCTGTGAGACAGCTTCCCTGTCAGAAGTCTCGAGCTGCTGCAATCAGCCTCCTGAGCCGCTGTTGCGTGGCTCAACCTCAGATGCCATCTCTGCATCGTCGCATCTTCGCCAAAGGAGTACACCGACAGGGCATCCTCTCCGTATGACGGGCCAAACTTTACGCCCCATATCCGTGAGGCGTGGCCCATGGCAGCAGCTATAGGGGCATTTTGTCGGCTGCGGCTCTGGGTATCGTCGTGGGCATCATTGAAGTCACTGCCACCGAAGCCTGTGTCGATGACTTGCGGTGCCTTAGGGGCATCCGAACGAGACGGTTTGTCCCCGCCTCGCTCAGTAATGTCCCATATGCGAATCGTCCTGTCGTCGCTGCAGCTGGCAAGTATGCGGGCTGAGCTCCCGTCGGAGAGCGTGACAGTGGACATGTCCACGCCAAAGATTGATCCCTCGTGGCCCTCAAAGTTGAAGAGCGTTTCTGTGGATGTTTGCTGCTGCTGCTGCTGCTGCTCTGCGAGACGGCATTTCCACACAACGACGTGGCCAAAGACTGTTCCGCCGGCGACTAGGACGGTGTCGTCTGCTATCCATGTGAGATGTGCAGAGTAGAGCATGGGTCTTGAAGGCGCAATGGCGGCGCCGAGGTGGATTTCTGCCGTGTCGGATGAGAATCTCAGGGGTATGACTTCGTTGTGAGCCGTGGCGAGGGCTCCCACGGAATCATCAGTTTCTGAAAAAGCGCCGTGAAAGATCCAATCGGGAGCCGTAGCCTTGGCAATCACACTGTCGTTCCCATCGCCGTCCACGACGCCATCATGCCCCTGCTGCTTGGTAAGACGCTCGACAGACAGGATAGCCACATGGCAGTGACCCCAGACCAGGACCCGTCCGTGCCGCACATGGATCCCGTGAATGGGCTGGTCCACGAAGACGCTCGTCCGAGAAAGCAGACGTCCCTTTAGCAGCCCCGTCTTGGCTTCGTAGACAACGAGGTCGGAGTCTTCGCCGGCGAAGACGAGGAGCTGGCCGGAGGGTGAGCGGGATAGGGCGAGGGCTGTGATGGGGACGTGGGAGAGGTCCCTTGTGAGACTGAGTTGGTTTGTTGTCTAGGTATGGTGTTGATTAGCTATAGTGCTTGCCTAGATGAATGATGATAATCTTGATGGATGAGTTGATGCGTGACGATTGAAACGTGTGCTTGAAGTGGCATGAGTCGAAGGAGGGGCAGCTATAAAATGCTGTCTTTAGGTAGGTATGAACAACTCACATGAACCATGGTGATGTTCTCTCTCACAACTTGGAGGGGGAGAGAGTCTTGGTGGACGGTTACTTAGAGAGCCAAGGGCTCAGTCAAACATATCTGCTTAACAAGCATTCGGGATTAGAGCTGACTGGAGCGGATACTTGTAAGGTATTCACTACAAAATGGCGGCGGTGTTGCGGTGCGGTTGAAATTGTGGTGCCCAGAAAAAAATTTGTGCATGCGCCATCAAAGTACCGCTCCATAGAAGACTGCGTGGATGGCTACCTCACCGCCAGCACATGTGAGCCAGAGCTGTTGGGAGTTCAAGCCACCGGCACAACGTATCAGATGTTACAGATACCTATCGAAAGGTTGAGCTTTTAAAGGAGATGTTTTGAATATTTTCTTATCGTTCATTCATAAAAGAGGTATCCGCAATACTCTATGTCCAGGTACAGATTGTTCCCACCATCTTTGGGTATTCCAACTGCCAACCACCCGATACAAACTGTGCCACCCCCCGCCAATATCCATCCCATCTTCATAAGGTAGATGTAACCAAACGCCATGCAAAAGAATGTAGAAAGCAGAAAACACACATGCCGTCAGATAGATACCAAGTACTGCCTTCAGGTCGCCCGTGTATTCACATGATTTTGGGGAATGTTTCGAGGTTGAGCCGCAAAAGGCCACTTCCTCGCTGACTCTGGTAAATGACCAAGGTCGGGGTAGCCAATCGTCTAAGCTCGGTGAGAGTAGGGCTCGTAAGCAAGGTCAGAGCGGCCGGAGCCGGCGGCGAAGCGGGGGGCAGAAGAGGTGTAGCCGGTGTTCTCGCCCAGAGGTGCATAGCCACGGGCTCCGAATCCGCCGCCGGGCAGCAGCTTCTCGCCGTCGCTGATGGAGGAGTGCTTGTGGCTCTTCTGGCGCTTCTCGGGCGCGCAGCAGCAGATGGTGAAGATCCAGAAGAGGCTGGCGCCGATGCAGAAGGCGGCGCCGATCCAGATGACGGCGAGGAAGCGGCCGTCGAGGTGGACCTTGGCGCCGTAGAGAGACTTGGAGCCCTGGACGACGCCGGCGATGATGGCGACGGTGGCGGTGGACAGGGAGCAAGCGATGATGACGAGGATGGTGGTGACGACGGACTCGAACCACGTCAGGCACGAGACGGCGCGGGAGAAGTTGGAGAAGATGCCGATGAGCAGCTCCAGGCCGAGGCCGATGAGGGCGACGATGAAGGCCACCTCGGACCACTTGATGAGCTTCTGGAAGGCCTTGAGGGCGTCCTTGACATCCTTGGGCAGCTGGATGGTGGTGCCGCCCTCGGTGATGTCGCTGGCGTTGATCTGCTTCGAGGCCCAGTCGAACTGGCTCTTGGAGCACTCCCACTTCTTCTTGTCGTCGGAGGAGCAGGATCCCCAGAGCGTCAAGTCGTAGTACTTGTGCAGGCCGAGGGCCTCGGCGGTGATGTTGTCCGTCTGGATCTCCTTGATGTTGAACTCGGCCCGCGAGACGAGCGACTTGAAGCTCACTGGGCTGACGCTCAGGTCGCTCAGGTCGACCTGGATGAGCTTGAGGTTCTCGTGGGCGACGCCGGCGAGGACGGCGTAGAGCAGCGTGCCGATGGAGCCAATGGTGAGGAGCAGTGGCAGGGCCACGCAGAAGAACCGACCGGCACCCATTGCTGTCCTGTATTCCTGTTCCTGTTCCTCTTCTTCTTTTGTTTTTTCTTTCTTTTTTGTGTTTTGTTTATCGACAACGGCTCGGTCAGGCAGAGAGAGGGGTGGTTGTGCGTCTCTGGTGTAGAACGAGAGGGGCTGTGGTCGAGGTCTGGAGTCGACCTGTTGAGCAAAACGAAGGTCAGGCTGACACGCGCTCACACACACACAAGAAAGCCGGTGACAAAGACACGAGATAAACCAAGACTGGATGAGATGATGGGAATCAAACGAACAAACAAGAAAAGGCGGGAGAGTTGGGCACCAGGTGGTTTTAAAAAGCTGGGAGGCGGGCTGCCCTCCAGCGTCTGGTGCCAAAAGTCGCTGCGTGCTGACTGTGATGTGGACTTTTGCTGTGGACTTCCGTTGCCTGTTAGTGGTCGTTAGTGGGCTGCACGCTGCGGCGGGTGGGTGGCGCAGTTCCGTCACTGGGTGTGCCAGAGCCCTGCCCAGTGGGCAAAACAGCCCTGGAGTGCCTGTGGGCGAGGGGGTGGGGTGGATCCCGCTCAGTGGGCAGTGCGAGATTCAGCGCTGTCCCTGGGGACGATCCAAGCTGGTGCTGACTTGAGGTGTCGTTGGGAGGTACAGGTACTGACAAGTATTATCGCAACAACCATGCACTTTTTCTGCTTCTGGTCGCATTTTGGTGCTTACAGCTTGGAGTAAGAGTACGAGTAGCTAGCTGCTGGTCGATTCAGGCACAGCGCAGCAAGCAGGCATCGTGACTAATCTGCCCCAGCTCAGCGCCAGAAATAGAGCAGCAGCTATATTTGCTGCCCGGGGCCGTTGGGAAGGCTGGTGTCGTTGGTGCTGGTGTTGGTGCCGGTGTTGTGGTTGGTGTTGGTGCTACTATCTACGGGTACGGGAGTAGTAAGTGCTGATGAGGCTGGAGCGATTGCTGGGTTTCCCTGGTCGTGCCACGAATAGGTACATGTAGTTGCCCATGATGAATTGCCGGTCAAGCATCTGATGCGCGCAGATAGGAACGACAGCTTTCCGTGCTATTTTGGCTCAGACGGACCAGATAGAGCAGGGCTCCAGAACAAGAAGTTCCTGGAACTCTCAACATCTACAGGTGGTTGAGAGCGGCCGCGGCCTCCAAAGTGTGGACATGATAGTAATACAGTATTACTGTTGCTACCCTGCCTGGCCTGGTAATAGTATTAGGATCTCTTCCTGATCAAGCCGACCAACGAATCACTCCGTAATGTCAGGTACACAGACTTGTGCTTCTACACGATGATACTGTACATCGTTCTCCGTACCCCGCTAGCATCAGAAACATTGCGAGGCTTTGAAGCCCCAGCCCCGCGTCATAGCTCGACGATAACACGCGGCAATGCGGGTGGCTGGAGTTCAGCCGTGCGGCTTTGCGAACTAGACGAGGCGTCAATCCGTTCCGCTCCAGCGCTGTAATGATAACAGGAGTGTCTGGCTGTTGGATCTTCATCAACTTAATCTTGCGCAAAATATGGATAATAGTAGCACCAAATAACATACCTACCTACCTTACATGTATTTGCCTACATGTATGTATACATACCTATCGTACAGTATCGTACAGTAGCCGCAGTACAGTATTGAACCCTGAATCGTGCCGCCTTGTTTCGGTTGGTTGATGACTGGAGCTGCTGACGACAGCGGGTGACGGTTTGGGTGGTTCCTGGCGCTGATCAGAAACCCCCGAGCTTGACGAGCACGAGCTACCAGGCATTCTGACTGTGCGCGGAAATCGCTTCCGAGAAGAGCAGTGCACGACTCTATCCCGCCATGTTAGGTTGTACTACCTAGTAGTTCACAATGTATGTGCGTAGGTAGATAAGTATGTATGTAACACTACATAGAGCATGTACTGTAGAGCAAAAAGGGGGCAGCCCAAAGATGTCTTGCTGGCAATCTTATTTTTTATCTCAGCATCGAGAACTTGTGCAAACAGCCTCATCAGCCGCACAGTCTGTCATTCTCTGTCTCAATGGCTCTCCATATAGGGTGAGGAGGTATCGGATGCACCTCACACAAAATCCATCGCGTGCACTGCCCAAGAACTCTGGCTACTGCTAGGCGGGGCGCTAGTGACAGGCTGTGGGAGGCGGCGAATGGGAAAGCCATCCGTTCTATATTTAGCACATCGCCATCTTCGTGTGCTTGTGCGCTTGTGCCAAGCAGAAACGCGCAATGCCTCAGCCCACTGGCATGGATAGCTTATTTGGGGTGGCCATTTGATAAGCAGGCGCACAAGCAAGCAACAAGCGCATCGACTAAGAATGGATGCGAGTGCTGGGGAAGAAGAGACTTGGAGCGAGAATACCTCAGGTAGGTATGAGGTAGGTAGGTAATGGTACCTATCGATAAGGCTTTCCTTGCGAGTTGCTTTCAAGTGATATCAGTCGGAGCTACTGAGTTGCAGCTTCCCCGTTCTCTCCCTCTCCATTCCTCATAATCTCGCCTTCTATTGCTGTTGCATTTCGTCTTTCTCCATCTCTCCCAGATTTTGGCCTGATGGTCGCATGCTCATGTACCGTGGGCCAAACGCTGGTCTTACTGATGTGGACATCGGCCTCTACTGCATTGCGGCCTCTTTCGGCCTGATGAGTGAGTGGCTAACGCCTCTCTGCCTCTGCAGTCCGAAACTTGGCCATCACCACACCCGCCAGGTTATACGATATACTCAGCCCCTTGCCGCGTTTGCAACGCAAAGCACTCTTCTCATAGTTGGGACGAACAGCAGACGATGCAGTGGGTTCCTAGTGCAGTCTAGAACCGATCTCGAAGACAACCAGTTCTGTCACCGGGCGACAACGGCTTTGGCAGCGGCTGTTCGCTTGCATATTGCCCTTTCCTGATAACAAGTCGCCAAATCTCTTCCAATCTCCATCCACTCGAGGCTTTGGTAGTACGGTAGAGACGCAGTCAGCATGACACCTGCTTGAGTACTGCAGCTGGTCGACGTCTGGGACCCGTGATGGATTTAGCACTTCAATCACAGCGAACGACGAAACAGCAGCCGATTGGAGAGAACAAGTACGTCCTGGCTTGGCACCATCAGCCGGCCAGTATCTATCAAATTTCTTCGACAGGCGAGTCTGAATCAGAGCAAACGATGGACGGGCGAAAAGAGCGACACCTGATGCTGCTCGACATTCTTTCTTGGGGGCTGTTTTCTCCCATTCACATCGAGTCACGAGGGTTACTCAATGCCAAACGGGCAGAAACGGAAGCTCAGTCACGGCACGAGTGTCCTCCGAAGGATGCGGCAGACCACGGAGACTCGGCGGTTGGACGAGCCGGAACGATGGCCTGCCAATGAGGAGTGTTGTCGAGAGGAGGTGAGTGACCCCATCAAGGTTGAAGAGGTCTTTGCTGTCTTACTTCAATGAGGAGCACCATGGCCGTAGTACCCTTGTGTGATGAACGGAAAATTTCAAAGTTCCATGTGAGTTTGTGCTCCGTACGCGACTCTTTTGTGTTCTGTCGCTGAGTCATTTGGTGCTCGAGAAACAAAGAGAACGGAGGTTGGTGTTTCGTGTTCCTGGCGCCGAACATTGAGCCGCATGTCGTGCACGGCCAAGTGGTGTCACTCTGAGCCGCACATTCCAGGCAGAGAGAGGATGGGCCGGCGAAGCTGCCTAGCGCGAGTCGGTGATGTCCATGTTTACTTCGCCACAATTAGAGAAGCTGCATATCGGGGTCTCGACTGAGGTGGTGATGTGTATCGTATCAACAAGTCGGCGGTTAACCATGCAGCTATTCTCTCCTGGACAAGGGCGTCGCCGGTTTCTCAATCAACATGAGGCCAGAGATCCGCTGCGGCACCGGCACGTGTTGCGCTGAAGCTTGGCCTGGATGCTGGGCGTCTCAGCGGCACCCCGGGTCTCGTGGGGGCTGGGCTCGGTCTGCGAAAGCGCAACATGAAGCGCAGGGAGGCCGGACTGGGATTGGGCGCGCGGCCCCGGAGCCGTTCTAGGGTCACTAGGGCGAACGCTACAGCGCGCTCCGGGGGGCCCTGGGCTGGCTGTCAGCGCCCAAGCTGCCCAATGGCTGACCGGGGTGGCTCCCGACAGGACATCAAATCCAATGGATCCATGTGGATGGATGGAAGCTGAGAGCTCGAGGTGCTGGGTAGGTAGATAGCTTAGCATTGAAGAAGATATCGCCGCCGCCGTGGTCAGGTTTGTGTTGCTTCTTTGTTTCCCAAGGTCCTCGTTGTGCCATGGCTTGTTGGCTTGAAGAGCTTGGTTTCAGGAGGCCCTGCAGATACTTGGAAAGCAGCTTACCTCTTTGGACCTCGCATCGCTGCTCTGATCGATCCCAGAGCACTTCCACAGTATCATTAGCATCGTCATCTCTGGCATCAACCAACCTTGTTGCCATTCCGTCCAGTTCTGATCCCACCTGGGCAGCTCTTCAAGTTCAATGGATGTCTCTTCTGCGCCCGACAGGCCAAAGGCTCCGCCTCGCCGCATCCAGCCCAGCCCACCCACCCGAAAACCTCGCCGCCTCTCTCCCCATTCCGGAATCACACGCAGCATCTGGACCCTTTTCTGCCGTTCGACCCCCAAAGCAAAGAAAAACTTCGGAAGACATGTGAAACCTAATCGTGGGTCAAATCCCATCCGCTTTCCCTTTTCTTCCCCTTCAATTGTTTCTCCCCTGCCCAGCGGCTGTGTCACAAGGTCCCGGGCTGGAAAAGTCATCCGCATCTAGAATCCTTGGGTACTGTCGACCCCGCGGCTATTCACAGCCGGGCTTTTTTTTTTCGTGTCTTTGAGTTTTTGCTTGATTGTTCCGCTTCAGCCTCTCCGGCTTTTCCCTTTCCCTTTTCCCTTCCCCTTTTCTCTGCCCTTCAAGCATCGCCATTCTCGCAAGTATATGTAATATCAACGATCCAAGCTCAGGTATTTTGTTCCTCTGCCGACTGCAAAGACGGGCTCGAGCCAAGAAACCCGGATCGAAGAGCCAAACCTCCACCATCCATCCATCAGCGGATCGCGCCCCACCGGCCCAGTCAGAGCCCGATCCGCACGGTAGCATTTGATCCTGTCGATTCCCCTCCTGCTTCTTGCTTTTTCTGCTGCTCAATTTTTTCTTATCATCCTCCATTACTTGAATATCCTGCTTTTTCTCCCAGAAGCAAAAGCTGGTCAAGGTCTCGAAGAGCGGAAGGGGAAAGAATTACATAATATCGTCGTCGAAACAAGGCATTAAACCCCCCACCACCAGCCAGTACTATCGTCTTTGCTCCATCCGTCTACATATCCATTCAGTCATCCATCCATCCATCTATTTTATAGGTATCTGCAATACGAGTACCTACTACTACAGTACAGTACTGCCAAACTGCCCAACGAAACACACAACGACAAATCAGCAGCTTTACAGGCCTACTAACTGGGTATTGTCTGTCTGCTTCACGGCACTATAAACCCGGCCCTCGTTCTGCCCAGCTAGTCTGCGCGCGACGGCGTTAGCACGTATTTACAGTCGCCGCCGTCAGCTTTGCCGAGATAGGAGCTCCGTGTGAGCATCGCCACCCGGGTCCGTACATCTGCTCTGTCTGCCTGCTGCTGAGCTGAGGTGCCCATTCCAACCCATTTGACGTATGTATGTTGCTACCTCTTGTCACTTTTTTCTCCCCTCCATCCTCCCATCTCCCCTCCATCGTCCCGTCTCCCGCGATACTTTGGCCACGGCGAAATCGCACGCACTTGAAACAAGACATCTTCTGCCGCCGTCCCGAGACCTTGGCTCCCCCCTCTTTGCACGTCCGATCCATGTCTTGGAGGACCTGAGGCCCTGTCTCGAGCTGGCGCTGGATCTGCAAGGTACCCTTTCCCGTCAATTCCATCACCTTCCGCTTCATTTCTGCCGTGTCCGCGAGCCATCGAGACAGGCGGGCGACTGGTTGAAACGTGCCGCCTCGTTGCCGTCGTCGTCTTCTGCCTGGCTCGCGCTTCAACCTGTCGCAGGGCTGTTGGGTTGGTCTGTTCCGCCATAGCCGTGCTCCCGGGCTGCCTCAGTTCTGGGCTGGGTTGTTATCTCCAAGAAGACTCCCGGCTAGCCAGTCCGTTAGCCATCGTCCCATTGCCCAATCCCCAGCACCCTCTGACTCTTACTATCGAATCACACCCCGCCCATGCGCCTCTGCTGCAGTCCCGCGGATGCAGTACTAGAAGAAAAAACACACACACACACACCCTCATACACCTACACGCTTGCTCCGGATCGGCCGCGCTGATTCCCGCCTGTCTAGATTTTTTTTTCCCACCATCGTCTCTTCCCCTTGAACGGCCGAGACCATCTTCACATCTCCACCGTTCGCAACCCCCCCGGCCTGACTTTTGGCGGTTCCTGAGCCCGAGCGCAGTTTCCAGAGCTGCCGGTCTCGACCCAGAGTCACGAGCTACGACCACGACGTCATCCGCAGAGCTCCGGTAAGCTCCCTCAAGCTGGCCTGTCTTCCTAGGCGCTCGCCTAAGACAACCAAAACGGACGCTCCAAGGAGCCAGCGGTCCTCCTTCTTTACCGACCTCGGTCGACGATTCCATCCTCCCTAAGACGGGCTGGGATTGCCGCTAATCATAACTTGCAACACCTTCCTGCCTCCCCTACGACCACACGACCGTCATTCGCTACGGGGACGCGCGAGCTGTCGAGACGATAACAAACCCTCTGACGACGACCTGACGACCGGGTCTGCCAGCAAGGCACACAGACCCGAGCTTTCCCTGTCTCGCGACTCTCTTCCCTCTCCCTTCTGCCGAATTTTTTTCCTTTTCCTTGGCTGTCTGACAAGCACAGCCGACAGCCCCTCGCATCGCGGGCTCTCTCTGCTTCACCTCACACTCTCGCTCCGCTCCCAACCCACAATGGGCAACCAAACTTCCAAGGAGGGCGGCTCCTCTTCCAAGAACGGCGCCGGCTCCGGAGACGCTCTCCAGTCGTACCCTTCCTTCAGCAAGTCGGACACTAAAGACTCGACTCGGTCTTTTCGCGGGTTGCGGTCTAAAATCCCGGGGAGCGGCAAGACTGACAGCCCGAGGAACTCCATCGTGGCCAACGGCGACACGGGCGATGCCGCCTCGGTGCGGTCAGGCAAGAGTGGCCGCTCCAGCATCTCGCGTTCCGGCCGCAGCAGCGATACGATCCCGCTGAGGGGGAACTCGGTTGACCTGACGGCGGAGTCGCCCTCTCTAGACGACCAGATCCCCCCGCCGTCGCCCGTCTCCGAATCGGTCAAGAGCGGCACCCACGACGTAAGCGCCGCGCAAGCCTCGGGCGAGGTTGACCACGTTTCCGATCAGCCACCGTCGGCCAACGCCAGCCTCAACACGCATCTGCTGCCCCCGGGCCAGTCCATCCTGGTAAAGCGCGAAGATGCCCCCGTGAAGAAGCCGCCAAAGAAGCCCAAGAATGACACCATGGGCATGGACGAGATCAAAGAGATGGACCTTGATGACTACATCAAGCGCCTCCTCGACGCTGGATACGCCGGCAAGGTCACAAAGAGCGTATGCCTTAAGAATGCGGAGATCATGGCCATCTGTGCGCGTGTGCGAGAGGTGTTCCTGGCCCAGCCCGCCCTGCTGGAGCTCGACGCCCCCGTCAAGATTGTCGGGGACGTTCATGGCCAGTACACCGACCTCATCCGCATGTTTGAGATGTGCGGCTTCCCTCCCACGTCCAACTACCTCTTCCTCGGAGACTACGTCGACAGGGGCAAGCAGTCTCTCGAGACAATCCTGCTGCTGCTCTGCTACAAGCTCAAGTTCCCCGAAAACTTTTTCCTGCTGCGAGGCAACCACGAGTGCGCCAACGTGACTCGAGTCTATGGCTTTTATGATGAATGCAAGCGACGGTGCAACATCAAGATCTGGAAGACATTCATCGACTGCTTCAACACGCTTCCCATCGCCGCCATCGTTGCCGGCAAGATTTTCTGCGTCCACGGAGGCCTGTCGCCCGCCCTGAGCCACATGGACGACATTCGCAACATTGCCCGCCCTACAGACGTCCCCGACTATGGGCTGCTCAACGATCTTCTCTGGGCGGATCCGGCCGACATGGAGCAAGACTGGGAGGCCAATGAGCGAGGCGTGAGCTACTGCTTTGGAAAACGGGTCATCACCGATTTCCTTGCCCAGCACGACTTTGACCTGGTCTGCCGCGCCCACATGGTGGTGGAAGACGGCTACGAATTCTTTAACGACCGGGTTCTGGTGACCGTTTTCAGTGCGCCAAACGTAAGTCTCCAGCATGCGTTCTGACCCCTGCTGCAGTTGTCGATTCTGACTGACGGTTGGTAGTATTGTGGTGAATTCGATAATTGGGGCGCGGTCATGTCGGTATCGTCCGAGCTGCTCTGCAGCTTTGAGCTCCTGAAGCCACTCGATTCGAGCGCTCTGAAGAGCCACATCAAGAAGGGCCGCAGCAAGCGCCAGCAGATGCTAAACAGTCCTGTAAGTGAGCTTCTGAACCGTCAAGTCGACATGTTAGCTAACGATCGGGCAGCCTGCGAGTGTTATGCCACAGAGTGTCTAACCGCACGGGGTTTGAGGGGCTGCGTCCGTGGGCCATTTCTCCTTTTTCTTTACTCTCCCCTCTCTGCGTCTCCTCTTCTTCGTGTCTCTGTTTCCTTTTCCCATGGCGGAAAAAAACAAGTTGGGAAAAGAGAAAGTCTCGGGATTGCCAGCAGACGGCGCCATCCATCCTTATACCCTATCTCGAGAGGGGCTACGTGCCCATGTGATCAAGGATGGCGAGACAACACAGCAGATGTGGCTGCCGCAAGCCACGGGGTAACAACCGTGTCGGGCAGTCGGTTTGACTGGCTTCACCAGAGCAGCAAGACGTCATTGTCTGAGCCAAGACCTGGAACGGTATCTTGGCACTGCGCCTTTGTTATGGGCCTCATTCTCTTTGGGCTGGGCGGAATTCCACATATCATCAGTTATCTTTTCCTTTTCTATTCTTGCTTCTCTTGTCTTGACTATCAACATAAGTCGGCGCACGGACGTGGGATAATGAATGGGTTGATGTACGAGTCTTGTCAGCGAGGGAGGCCTGGAGGCCTACGTTGATCCACGAGACTGGGGAAGCATTGACTTGGGCCGCATACATGATGGGCTCGCGGTGGAAGCTTTTGCGGCATCGATCACGGCGTTGGACGATGTGCCTCCCGCCTATGCCAACTTGGAATAGAAGGTTTATGGAAATATCCTCAAGCAAGAAAGCGACAAAATCAAGGGAAATGAGAAGGATAAAAGATTCAGTGTGTGTGACGATGCTTGCGTGACACGACCTGGCATGGTGCTCGGGATCCGACTCGACCCTCGACGTATGAGTATCATGATATCTTGATGTTTTTCCCTTAACCAATCAGAGCTGTAGTAATAAAGTTGTTTTGAATGATGCCGATTGAATCATGATACTGATAAAGCTCTCCCAGTTATTAATTGTGCTGCTGCTCCTTGCCGCAATAGAGACGGCTGCTTTGAGGCGTCCTTGAGCGCTTAGTCATCACTTGACAGAAATTTGGGTTCTTCACATCATCCCACTTTTCCACCACAATACAGAGTCCGACCCGATTCACCACAACGACACACAACCAGCCATGAGCTCTCAGTCACTCCGCTCGATATACCGGGCGAGGCCAGAGCTGGCACAGGCCGGACAAGCCCTGAGAGGCTACTTCCGCCAGTTCTCCACGACGCAATCGCAGCTCAGCGACGAGGCGCCTCCGACCAACAACGGCAGCGGCAGCAGCAGCAGCAGCAGCAGCGGAAATGCCAGGCCTACGGCTCGACAGCGGACGCGGGCGGCGGCCAGCGAGATCAATGCCCTGGTGAAGGACCGGAGCGGCAGCGGCGCCCAGGAGGCACGCAATACTACTTCTACATCGAATGCTGGTGCGGCGGCGCCGGCGCAGCCCAGGGTCATTGACGTGCGGAGTCTGCCCAGAGGAGGGATGCTGAGGGGGCGGGGCGGGCTGCGAGGGCGAGGACGAGGCACGGGGCCGAATGCTTCTGGCGCTCATCGCGCCGCGTCGCCGAGCGGGAACCGGTTCGCGGGCGCCGCCGCGAGAGGAGGACGGGGAGGTTATGCGCAGGGCGCCGCGGGCCGGGGAGGCGGCGGCAGAGGGGGGAGGGCTGGTGGCGGCGGAAGGGGCAGGGCGACGGCGAACAAGAAGAGGGCCGACGGCGGGGAGGACAACAACAACAACAACAAGGCTGGCGGTGCCGGGCCTCGGGGCAAGCGGCAGGATCCGTTTGAGAGGATGGATCCGCAGGAGCAGCAGTTTGACGACGCGGCGCGGTTCGGCACGAGGACCGAGTACAAGCCGTCGCTGAACAAGGAGGACCTGGCGGCGTTTGTGCCGGCGGCGCCGTCGTCGACGCGGGAGAGCCGCGTGGCGGCCGTGCTGGAGGACCTGGCGGTGCTGGGCGCGAGGGGCGACGCCGTCGGCGTGCCGCAGAACCTGCAGGCCAAGAGCTACGCCGCCGACGTGGAGGACAACGGCGGGGCGCGCTTCTTCGCCGACGGCAAGGCCCGCGCGGCCGCGGAGCAGTACCTCCAGGAGCAGCGGCGGGAGAAGCTGCTCGCCGAGGGCAAGGCCGAGGAGGAGATTCCGCGGGAGCCGATCCTCCAGGACGCGGAGGAGGCTGTGCGCAAGGCGGTCGTGGAGAGTGCGGTGCAGGGGAAGCACGAGACGCCCAAGTTTGCGACGGATCCGGTGGGGATCGCGAGGGCGTGGCACTTGAGGGCCGGGACGTACACGCAGAGGGACGTGGAGAAGTTTGAGAAGAAGCTGGTGTCGCTGTTGGCGGTTGGTGGTGGTGGTGGTGGTAAGGGAGGTGTGAAGAGCCAGGCGAAGGCTTCTTGAAGAAAAATTACGAATAAGAGGACCAAGGGTTTAGAAGGGAAATCTTATCTTGTACGAGTAAAGAATAAGAGAGGATGTTATACAGAGAGATGTGGATTGTTTTGCTATGGAAAAGGTCATGCATGATAATGCAAGAAAAAAAAGTCAAGCAAAGAAACATTATATACAAAGTGAACATACAATGGCGCCTGAAACCCAGTAGTACTACTACCGCCATTTAAAGAGTAACTAAACACTCGCCCATCTACCTCCGATCAAGCTGCTTAATGACCTGCGCCTCCTCGCCATCAATCTCCTTCATCTTCTTGTCCTGCACCTTTTGCAGCTCCTTGTCCGCCTTCCTGACCACGTCCGGCAGCACGACGCCGTTCTTCTTCCAGTCCTTGAGCGCCTTCTCATGCTTTGTGCGCGCCTGCCGCACGCGCTCCCTCCAGCCCTGGCACGCCTCCTTGACGCGGCGGACGAGGTCCTCCTTGCGCTCCATCTCGACCTTTAGCAGCAGCTCCAGCTCGTTGTCCTCGGAGCGCTGGGGCTGCTGGTTAAAGTCCTTGCTGGCCTGCACGGCGGACATGATGGGCTTGATGTACTCGCGCTCGTTGACGAGCAGGGAGATGATGCGGCCGGAGCGGGGCACGATCTGGGCGAGCTCGCGCAGGGGAAAGGTCGTCTTGGCATGCTGCTGCTGATGATCGTGGCCGTGGTCGTGCTGGTGCTTGTGGTGGTCGTGGTGGTCGTGGTGATCGTGGGACTTGATGGCCACGGGCAGCGCGCCGAGGACGTCCGGGTTGAAGCGGCCGCCGTGGAGGACGGCTTGGAGCTGGGACTTGAAGTGGGCGTCTATGGTGGCGTAGGCGGCGAGGAGGGCGGAGAAGTCGAGGGGGTCTTCGGGGTTGGGCTGTTGGCTGCTGCTCTTGTCGTTGTTGTTGTTGTTGTTGTTGCTCTTGTCGGCCTTGGGGGAGGAGGAGGAGGAGGAGGAGGGGGAGGGGCTGTTGCTCGCGGGGGCAATTTTGCGCTTCTTGAGGAGGGCTGCTGAGGTGTTGAAGGGGCGGGCGGATGATGGAGTAGAGCGGGTGTTTGAATTATGGGTGAGGGCCGTCAATGAGGCGGGTTTGGGAGAGGAGAGGCTGAAGAGGTGCCGTCTGTGATGCCCCATGGATATTGTTAGTATAAGGTATTCTGTAGGTTTAGAGGGATTGGGTACTGTAGATAGATTTTTCCTTACCCTTCGGCCTGCGCAACAAGGCGCATTCCATAGTTGACGAGACTGCTGGAGCGAGAAAATGCCATGGTGATGGGTGGTTTGTTGGTGGACTGGCGATCGTGACTTGGTGGTTGATGCTTGTATGATCTGTAAAGAGCTTGCAGAAGCTTCGATGCGAGGTGGGGTGACGTACCTGTACCTGGAGAGCCGATAAGATAAGGTAACGATGGTGGTGCAGTTGTTAGCACGACAATTCTAGTATGAGGACGAATGCCTCCTTCTAAAGTGTCCAATTGATCAATCAATAAGAAGTACCAGTTAAATATATATATATATATAATCGTATTACAGACATTTTGATATCGCTACTCAGAGCTGAGCCAGGAGAGCGAATTGGTGAGAAGCCAAATATTGCAGCTCGAGGATACGGTAATACATGATGCTCCGTGATGGTAAAGGTACTTTTACGTGCCAAACAAGCTGGTGAAACATCTCTCCAACCCCGCTCGGACATGTCTCGAGCAAAAGGAAAAAAAAAAAAAAAAAAAAAAGTCAACACCTTGTCTGAATTTCATAGCGCCCGGAAGCTGTCCTCTTCAACCACAAAGCTCGCACGAGGATCATTGATGTTCAAGAGGAGTGGGAGTGCACAAAAAGAGATGTAATATTGCTGGAGCAAAAGCAAATGACCATGGCAGGGTTCGAACCTGCGACCTTTCGCGTTATGGGATGTAAGGCGACTGCGCTAGCCACTGCGCCACATAGTCGTTGCGTCGAGTGACTGGTATTGTGGAGCTTCTACACTAAAGAGGACTATGAACTTGGATACCTGCAGCAACAACGAGATCGAGGGTTTTGAGATGCTGATATAACTGCTGTTCAGGTGTACGGCACTGACTCTGGGTAGACAATTTTGGGGTTGTAATGGATATAGATTCAATCTCGGGCAGCCTTGATGTTATCCCGTAGAATGGAATCGCTACTAAGCGGAATTGTACTGATATCGGTAAGGCAGCAATGACATTCGTACCTATCGTACAACACTCGATTCTCAGTCGAGTCCACATCTTTCTATGTACACTCTCATTATTTCATCGTATCATGATGTCAAAAAAGGGGAAAAAAAAAAAAGAAACAAGGCTATTCTACTCTTACAACATCCCCACACTTAGCTCTGCAGAGGCTTGCCCATGCCGCCGTACGTAATCATCTTGGTGATCTGGTACTCTGCAATGCCATACTTTGATCCCTCCCTGCCGAAGCCGCTCTCCTTGACACCTCCGAAAGGCGCCGCCGGGTCAGAGATGATGCCCGTGTTGACGCCAATCATGCCCACCTCCAGGGCCTCGGCAACGCGGTGTACGCGCTCCAGGTCGCGGGAGTAGAAGTAGCCGGCGAGGCCGACCTCGGAGTTGTTGGCCAGCGCAACGACCTCGGCCTCCGTCTTGAAGGGGAAGAGGCCGGCCACGGGGCCAAACGTCTCCTCGGAGGCGAGCTGCATGTCCGCCGTCATGTCGCGCAGGACGGTGAGCTGGAAGAAGTTGGAGCCAACGTCGGGCAGTCTCTGGCCGCCGACGAGGAGCTTAGCGCCCTTCTTGACGGCGTCCTGGACGTGGGCGTCGACCTTGGAGACGGCGCGGTCGTGGATCAGGGGGCCGTGGGTGGTGCCCTCGGCGAAGCCGTTGCCGACCTTGAAGGCCTTGACCTTTTCGACAAACTTGTTCACAAAGGCATCGTAGACGCCCTCCTGGACGTAGATTCGGTTGGCGCACACGCACGTCTGTCCCGAGGAGCGGAACTTGGACATGATGGCGCCCGTCACGGCGGCGTCGATGTCTGCGTCGTCAAAGACGATGAAGGGAGAGTTTCCGCCTAGCTCGAGGGACAACTTCTTGAGCGTGTCGGATGACTGCTTCATCAACAGCTTGCCGACGGTCGTGGAGCCGGTGAAGGAGACCTTCTTGATGGTGGGATGCGTCGTCAGCTGCTCGCCAAGGGCAATGGTGTTGTCCAGTGTCGTCACGATGTTGACGACGCCCTTGGGGATACCCGCGCGGTGAGCCAGCTCAGCCAGCGCCAGGGCCGTGAAGGGCGTCTCTCCGGGAGCCTTGCAGACGACGGTGCAGCCAGCGGCCAAAGCCGGGCCAATCTTTCGCGTGATCATGGCGGCGGGGAAGTTCCATCTGTATTGAGCAATGTTAGCATACCTGTATATGCCGCCTGTGGTATGGTATCCATTGGAATCGAGTTGGGAGGTTTGCAACGTACGGAGTAATCATGCCGCAGACGCCAACGGGCTCCTTGAGAGTCCACACTCTGTTTCCGGGCACGGTGGCAGGGATGACATCGCCATATGTGCGCGGCGCCTCCTCGCTGAACCACTCAAAGAAGTTCGCGGCGTACGTGGCCTCGCCCCTGGCATCCGCGAGCGGCTTTCCGTTCTCCCAGGTGATGAGCTGGGCAATGTCCTCGGCGTTCTCCACCGTCAGGTCGTACCACTTGCGCAGCAGCTTGGAGCGCTCGCGGCCGGTCAGCGTGCGGAAGGACTTGAAGGCGTCGGCGGCGGCGGCGATGGCGGACTCGGTGTCGGCGGGGGTGAATTCGGGGGCCGTTCCAATCACTTCGCCGGTGGCAGGGTCTGGCAATAGGGGAGGACGGGGCGAAAGGTCAGCCAATCTTTCGCTTTGCTGTTGGGAAGAGAACACACGGCGAGGGGAACTTGGGATATAGATTGTATGATGACGGGTGGTGGCGGCTTACCGTGAACCCTGAACGTCTTGCCCGACTTGGCGGATACCCACTCGCCATTGACGTAGCAGACGTTCTGCTTCAGCAGTGACGGATCTCTGAGCTGTACGTCTTCATTAGTGTTCTGACTGTTGTTGTAGTTGGTGCAATAGACAAGGTGCGCGGGCTCACCTTGGGGGCCATGGTGGAAGCTTTTCTGACGAGGAGTGACGATATACCGGGAGCGAAGCGAAGAGCCGAGGGAGAAGCAATCTTATGCAACAAAGCCATGGAGGACAGAGAAGAAGAAAGGGAGGGAAAAAAAAAAAGAGGGGAGAAGGAGACGGACAAGAAGAGGACGAGTCAAGCTAATATACGGGCTTCACGAATCTCAGACAAACTGGAACCGGCAGCCTGTGCAACTGGGGGCGACAGAATGCTTTGTGATTGGAAATGCAAAATGCGGAGGAAGTTCAAGCGCTGCCAGCTCTCAAGAGACCGGCCCGGGATCGAGAACGTTTGAAGGTGCGGTTGGAGGCGGGGAAAGGAAGAAGGCGTGTGAGCTCCCCCCAAAAGAGAAAAAAGGGTGACACGGCGATGCGCAAATCGGTGACGTCCATGATTCAAGCAGCACAGACGTGGGAGAGGTTTGCGGGGGCCATTTGCCGCGATCTCCAAAACAGGGCTGGGGCCGGTTTGGCTGGAGTTTGCTGGAGTGTTGGAATATCCATTATGTATCCGTTATCACACAGAGAGGCCGGGCCGGTCTGAGGGAGGGGAGGGGGGGAGCGATTCCGGACACTGGGCCGGAACGGGAGAATCTGGGTCGGCCTCGTCTCGGCTTGGGGGCCATTTGATTACCTAGGCTAGTACCTACTTACAGTAATTGATACCTCTCTCTACACATTCTACTCCCGACTCGGGACAGGTTTCATTATTCAGGAGTCAATTCGGATGTGAATTTTGTCATCATATGTGGGTATATATAAGATATTGTGTTACATGTACACGACAAAGGAGATAAGAAAAAAGAAAAAAGACGGGGTTTCGGGCACTCTCTGTAAGTCTGCCTCATCACGGCCGCCAGGGCCTTTGCATCATTAACCGCCATATTGCATGCATGTCAGCATGGAACGCCTTGCGCCAGTTTTCCCCCTCAAATATAGAATCCAAGCCGCCCATGCATCAACGGTCAGAGTTAGACCCAAAATTGTATAAACGAAAGTAAAGAAGAATAAAAAGACATGTCTGGCTCTTTCAGGAGTAGAGCATCGTCTCGTGCTGTCTTAGCGGAAGCTTCCGGTCGAGCGTGTGAAAGGCCTGTGTTCGGGGCGTGTAGGGCATGGTCCCCGATGCCCAGGTCGTCTTGAGGCCGCTCATCTCCACGCTCTTGCCGTCCTTGACACTCGACGCCTCGTCGTCCTCGTCCTCGTCGGTGTCCAAGTTGTTGAGCGGATTGGGCCACATGGCATAAAGAGAAAAGCCGAGCATGAACAGGTAAGCGGTACTGAGAGTGACAAGTCAGCATGGGATTTGCAACATCGATCCTGGTGGACGTCCGGTGACTTACAGCATGTACAACGTGATGAAGAGCGAGGCCTGCGCAATCTTGCAATTGGTAAACTGCCCATACGGCTTGGCCATGTCGCAGCCGTATCGAAAGTACCACGCCGCTGGTGCCGGATACCTCGGGTCGCTGTGGTCGGGGCCGACCTGGCCGTAGACGCTCACGGCATACAGCGCAACCAGGGCGATGCTGGCGAGGGTGGACAGAACGGGATACCAAATCCGCATGATGACGGCGATGAGCTTGGTGAGGAGGAAGAAGAGCGATATGACGGAGATGGCGACATTGTAATCGGTGAATCTGTTGAGCCAGTCAGCACAGGAATTTTGTTTTCCCGTTGTTGGTAGTGGTAACTGACGTTCTTGACCAGATGAGAGGCAGTTTTGGCTGCGGCACATGGTTGGCATAGGCAAAGAGGATGACATCGGGGTTGGAGTTGAGGCGGTGGTCCCAGCCAATTTTCCACATGGCGGTTCGATAGAGGTCCGGCTGGGAGAGGCCGAAGATGGTGAGGATGGGCACGAGGCCGATGAACTCGACCAGCATCAGCCAGCGGATGGCCAGCCGCGGGATTCTGGGCCATTTGCGATGCAGGACGTGGTACGTCCACGGCCGGGAGCGAGTGCCCAGGATGCCCATTTTGGTCGTCTTGCTGTTCTGCTGGTAGCCTAGGTAGGGCTCTTTGGTGTCGTTCTGACGAGGCTTTCCTAGCTCTTGTTGGTCGACTACCTAGAGTCGCTCGGCGATGATGGATGGTCTGCCCGAGATCGGATATCCTCCAGCCTTTGGTTGCATGTATGCAGGGAGCTCAGATTCGCGGCAGGCTCACAGGCTCATGTCTGCAGACGCACTCCCGACACCGATCGATCGATCCGCCCGCTGCGTCCGCGCCCAAGAGGCTTTTCCTCCCTGTGAGTTGTTGTCGTCGTCGAGATGCGGCCGAGAAAATGACGCCCTGTCGTGCTTCAGCTCCAGGCTGTCTTTTCTCGCTGTCTTGCCAAGATTCAAGTCGTCAAAGCCACTGCGGAACAACGCACAGCTGCTGCAGTCGAGAAGCGTCGCAAACGTCTCTTATCAAATCAAATCGCGGATCAGATCGAAAACCCCCAAATGCCTTTCGTCGCTCGCGGAAGGGGGGGACGCAGGCCGTTTAAAGGGCCCGTGAGAGGGAACCGGGCGCCTCTTGGCTGCTGCTGCTGCTGCTGCTTCTTGTGTGGTCCCCTCCATCTCAGCGGCCGGCCACCTGAAGCCACTGTTGGACGACGGCACACTCAGCGCTGCTCGCCTGGGAAGAAGTGGGGAAGTTGGCTCTGCAGGGTGCGGGCGCTTGAGCCTGTGACGGGCTGCACAGGCCCTGATTGGGCGGCTGCCGGGTGACGGGCAACAGGCCCGGCCAATGGCAGCGGCGCCTCTCCAGTTGTTTTAAGCGCCCACGATCGCAGATGCATGGCACGATTGGCGGCGGCGGGCCAATGAGGGCGGCCGTGATGGGTGAAAGGGGACAGCGGTTGACTCGAGCGTTCTTTTCATTCCGGCAATCAGGGCACAAGATCGAAATGAGAGGGCCGGGGACCTGTTCCTGCTCTGCAGCAGAGCAGAGCTCGCCGTCCCTGGTTTATGCGCCCCGATCCCTGGCCGCTGGTGATGCCGAGCACGTTTCTTGCAGCAGTCTGTCGAGCAGGCGGCGCTCGGCTCGGCATCCATCCGCACATGTCGGTTCCCATGGATGTTGGGTGACACCACCCAGTTCTGTCTGGTACGCACGAGGACGAAGCAATACTTACTACTTGCCTCTGGTACTCGTACAATCGTAATACTACTACACCCTCGTTGTTCGAGCGTTCGCGCAACGCCGCCCTTGACTTCCTATTCGGTGACACGGCCACTGGGTGGCGCCACTGGAGTGCCAGCCATTGGGCCTGTCTCTGGCCTCAAGCGGTGCCTGGGCGCCACCAATCTTACGGTCTGGGTAATAGACATCCAACCCATCTTGCCACCTTTTCTGTGCTGCAAAGAGGGGGAAATGCGAGCTGTGAGGAGAAGCTTCGTTGTTGGTTCATACAGACGAGTACATGTATCCATAGCGCACAATCACCACTCATCCCTAAGGTACCTACTAACAACCTACATGACAAGTGCCTTATGTCATGCAAGGGACGCAAATCCTCCCGTTCTTTGTGCATCAACCCTTTTTTTTCGTAGCGTGATGTGGATAGGCCGTTGGTTGCTTCTGCCGTTTGGGTGCAATCACTTGTCGTGGACGCCAAAAGCTGAGTGTAGGTATGTAAGCTGACTGTCTTGTCTTGACTTTGAGCCCGGCGACGCCTCTTCCGCTCTGGCAAGATGCCTCTTATAAAGGCTGCCGCCGCCACGCCATTCCTCGGTGTTGATACTTGATCCAACTGCAGACAGTGCATATTGAAATTGTGTGATTGAGACCTCGAGGCAACCTTGCAAGGGTGATGTGCCGTCTCTCAGTTTTTAGCCCCCACTTGGATCTCCGCTCGGGACGGCACCCGGCCATCTCGCGCGGCAAGACGAGACAGGAGAGTCTAGGCGAGAACTGCACCCGGCAGAGAGCGCCATGTGATAAATATCCTGAACAGACACGGAGAAAATAACCACCGGATAAAGTACATTGAAGCCTCTTTGATTGTACTTGGGGGGGCTAGATTACCTACGAAGTATTAGGGGTGAGTACAGCAACCACCTGACAGACAGCTCTCCACTCAATCAATGTCGTCGATCTTGAACCCTGAATGTCCCACGCCAATGCTGAGCTGACGAAAGCTTCCAATTCTCCTGTGCTAACAACCTATCATGGAGAGTCCGGGAGTATTGAAATGCCAGTAATTCGAAGTCACTGACACTATTTAGCTGATGTCGCAAGCTGCATCAAGTCTTGTTCTGCTGCTAGATGTCTCCAGTTGCGAAAGTATCTTGTGCCAGCTGCAATTCACGATGCCGCACATTGTCGAGGTGGACAAAGCAAACATGAGCATACACAAAAACCAACCATACGCACACAAATGCGACGATAGCCACCAAACAGTACATCTCAATGATGCCCGTATTATACCAATATGTGTCTATATTTATTTCACACTCCCAACATTTTTGCAAAACGTTCATGGACTGCATGATGGCCGAGCCAGCAAAATACTACACGGAGAGAATCCAGAATAGCCGCAGCGCATTCTGTATGAGTACCTTATGTGATAACGGGTAGCGCGGGCGCAGAAGGGGGACGTCGAGCATACATACGTTACTTCGACGGCCCCCAAGAATCAAGACCTCCAAGTCCATCATGAACCACTGCTGTAGGATGCATGTTGGCTCGCAAATCCAGACACAGTGCGCCTGTAATGACCGTCTTTTCAACAGAGCGGTGCAACGCCTACATCCCGCAATAACATGTGCCGGGCGAAGTGATTTGATGGAGCCAAAGCTGTGACGAGGTTCAAGACCCAGGACTGACGAAGTGATGTAATGGGGTCCATCAGGATAAAAAGGCACGATGCAACATGCCTAGGCAGTAATACACTAGAGCAGCAATTTTGTCATGTAGAGCAATGCAAAACCTATGTTGCTTTTTTTCCATGTGGCATCAGTCTGCAAGTGGCCGGTGCGGTCACTTCCACCACGCTCGATAGGTTCATCATACCATCTCTCACACATTGTCATGCAGCAAGAAGCCCATATTTCGCTCCATCAGGATGCCTCGCTTATTAAGCTCTCTTTCTATTTTTTTATCTTTTCTTTGCCTTTTTTCTTGCCTTTTCTCTGAGTTTTCACTTCCGGGGGTGGAGCGCCGTGGAGGTGGACCCATGCATATCGTACCCTTCTCTTTCGGAGTACTAAATGATGAGCGCGCAACCGACCGAGGACATGTAAGTGGGTGTACCAAAAGTCTCGAGCAGGGCCATCGGTTGATAAGAGAAAAATGCAACCAAAGGAACAAGAAGCAGCTTGTTTCCTCAACATCCCCTTCATCAAACTTTGTTTTCTTTCTCTCCGTCCGACGCCGCTTTTTTTGGTTTCTTGCCGCCCTAAAAAACCAGTTTTTTTCATGACCCTCCGGCCCCTGTCCTAGCCGGCGGCGCAACGAGATCTAGACCGGTCGATGGTGGTAGTTGAGGCCCAGCGTGACTCTTGACTTTGCCTCGCGATGAGAAAGGAAAAAGGATTTTTCTTCTATTTTGCACCCAGCTGCAAGCATAGAGCAAGATATCATATACTGGCCGTGCTTCTAAGTACGTAACACAGCTGTATGACAAGAGACCCTGTCTGTCTCTGTTTCTGAAGTGTGGCATTGGTCATGTTCCCAAAGTACGGACAAGGCTCGACTTCTTGCAATATCAGGATAACAGTAGGTAGTATTACTCAAGGAATAGCCGTGAACCGCCACAGTTTGAGAATGTAATCGTATGTACACACTCCATCTTGGACGCGGTCCTCCGCGGATCCCTGTTAGCAGCGGCCTTGGAGGATGCGAATTATTACCCGAGGAGCTCCATCCTCGCGAGGCGTATGTACGGAGTGAGGAAGCTCGAAACGCCCGACGACGGTGCGCATAGCTTTGATATGCACTATGCGGCATCGCATGCTGTCTCCCCGAAGACGCCCTGGAGCTGATGCACCGCACAGTGTCCGTAACGGAGAGGGGAACACCGAGGGGACACACCGTAAGCACATGGTGATGGTATTGGATGGATGCTGCAAGCAGAGTAAGAAAAGCCGGCCGAAAAAACGCAGGACCCGTGATGGGCAGACCTTGAGCGGATGGAGCCTGGCCCTTTTGCATCCCCCACCGAGACAGACAGCGCTGTTCCCCCTCATCTTCTCCCTGCCTTGTTCGCCCGAAGCGTTCCAGTGGCCATCGCCGAGCTGTTAGCAGGGTACATACTTGGGAAGCGTCGTGGCGCCCGCTCAGCTGCTAGGAGGAGCGAGAGGCGAGCCGTGCACCGCTAGCATGCATCTCCAAGCCCAGGTGCCGGCATGGTCCTCGGATGTAATACTCGTACGCTCGTCCATACTGCTATGTACACACATGGCAAGGCAGGCATTGGATGGCATGATGCGAAAACCGCCCGTGGTCTGGAGCTAGCCGGCGTCTGGCTGCTGCCATCGATGATTTTGCTGGTGATCAGCGCTCTGCTCACGATCAACTGCTGCATCTCCACAGCCAGAGTCGGTGCTGATCAGATCAGCAGTCCCACCACCTGGCGACCCTTATTGTCGGGACTGTCAATCGTCCCCTGGCTCTCGACCTTTAGACTCCCGTCTATGTTGTCTGAGCTGCTCGACCTACAGCAGACCGGCATTCGCCTGGGATCAACGGCCAAGCAATAGCCAAGCTCATCGCGGCCTGCAGCCAGCTTGTCCTGCCTGTGCCTGTGCCTGTGCCTGTGACGGGCTGCGGTGTGTGCCTTGTACTCGTACCTCAAGCTCTGTCGGCTCGGCCCTGGTCGCTTCTCAGATCACACTCATCAAAGCTGTCGGTTGTGTGTTGCTGATTGCAAATCTGATCCCCCTTTTGCTCCTCCATCCTGTACTCGTACATACGGTACGGACTATTACGGGCGCGGACTCGCCATACATACCTGTACTCGCACCGATAAGCCCTGCCGTGTCGTCGTCTCTGAGGATATACCGCGATAAGCAAGGAATCAAGTCCTCGGCCATTGGATCCCGTCACGCCGTTGCCTTGCCTTGCCTTGCCTCGCCTTCTGCTCTTCTCCCAGAACAAAGACGCGGCTCCTCCTCTTCCTCAAACCCCCTTTCCCCCCTCCTGCTCCGCCTGACACTGCCGTCTCGTCTACATACGCCCACGCCGGCCATCAGCTGCCCGCCTTGTCGCTCGTTTTGTCCATCATCCCGTTGATGCCTCCGCGGTCGCCGTTGAAGGTGCGGCTCTGTCTCCAGCGAGGATCAACGCTCCGCGATCCACCCCATCTCTCATCCACCCGAACCCTCGCTCGCCGGCCCATCTCGATCTCGACCCCCTCTCACTGGGTCTAGCTCTCCCAGGTCCCTAACAGTGCGCTACTCCGGCCAGTCCTTGCAAGGTTCGCCGCTCTGGTAGCGCGACAGTCTCGCCATAACCCCGCTGTCCGTCCAGTGCAGGCCGCGAATCTTGGGTCTTGGTCTTCATCGGCCGCCTGCCGTGTTCGTGTTCTGTGCCAGGGTTTTTTTTTTTTTTTCCGAATCGCATCGAACCAACGGCCGTCTCTTTTGCCTTCTGGCATCTTCGCCCTCGTCCAAACTCCCCCCTTCCGGCGCCTTAATGCAGCATCAGGACGAGAGCTCCGCAGATTGCCCTGGCTTCGCCTCTGCCTCCGCTGCTGCCTCCGCGCCGGTCTCTGATTCTGATTTCGCCTCTGCCTCAGCCTCGGCCTCTGCGTTTTCTTCTGCCGCCGTCTCGCAGGCGTCCTCAGTAGTATCGCCGTCGACTCGGGCTTGCGGCGCGTGTGATTCCGGGCTGCCGAATCCCGCCGCCGCCTCTGGTGAGGAAACCACTGCAACCTCTCCGCGACCTCTGGCCGCCGCGCTGGAGAGGGTTACTTCACCCTTCCGCAGCACCGCTTCTCACCTCTCTCAGGGCCGCCTGGACCACTTGAGACACCATTCGGCAGGCCTGCCGACGCCATGGCATGCAGACAATAACCACACATCCCGACTTGGCTCGCCACCCCCTACGCATCCCATCACAGCCCTGCCGTCGCACAGGAGCTATCCAAGCCTCAACCAAGCTGTGGCTGCCAGTCTGCCGTCCACTGACAGCAACGGAAAGCGCCAGTCGCGCAGCAAAGCCAAGGACGACCAAGCAATGGGGTCGGCGCCGATCAAGAAGCCTCGTACCGGAGCCTCTCCTCCCCGGAGGCTCGATATGCTGGGCGACGCCATGTTCCCCCTGTCCTCCGTGAGCTCGATCCAGCTGAACCGCGACGATGCTGTCTCGCCTCTCTTCTTTTCTCACGCCCCAGCGAGGCACTATGCTCGTCCTCACAGCGTCCCTGTCTCGGACGTGGCCTCGGCCATCCTCGCCCATGCCCGCGACGAGACTTCAGGCGTAGTCACGACTTTGAAGCTCCCAAGAGCGAGCGTCAGCTCCACGAGCGCCGCCCTCTCCGGCAGCACGCCGTCGTCCATGGACATGTCGGCGCCGTCCCTGAGCCCCGACATGCGCAGCCTGCCCCCTGGCTTGCAGATGCTTCAGGGTGTTGGCGTCCTTGAGCTTCTCGAGCATGATGATAGGCCGACGTTCCTGGTAGACCTGGCCAACCCGGCAAACGCCCATCGCCCCGGCTTGCCCACAGTCTACCACAACGCCTCGCTGCGTGCGGCTGAGTCTATTCACGGCCTGCTAAACCCCGACCAGGAAAATCCTGGCAGTCCCGGGCCCTCAGATGAGTTCAACAACTTCAAGGCATGGGTGATGGCCACTGGTGTCGACTCCCCCAATGTCCCTTCATCCACATACGAATATGGGGGGATTACATGGGTGTGCACAACCTTGAGGCGCCGTTTTCGATTCATCAGCGGAAACATCACCTGCCAAACCACTCACGCAACCTCGCCGATGCCCATGATGGAAGAGGAGGAGGAGGAGGAGGAAGAAGGAGACGGTGATGCACCCATGCTGGGGCAAGACGACAGTGGCCGCTGCATATCGACTCCAGCTACACCCGCGGGCGACATTCCCGAGCCGCCGGACTACTTTGGCACCGCCACCGCGAAGACCACCACCATTGAGCCCATGGACACGACCGACACGACTCCCGCAACCGGCACCATTGAGCCGATATACGACATCAACCGACGACATCCCGATGACTTTACCAATGAGGTACTGCAGTCGCAGCCTGTGAGGTCAACCTTTGACTGGACCAGGATTCCCTATAGCGACAGTTTGCCCGAGCACATCAAGTTGGCCAAGTCGGTGGACTGGGCTTCTACGCCTCTTGGCCCCATGAGCGAATGGGGCTACAACCTGAGGGCCATGGCGAACATGGTCATGGGCAGCCCCAACCCGGCCGCCATGTACTGGGGCCGCGAGTACGTCAGCATTTACAACGCTGCATATGTGGCATTGGCGGGCAGCAAACATCCATCTCTCATGGGCAAGCGGTACTCGGAGGGCTGGGTCGAGCTCTTTGATGACTTTGCCCCGATATTCCAGTCTGCTTGGGAGTCTGGCCAAGCGACCATGAAGCATGACGACCAGCTGTTCATCAACCGACATGGCTTCCTGGAAGAGACGTTCTTCTCATGGTCCATAATTCCACTCCTCGGCGAAGATGGCGAGGTCGTTGGCCTGTTCAATCCCAGTTTCGAAAACACTCGGCGCAGAATCAACGAGCGCCGAATGCTAACACTGCGGGAGATAGGCGAGCGGACGGCGTCGGCGGCTTCCGTCAGCGAGTTTTGGCCACAAGTACGGAAAGGACTGGCTTTTAACGAGTACGACATACCCTTCAGCATGATTTACTCCGTCAAAGACGACGCCGAAAGCGAGGTATCATCGCTTCACTCTGGTAGCCAGATGTACTCTCCCCAGCTTGTTCTCGAGGGAGCTCCTGGCGTCCCAGAGGGCCATGTGGCCGCACCCCCGACACTGGACCTGCGTACCTCAGACGAAGGGTTTGCGCCTTACGTGCGACAGTCGCTGGCAGGGGGCGGAGCGCCTGTTGTGCTATCAGAGGATGACGGCACCCTGCCAAAGCATTTAATCGAAGGATTCGAGTGGCGGGGCTTCGGTGACCCTTGCAGGACGATTGTCGTCTTCCCAATCATCCCCACAACAACAGGCGATGCTGTAACGGGTTTCATCGTACTTGGCGTGAACCCCCGACGGCCGTATGACGACGACTACAAGCTCTTCATCCATCTTTTGTCGCGGCAGCTGGCTACTTCCATGGCCTCGGTTCTCTTGTTTGAGGAGGAAATTCGGCGTGGACAGCGAGCCGCTCACCTGGCTGCTTTGGATCGCCAGGAACTCTCGGAGCAGCTTTTGCAACGTACACAAGAGGCCAATGAGCTGGAGACAAAGTTTACGCGCATGGCCGAGTTCGCGCCAGTTGGAATGTTCATTGCTGACGAAAAGGGCCATATCAATTACTGCAACGACATGTGGTGGCAGATTTCTCGACACTCCCGATCCGAACAGATAGGCACTGCATGGATGGACAGCGTACGCATCGAAGATAGGCCGGGCCTGGAGGCGGCTTGGACAAGGCTTCTGGAGCAAAAAGTGACCATCTCAGTGGAGTTTCGATTCAACTGCAGTCAGCTGTGCGGAGATCACACCGTCGACACCTGGGTCCTGATGAGCGCGTTTCCCGAGAAGGACCCCGATGGCAGCCTGGCGTCCATTTTCGGTTGTATCACCGACATCTCCTCTCAAAAGTGGGCGGAAAAGGTGCAGAACGAGAGGCGCGAGGAGGCCGTGGAGCTCAAGCGGCAGCAGGAGAACTTCATCGACATTACGAGCCATGAAATGAGGAACCCCCTGTCGGCCATTCTTCAGTGCGTGGACCAGATCGCCAACAGCATAGGCTCCTTCACGGCCCATTCGGACAGGGCAGAGGTGGACGCCCTTTTGGAGTCGTGCCTCGATGCTGCCAACACCATCAACTTGTGCGCCAGCCACCAGAAGCGCATCGTCGATGACATCCTGACGCTGTCGAAGCTCGACTCCAACTTGCTGGCCGTCACTCCCGTCGATGAACAGCCGATCAAGGTCGTTCACCGAACGCTCAAGATGTTCGAGTCGGAACTGCTTGCCCACGACATTGACTTTGAATTTCGCGTCGACAACAGCTTCGAGGCCTATGGGGTTACCTGGGCCAAGCTGGATCCATCCAGGCTGAGGCAAGTACTGATCAACCTCATGACCAACGCCATCAAGTTCACCCAGGGCCGAGAGAAGAGGGCCATTACCGTCAGCATGTGCGCGACCAAGGACATCTCGGAGGTGACTAGTCAGGGGACGTTTTACTTTGAACGAAACGATATACAGCGGACCGTCGGTATGGATATCGACAACGAAGAGGAGTGGGGAGCCGGTGAGCGCTTCAACATCCACTGCTCGGTGGAGGACACCGGTGCCGGCTTGGGTGACGAGGAAATGAAGGTGTTGTTCCAGCGTTTCCAACAAGCCTCGCCCCGGACGCATGTGCAGTACGGTGGCTCTGGCTTGGGGCTGTTCATCTCGAGGATCTTAACCGAGATGCAAGGCGGTCAGATTGGCGTTTCCTCCCAAAAGGACGCCGGGAGCAAGTTCAGCTTCTACGTCCAAAGCCGGAAATGCCTGAACCCCCCATCCCAATATGAGCACATCACGCCGTTCAAGCTCGAGCGCAAGATCCAGGTCGCTCCAGCCACCACCGGCCAGCCTGCCAGCGGCCCCGCCTCGCGATGCCAGTCAGATGCAGGCCGCAGCCCGCTGTTCGATGTGCTTATTGTCGAAGATAACATCGTGAACCAGAAGGTTTTGCAGCGACAGCTGCGCAATTACGGCAACAATACGTTTGTGGCAAACCATGGCCGAGAGGCGCTGCAGACGCTGGAAAAGTCGAGGTTTTGGGCAGGCCAAGAAGACGAAGGCGTCGACATTTCCGTCATCCTGATGGACCTGGAGATGCCCGTCATGGACGGCATGACGTGCGCGCGGAAGATTCGCCAGCTCGAGAAGGAAGGGACAATCATCAAGCATATCCCCATCATTGCGGTTACGGCATACGCACGGCCCGAGCAAATTGAGAATGCAAAGGCCGCAGGAATTGTGAGTTGTTGAGCCCACAGGCTCGTCTTGAGCCGTCACGTCATGGAGACTGGTGCTAACCGCTGATTTGTGTGTAGGATGATGTGATCTCCAAGCCATTCCGGATTCCCGAGCTACTCCCCAAAATCGAGGAGCTGGTGGGCAAGTACCAGAGCCTTTCCGTGTCGAGAAACGCATAGGAAGGGCAACGGTGAAGCTCCTCGCACCCTCTTGAACGGAGCGGTCGTCAAGGTCAATACGATGTGATTCATTTGTCTCCGCTCTTCAATTACTGCCCTTGCGGAAGCGGCATTTGTCATAACTTTTTATTCTTTTACTTCTCAACCTCTTTTCACTAGATTTGCATACATGTGGGAGCCCAGCGTGTCATTTACAAGCCGGGCGTTTTTGGTTTCCTTTTTTTTTTGACTCTGTTTGAGGGAGGCCAAAGTCTTCCTCTTCATTCATATACTTGGGAACACGACGAGCAGCAGGCGGACTCGCATACGAAAAGAGCCGGCCGGGGACTTGGGTTTTTCTTTTTCTTTCTTCCAGCATCTTCATCCTTCACTTCTCTGTGTGTGTTCAATCTTACCAGCATATACGAGGCTGTCGACCTCAGATACCAAAGTTTTGTTCTTGTCCTTTTCTTGTTTTCTATACAAAACTCTACTGCATATACGACTTGGGAGGAACTACCACGGGCTGCGCGAAAAGCGCCACACAACACATGATATACACTAGAGCATGTGTTGAGACAGAGCGATATATGAATTATTGGTGGATTGAGGGGGGACGAGAGTTTGGTACAACAAAAAGCGGCGATGTGGAAAGGAGGCGATAATTATAGGTAGGATCCGAAAGAAATACGAACACGGATTTCCACCATGTTGGCACCATGTTGGCTCTTTTGTTGTGTTGTCCTGGGCGCAAAGCTGTGAAAGTAAACAACCAAGATATCAAACTTCGGATGAACTTTGTCATGCATCTCTACCTACCTTACCTTGGGTATGTACGCGTAGAGAAGGGCGAACCTGTGGAGGAGTCGGCTGTATTACTCTTGTAAATAAGCGTAAATAGTGGGGAGCAGTGGAGTTTTCTGAACATTTTGCTCTCCATACTCTGCTCTTTTCTTGATGCGAGTCTACTGTGTCTCAAGGTGAGGCAACTGTTGATACTCTTTTACTAGTTTAGAGAAAAGGCCACCGGTGTAACTGTGCGAAAAGGCTATCATCAAGTGAATATAGACTCTGCATTCATGCAGTATCCAAGGTTTACGTCTAGGAAAGACTCGACTCGACACTAAGAGAGGACAACACTCAACGCTCAAGAGGGGGAACAAAAACAGGAGAAAACATTCCAAAAGAGAAGAGAAAGGAGAGAAGCAGACATCACAATGCGAAAAGTAGACCGGTTCATTAGACACACATCATCTTTATATTAGGTATTAATTATCTTCCTCCTCTCGGGTATCGAAACAAAGCAGAACGCGAATGCTGTATACTAGCAACATCAAGATTTTTGGTTCTCTCAAAAAAAAGATATTAAGAGGATTATTTTTGGGGGTTTTTCTTCTCCTTTCAGTTTCTCGTCCAAATCGACGTGCAAAAAAAAAACAACAACAAAATGGAAAGTGGTATCAGTGAAAGCAGTCTCGACAGGGTATCTTGGTATCTTGTGAAGAAATGCAGATCCTTCCATTCCCAGTCCTCTCATGCGTGTTTTTTTTTCGGTGACAATTATATCAAAGGAAAGCTTTGCAAAGTGTGTCTTCTTGAAGTCGTAAAAATCTCACTGTCGACGAGATTCTTAAGCGGCAGCAGTGACGACGGGAGCGGGGGCAGCGGCAGCCTCGGGCTTGTTCTCGGCTTCGGCCTCCTCAGGCTTGGCGACCTCGTCCTCCTTGGCAGCCTCCTTGGGGGTCTCCTCAGTGGCAGCGGCGGCGGCAGGAGTCTCCTCCTCCTCCTTGATGGCCTCCTCCTCCTTGGCCTCCTCGGCAGGCTTGTCCTCAGGCTTGGCGGCGCCCTTGCCCTTGATGGTAGCACGGAGCTTGGAGAACGCGCCCTTGCTGGACTTCTCCTCGCCCTCGGAGCCGGGGCCGGGAGACTTGTCACGCTTGCCAAAGGTGAAGGGCAGGGAAGACTTGCGCTTCTCCTTGTCCTTCTTGGTCTCGCCGTTGGTCACAGCAGCCTCAGTGGTCTCAGTGGGGACGGTGGCAGGGCTGCTGACATCGACGGCCAGGGGAGTGGTGGCCTCGACGGGAGGGATGACGGGGGCGGCCTCGGTGGTGGCGGCAGTCTCCTCCTCCTCCTTGGGAGACTCAGCCTCGGGCTTGGCCTCGGCGGCCTTCTTCTCCTTCTTGGAGAAGACGTTGCCGAAGAAGCTGGTGCGCTTGTTGACGGCAGGCTTCTCCTTGGGAGACTCGGGCTGGGCCTCCTCAGCGGGCTTGGTCTCGCCCTCGGCAGCGGGCTCAGCGACAGCGGGGACCTCCTCAGTGGCAGGAGCCTCACCCTCGGCAACGGGCTCGACAACGACGGGAGTCTCGGCAGCAGCGGCCTCCTCAGTCTTGGCCTCGTCCTTCTTCTCCTCCTTCTTGCCAAAGCCGAAGAAAGAAGCGCGCTTGCGGCTAGCGGAGCGGCGCTTAGGCTCCTCGACCTTAAGCTCGTCCTTGGTCTCCTCCTTGGCGGCGGCGGCGGCGGCGCCCTCCTCCTCAGCAGCAGGCTCGTCGGCCTTGGGGGCAGCCTCCTCAGCGGGGGCGGCCTCGTCCTTGGCGGGCTCGACCTTGTCCTCCTTGGGAGCGGGCTTGAGGCTCTCAATGGTCTGCTTGTAGATCTCAGACTCAGTGACGGTGGCGGCAAGCTCCTTGGCCTCGGCAATCTTGGCCTTCAGCTGGGCAACCCAGTTGTCGCGCTCAGCGGCGGAGTTGGCCTTGAAGGTGTGCTTGTTGCCCTTGGCGGAGAAGTGGAACTTGTGAGAGCCGTCGGTCTCAGGCTCGGTGGCATCAGCCTGCAGGATTCCAGGGTTAGCTATATGATCAAAACAGCAGCAGCGCGATGCGCTTCAAGGCGGCGGCCACCTACCAGGTTGATGACGCCATGGGGGGCCTTCTTGTCGCCGATGAACAAAAGACCCTTGCCAGTGTGGGCAGCCCAGGCGATGTTGTGCTGGGCAACCTCGACGTGCTTCTCGGCCTTCTTGTAGGCGGCGAGAACCTCGGCCTCGACGGCCTCGTTGCCGAAGAAGAAGAAGGACTTGCTGGCGATGAGGTTCCTGTTGGGCAACTGTGGTCAGCAAGACTCGCGATCCCTCCCGGGCAAAGCATCTAAGCGGCTGCCTGTCGCTAGGTACTCACTTGGGGAAGCTGGCGCCCTGGGCCTTGTGTCCCAGGAAGCCCTCCTCGATGGGCTTGGCCTCCTCCTCCTTCTTGTCCTCCTCCTTGGCGGGCTCGGCCTCCTCAGCCTCGGCCGGCTTCGCCTCCTCTGCGGGCTTGTCCTCGACGGCGGCGACGGGGGCGGCCTCAGCAGCGGGCGCCTCGTCAACGACGACGGGAGCGGTCTCCTCCTTGATCACCGGGGCGGCGACCTCAACGGGCTTCTGTTCCTCAGCCATTCTGGATAGAAAAAAGGGTATCTTTAAAGCGCGGGGGGTATCACAACAAACAAAGGGGGGGGTATTAAAAAAAAAGAAGGATCCAGAAAAAGCCTTTTGGATGGTGTATGGGGAAAACGGGCGCTGGTGAAGCGTGAGTGAAGAAAGAAAGTGGGAGGAGGAAGAAGAAGAAGAGTCGGTAGCAGAAGGGGGTGGCCAGGGCTACTTATTTGCTTTGCCGCGGACGAGGACTGGGCAGGAAAATAAGAGCGGCCAGGGGGTGGAGGGCGAGAAATGGCGAGCTTGGGCCTGTGTGACCAGTGGGCAGAAGGCCTGGAATCAACCCTGCAGACCCTTTTGGGGGGGGGATGGAATCGGCAGACTGAGAGAGACAAGACTGGACAGCTGAGCACATGCGGCTGCATCGTCGTTGTCTGGTGTCTGTCGACTATCGCCAGCCATTCTGATGCAGTGACGCCACGGCGGGAGAAGCTCCCAGTGGGCCAGTGGCTCGCTGTGTCAAGGCCCGCTAGCGCTGCGTCGGCGGCGTGAATGCCCTGAGAAGTCGCTGTTTCTTGGGGGGGTTTGCAGAGGGTCTTGGGGGGGGGAGAGAAAGGGTCGCAGTGGTTGCAGTGGCTGCAGTGGGCCGCAGCTGGTCCGTGCGGGCTTTAAGCGAGTGGGCCTGAAATTGCAGACCCGCGACCGGCCTGCGCTAGTGGGCGGGCAGAAATGTTCGGCAGCCACCCAGGTGCCAGGGCTCGCGGCGGGGCTGCCCCGAACGGGCCAGGTACTTGCAGGGCCGTGCTGCATGTGCCGCTGCTCGCACGGTCCCGCCGTGTCCCTTGTCGTCAGGTTCAGGTTCATGCTGAGCTCAACTTTGTCTGGCTCGTCGTCGAGGTGAAATGACTCCCAGCCTCCACTTGCTCATTTAAAATCAACACGACAGCCCTTTTTCTCCTTTGTTCCTTTGTCCCGTCTGGGCCATGGGCAAGGGTCGCCGATAAGACAGGCAGGGCGGAATACAAAGTGCTAATAACGAGGGCTTGTTGAGCACGGGGAACCGAGGCGGGAAATCCGCGTACCTGACATGGAGAGAGAGAGAGAGAGAGGCACGAAGGCATCATGCGAGAGTCAAACGTGCAGTAATGATGGAAGCTCGAACCCGTTCCGTGGAAGCTTTTTTTTCGCTCGACATGGGGATCGCCGTGAACCCTTGGACGCCTATGTGCATAGTGAAGGGGGCCATCTTAGATTATCTTGCCTGCCCCACGATCCATCTTTCGCCTGCTGCAGCGCAGCTGCGCATCTCCAAGGTGATACGGGAGACCATCCGTCTGGTGATGCTGCTGCTGCTGGCGGCTAGTGGTTGTTTGCTAGCAGCGCTGGCGCGAGCAGTTTAGGGCAGCGTTTGAGATGTAAGGGTTGCCGACTTGATACTGTTGCTCCATCCAGATGACCAGCATCTGGTTTTCTCCTGGATAATACAGTAATACTAGCACCTTGATGAGAAAAAGAGAGCAGCCACACCGAGCAATGGTGATGGTTCGGCATCTGTTCTGGGTGATGCAAGTAATTACTGAGTAGGTAGTACTCCGTGCAAAGTACATGGACATCGAGATTAGGCGCCCCCCCTTTTTTTTGCCCGACGCCTGAAACTACACGCCGGGCTCTCTCGTTCGAGATACAGACATGGCAGACCGAGCTGGGTAGGTACCAAGGTATTACGAGTAGTGCGCATTGATTTGCTTCATTACTCCTTGGTGGAAAAGTGGACGGCCGGCCGGGATGGCAAATGTCGGCTCGCGGTGCAGCGTGGCATCGTATTGCTCATTCTCGACGACGTTGATGAAAAGAAACGGGCATCCAAGGTCCACGAGCCGTTACGCGTAATTAGCAGCAAACAGTGATCTGCGCTCGGCAGGGAAAATAAGAGAGCCGGCGATGAGCATGAGGCGGGCGAGAAAATGAAAGAATGAAATGACTGATTCAAGAGCTTCAGCTCAATCACTCGGTTCTCGCCGTCTCCTATTATCTCGTCGACGCCAAAATGAAGGAAAATCCTGCGGTCCAGCCATTTCAATCTTTTCCATCTCAGCATCGTTCCAAGGATCAGGTTGTTTCGTTCCATTACCGTAAGGTGCCTTGACGCGGAGGTACAAGCGCCAGCCCAGTGTCGAGCACTGTTCGCTTTGCCATGTGTCATTCGCGCCGGCTAAACCGCGGCAAATGCACCTTGCGGGCAACAGACTCTTGTCCAAACTGCCTCGTCGATCCCTCGCCGGCGTCAAGGGTTCTGGGCTCTTTGTTCCTCTAGATTTTCTCCTGCTTTGCTTCATTTGTCCACCGGAGAAACACTTGGCTTCGAGGCTTACATTTTTAGTCCATCTATCTAGTGTGCACCACACCGGTCCTGGATCGTGGCGCGAACCGCATGACAGGTTTTAGAGAAAGAAACGCTTCTGTGATTGTAAGCATTTCCTTCTCTGTCCTTCGACGGTGGACCATGGTCAAGAAAAAAAAAATGGTACCACTGTTCGAGTTTACGGGCTAGTACCGACGTCGACGTCGCAGAAGTGAGCAGCAGGAAAAAAAAAAAAAAAGAAGAAAAGAAAAAAAAGAGAGAGAGAGAGAGATAGGGCAGACCAGGGGGGGTGGCCAGGGGGTGGCCGCAGGAGGAGAGTGAGTGACGGCAGAAAGGTCTTGCCCATCAGTCAGTCAGTCAATCAAAGGGGGCCCGTCTCTCGACCTCCTGATTCTCCTGCAACAAGAGAAAGCCGCCCTGATGAGAGGCGGTGAAACTCGTTGGCGGGCTTGATTGGAGGAAGGCTCTCGACTCGAGCCGTACGGAGCGTTTGTGTACGTGCGCGCATCTTATAATACTGCGACTATTGCCACGATCGGTTTCGAACGTATGTACGGGAGTAGCATCATGTGGTGTCAATTAACAGCCATCCAGGAGAATGCTGCCGCCGCTTTGACACTGACTGGCTGGGAGCCTGTGAGCCGAGGGAGCGACGGTCTCAATGTCTGGCTGGCCCTGCTGCTTGACTTCTTTGTCGAGATGCGGCGATCCGAGGAGACGTCGCATCACGATGGTTCTCCTCACTGTGGTTGTTGTTGTTCTTTTTCTCCTCCTCTCTTCTGGTGGCCCCCTACATACTTGTACATGTACAGACCATGCAAACAGGTAGTAAGTACTACTACCTGGTACTGACTGGAGTGAACCTCTGCTGCTGCTGCTGCTGCTGCTGCTGCTGGTGCTACTGCTACTACCTCTCCTAGGTAGGTTGGTAGTAGGTAAATGTGCCAAACTCCTACCTCCTCAGGTGGCATCAGTGCTTCCCAATGGTGCCAGAAACATGAACACGAGCATCTGCCTGCTCTGCTCCCTCATGGGCCTGGGCTTGCATTAGCCATGATGTGACAGGCAAGGCACCGCATGGAGTACCTGTACCTTGACGCCCTGCCGGGGGAACATGGGCCAACCAGAAGCCAGCGGCCTGGGACTCAAGTACCGAGATGGCACTTGGCTGCACAAAAGTGGCGCGTTGTTGGACCCCCCCTCTGCCCCCTTCTCATGTACAAGTACGGAGACTGCAATACCTAATATGTGATCAACACTTCACCTCACCTCAAGGCACACTTTCGAGAGGAGAATACCTAGGTAGGTAGTACCTCTGGTGTGAGATTCAACATTGAAAGTCAAAGGCGACGATAGATGAAAAACGCCTTGACACACCATTCGGCTCTGAGCTGCCTCTTTCCATCAGCGAGACTGGACGCCAGAAGAAGGTGCATGTACGAGTTCCTACACGTACCTATCGAACAAGGGCCTATGTAGGTAGTAGGTAGGTAGTATTTCAGCAGGTCACTTGCAACCAACTCGGGGGCTGTTGGTGATGGTGTGAAGCCCGTCTCCGTCATACAAAGCCTTTTGTCTCCCCGGCTGTCGTTTCTCACCTGCACGAAGGCGAACAGGAAAGCAGCAGCCGGCTAGTATCCAATGGCCAACACGCACACGCATTCCACGGCCAGACACTGATAACGACAGTAATCATTAACAGACACACACTCTCATCGCCTCACACACCCATTCGTCTCTTAGCCCTTTCTCCTAGTACTACTAGTAGCAATCCCCATCATGTTCATGGCTTGCACCACCACGTTGTTGTCATCCGGGGCCATGTGACGCCCTAGCGCCAAGCATGTGAGGGGCAGGCAAGGAGCCCCAAGTTCAAACGGGTTGCGCACTATTGTTTGCGATGTTTTGAGGCGCATATCTTCTTTTTCTGTTCATTTTCTTCTTTCCTCTTCTTTATTGCTATCATCACTAGTGGTAGGTACTACTAATGCGATACGATGCGGGTGTGCAGGTGCAGGTGCAGGTGCGGGTGGGTGATGCGTGATGCGGACGATGCGACGCAGGTGCATGAAGCTGCTTTCGATGCGCTTCGATTTGATGCGATGTCGATGCGATGCGATGCCGATGCCGATGAGCAGCGATGGTCGGAGGAGGGCGCAGATGTTCGTCTTGTTCGTCTCGACGGATTGATTCCCGTCGGTCACGGCAAGAGGAAGATGCTATGTCTTGTCTTGTCCTGTCCGCCCTGTCCCTGGCAGTTTTGGATTTGACATGACCCCCCCTTTTTTTCTCGTCAAGCCACTCAGCAGAGAAGTACGAGAAGCGTACCTTACTGTACATACGAGCGTACTCTTACACGCTTCCGTAGTAATACTTCGTGGAGTACCTTATTCGTAAACGCCAGTCGGCCGGTGATTCTATACAGCGTAAGAGGTAGCTTTTGAATGCTACTACTATACGTAGAGGTATGTTTCTATAATTACTACTCTCTGCCATGGGCCCTCATACAAGCCATGCCCGTGATACGAGACCCGACTCGGCCAGTATCTCCGATGAGAGAAAAAGAGCAAAACAAATAACAACATGACCTTAAGAACTAATACTTCACACATCCCTACTCCGTATTGATTAGAAGGGGAATAAATAACAAGATAACACACAGGGTTCCCAGACCCATTGTTTTAGCAGCTTAAACCCGGAAAGTACCTACTTCAAAGAAGAACGGTAAAAAAAAAAAGAGATTTTCCATCTAATGCGACAAGGGGGCCTAATCAACCCATCAAATGAGAGATGCTGGATAAGTTCGTACGGTGTTGCAGTCACAGGCTTGGGGGAAATCTCCTTGAGATGAAGATCGTTCGGCAAGACTCGCGCGATGGAATCCGCGCCTTTTTATTTGACGCTCTGCCGAGGATATTCTTTGGTTTGTCTTCATTAATGGTGATGGAGGCGATTCTGTTTGGTAATAATATCATGTAGAATTACATCTTCATCTTTGCCAAGAAGAGGATGATCATCAGGGCTATCCCAAGGCTTAAAAGCTGCTTTGGCATCCGACAACAGCAGAGCTCCCCCTCCTCAGGTACATTCCTTAGGTATTTGCTAGCTCAGGCACGTCGCCATGTTGTTATTAGAGGGCGGCGCGAGATGGAAATGTGATGGTTTCAGTAGTGGAACCGGAAAAGCAAGATGAAACATTTCATGATTAATGACTTGTTTCCATTATGACTTCTATTTTCGTTCTCTCCCATAGTCTCGTCTCTGGGTCTTCCAATAGTAATTGATTGTCCGGAGCAGAACACGAGATTGGATCTCAATGTCTCCCGTTCATAAAGTCTTTCCGGTGGCTGGTCCGCTCCCCTAATTATAGAAGCAGAATCATACCGAATCAACGTGATCACCTTCACCCCTTGAGAACTGCATCTACGACCCAGCTCTCCTTAGCTCATGGTACCTTACCTATGTATGGCAAGCCAAGAAGCTTGTGACAACAAGCCCCGAACTCCACTGCTCGGGAGTTGCATGGTTGCGCGGGTCCAAGCACGAGCAAAGAAACAAGAAGAAGGGGAAAAAAAAAAGAAAAGAAAAAAGAAAAAGCTACTAAAGAGAGGAGCACCACTTTGCCGCCCGTCAACTGGATCGTCAGAAGCGCATCTTGATCGCCAGCTTCACCCCGCTTCGCTGTCACCGGTGGGGACGGCCGTTGGAGCTTGAGCCAGGGCGACAAGTCTCTGAGTCTTCAACCGATACCCTACAAGTGCGCGCGTGTGTGTTGGCCATCTCACAGAATCTACAGCGCATCATGATAGTCTCGTCGCTACGATCCGCATATACGAGAGAGATGCAAAGCTGGGTACAAGTTACGGCGCTCCATGTAGTAACGCGTTGGCCTGTCTTCTCAAGCCGCCCAGGCAGCGAATCGTATGATGGCTCGTCCCCGTCACTTGACAGTCGACCAAAGCGGGCATAAAGCATCCACACCGGAAGTCGTCGTACGTCAAAGCAGGTTCCCGAGCGGGAGGCCGCCATTTCCCGGACTGCCCTCATACGAGGACCGTTGGACCACCTCTGGCTTCATCCTTTGTTCTTGTCCTCGGTCCGCTTCACGACCGGCAGCACCGGCCAGAGTTGAAAAATCCACGTCTTGTCGCCCGCCCTCTCCCTCGTATCAGGTTCTCGACGACCAACTGTTTCAAGTCACGGTGGCACATCTGCCTCATTGGCCGAGGTGGTGTGACTCTGCATCAGAATCTTGGTTGGGCGAGAGGCAGACAAATCCCTGTACGTAAATCTGCAGCATCCAGCCACTCAATGCGGGCAGCATGGAGGCCATTGTCATGCCGCTGCCCGGCACGCGATCCCCTTGGCCGATACAGGCAGCTGGCCACTTCCGTCCACATACATAATACCGCATTGCCGTTTCAAGGGCAGGATTGCCGAATGCTAACTGATGTCACTGCTTCGATGAGACGGAAGTTGGACATGGAGCGCGAGCCCGCGAATACTTATCGCATTTGTTCTTCGCCGTGAATAAGACGACGTCTGCATGGTGAGAGGGGACGACAAAGGAGCCTCTTGATGTATCATCCCGTAGGGCGTAGGGCGTGTATCAACTGTTCCGGTCCTGTAGAAGAACCTGGTGGCACAAGACAACCGAGGAAGATGCGGGATTCGATCGGCGGAGAGCACGGTGCCGGACCTCGAGTCGTGTGATCCCTTGTGCCCCGTTTAGATCGGTGGCGTGCGATTGTAAGGAGTAGAGGTGCTCTGACTCGGACGACGCTCGTTTGAACCTGTGTCTTGGCTGGAGGAGCTGAAGTTGACGTGATCGCCTGCAATCAGTCTGGAATCGGCCGCAACTACAGGTACGCCGTCGCGATAAATGCGCACGCAAAGCGGTATCAACCTGACCTTTTCCCCCCCAGTTTGGGGAAGCGTCTGGATATCGGGCCTGGTTCGCGATTCGGAGATGTTCGGGTCTGGGTTCGGCGAGACCGGGCCGGACATCACAAGAGAACCAAAGCTTGCGCTGAACGAAAGCGATTTCAGCTCAAGCCTCTTTAGAAGCTGAAGTACCACCCGATGCCTTCGTACACGGTGAGAAACAAATTCGCTATTTTATAGATCTGTCTATCGTACCTTATGGTAGAACATGAGTTTGAGGGCATTTTAGGCTTATCTGGCGACGATGCTTGTGTATCTTTGACGATCTGCTCGGCGCAGGCAGCTCGTGCAGCGGCTGAATCGAGTTCTTCTCTGGACACTGAGGAGCCATTGTCCAGTAGTTCCAGACTGTATCTGTTGGGTCATTGTATCCTGCCTTATCCTGGCGACGTAAGGAGCAAGACTTCGACATTAGCCAACTGAGGTTGTCTTTCCATTGTGTCAAGTGTCATGGCTTGAAATACGCTTGACACACACTCGATCACAGTTATGTCAAGACTACTTTATTCCGACATGCATTCTGTTTCTGTCGGTGCTCCGTCCGTCGATAGGGTTCTAAATCTTTCATGGGCTCGAATGGGATGTGAGGTTGTGTTCCCGTTTTCGTCTTCGATAGCAAGTAAAGTGACACTCTGGACGTGTCTTTCTGTTGTGCCGGGGAGGGTAGATTAGCGCTCTTCGTCTAGGTAGCCATCCAGGGGGGAAGATTGCTGTCAGCAACGACATGTTGATATCGTCGTTCAGATCACCTTTTCTTAGATAATGAGAAATATGTACTTCGGATGACGCTTCGCCCTAGATGCTCTGCAAGCGTCGGGCATCTTCACAATGCGTCAAAGAAGACAGACAGCTCTTGAGTCTATCTGGGCACGATGAAGTGCATTCTTAAACCCAGTCGTGTTCCGAGACTCTTGTGTACTGGAGCCGCGTAGTGGCTGTGGGCTTTCCCATATACAAGGCCAACCGCGCGCCCTCGAGGGGAATTGTTGAGTAAAGGACTCTCGCAGAGCCATCTATTGATCGTTTGTATGTGTTCTCTGATACTCGGCAACAGCCGGAATTGTTGTAGATTTGTGATATGAGAAGTTGGCAGTTTGAGGCTTAGGGTTCGTGGTGTGGGTTGGCCTTGGCGTCATACCGTTCCAGAGGCAGGAGTGAGGGAGTTGATGGTGCGAAGGCAGTCGCCATCGATAGCAACCTGACGCGTCGAGCATCACAGTACGTACCTACCTCGGTAGGCTTCCACCATCAGCTGTGATATGAGCAAGGGATAATGCAAAAACAAGGAGAAACAAGCATCTTGGCTTATTATCCAAAGGCATCTAGGTAGGTACCGAAGACAGCATCATGAAAACGCACCCAGGATGCTGTCACAAAGCCATAGAAAGTACAGGGGTATTTGTGCCGCGAGAATATAGCAGACTGGTTGCTAGATGAACAGGAGAGAATGAGTGTGACAAGGTCAGGGGTTTTTCTGTTCATAAGAGCTTGGTGGTGCAGAATTTGTGAACAAGGGATATTCGGGTATCGTTGTTGACAGAAGGCTAACGCAACCGACAGAGGTGTTCAGGGGCCAGCCAAGACAAGGCAAACACAAGTGACTTGAATGAATGAGTTTAGATACTGACCTATATGTGCACCTGATTGCAGACGATAAAAGAATGGATGCAGGCGACTCGAGGGCTTAGCTATCAGGGATCAAAGTCCTCCCGGGAAGAACGTGACAAAGGCCAGCAGTGTCCAAGGTATATGGGCCCTGGAGCAGACCGAAACGACCTGAGTTATAGGGAGCATCACTGAATCACCGCTCCAGCTGGCAAGCAGTGCTGCAGAAGCCATTCCCATCAGTTGCCCCTACAGTAGGTAGAGACGAGTTGCAGTGCTGTTCAGCCTTGAGGTGCGTCTGCGTGCGACCCACACGTGCCTCGCGGTTTGCGCTGAGTTTCCGCGTTCCCTCCTACTTCTCTTCTTCCTCTCCCCCCAGTGCTCTCTCTTCTTGTCTCCCACTCTCTTCCGCTAACCATCTTTGTTTCTCTTTTCACCCATACCAAGCTCAAGTATTCCTGGGCTTTGAACCCTGCAGCAAGCATCGACTCCAACCCTTGTTCGAGTTCTACTCGATACATTCTGTAAACCTTCTAGGACTCCGCCTTCGTACACCAGGCAGCAAATCTCGCTCCGCCCTATTAAGACCACCTTGCACTGGTTTGTCATTCTCCCAACATTACGTCCTATCCATTGCCATCATCATTCACATAGCCTCACTCTTCTCTCTTATGCCCCTGTCCGTCTCACTTTGTCCTCACTGTCCTCACTCTATCCTGCTCTTGTGCTTCTTCCCCCCTAGAGCGCACTGGACGAGTCTATGGGCTTCTCCTCGCCTTTTACACGAGCTTTTTGCCCCCTCTTCTCTCTCTCACACACACACACCATCTCGCGTCCCCTAAGGCGCGAAGAAGGCATGGAATTCATACCCCTGACACTTACGCAAAGCATGCATCACCTCTCAACGATACACTCCCCCCCACCCTCTCTTCCGACACAAATATATGCTCAGCAACAGAACCATATTTAGTATTCCGTATGGCTGACAATGTAATATCAAGAAGCTGGTCACAAATGATCCATTAGGTTGAACACTGGGGATCAAGGTCAAAAGGAGCAACGTTTGCGCCATGGAGCCGAATGATCAAGACTACCCTAGTAAGTGCTACCATATCTAGAGCAAAGCTTGCATCTACTAATCTCTGTGTAGCTCCCCTCACCCGATATGGAATGATTGAGTCCAGGGAGCGGCTGGAAAAGGCTGGACTTCACCCAGAAGTGACGGGAAGGACACTCAAGGCACTGGAAGAGGAGTTTACGAGTTACCAAAGGAAAAAGGTCAACCGTCCAAGTCGAAAATTTTATCTGAAGCGTCAGCGACACAGAATGATTGGAGCTGATGCTTCGGGAACTGAACGAAGAGGTCGCTCTGGCAAGCCTCGCTCCCTTGCCGGGCAACGTGGCCATGAGTCTGTTAGGTTCTTTGGCCCCCTGACTAGGGTAAGTGAAAAATCCAAGAGAGAGGTGTTGGAGTAAAGAAAAGCTAATGAGCAGCTATAGGGGCCCTGGTATCCCACAGAGTGGCTCGACAAGATTGTCTCAGAGGCAGCGATGAAGACTATTTCTTCTGAAGCGGACACGAACGGCCATAAAGAGCCACCCACGATGGAATCAATCATGAATCACAGTCACTTGGGGGCCAAGATTCTCAACGACGTCTTTGCCCAAGGCCACAGAACTGTCATAAACTTGGCGCTGACCTCGACCAAGATGTTGAAACTAGTCACCGAAAACATAGTAGGTCGCAATCACTGCCCTTCCTTAACTCTAAAGTGCCAAGATACGATCTTTATCTAATATTATGGTAGAATCGATGGGACTTTGATTCTGGCTCGTACAGAGTCAAGAGTCCATCTAACGTCTTTGTCGCCATGGTTCCCACTCGATATACCGGTGAGATCAAAGAAGCACTTTCCAAGTACAACTTCCCGGTCAGATCTTCTGAGTGGAACGCAACGCTTCAAAGGCTAGAGTCCCAAGGACACCCAGACGGCCAAAAGCTGCGAGCGATTGGAGCAGAATATGAGTTCTTCCAAAAGGCGAAGAGATTTCGCCGGCAGTGTCTGCGCAAGAAGGGACCCTACTGGGCTATGGAAGATACGGAGATTGATCCTCGAACCGCACCGAGTGCCGTGAAATGGTGGCGCGCCGACAAGGAGGCCATCAACATCATGGGGTCCTTAATGGCTCTCAAGACCATGTGGTCGGCCAATCAGTTCGAAGGGGACGGTAACAGAAAGTACCAGCTGCCACTCAGCATGGCGATGGAAGGCTTGCACAAGCTAAGTAAGTGTCACGGCATTGAAGCACGCCTCGTGCATTCTGAAGCATTGCATCTAACAAGATTGCCAGTGACGGAGATGCACACTGTCAGCACCTACATTGAAGTGGTGCACCTGCACGATGTGCCGCTGCTTGACCGCCGCATGCTTGCCGTGATGTTGCGTGGCATGCCTCATGTCGTTCAGGTGGGCGTATACAGATGCCGCCTTGTCCACTTTGGCGACGTGATTCCTGTTCTAGACCTCATCTATGAGATCAACGCCGGTCGACGGGAGAAGAAGATGCCGGCAATCAAGGGGTTGGACTTCTACCCCAATTTCGAGGACGGCATGCCGTATGAGCACCAACATGCGGCGACCTACGGCCTCACCTGGGGCCCCCTGCCAATGGACCTGGTGCAGCGAGGCTTCTACGGCATTCTTCTCAAAGCCGTGATGAAGGCAAAGGCGATGAACCTTGGGCAGCTTTTCGAAAAGGAGGGCGCGTTGATGGATTGGCTGGCCAAGGTGCCGAACGTTCCCCTTGGCCCATACTGCTTCTTGGATGCCCTATACCGGTATCTAGAGGTAGACGACCAAGACCCCGATCAGGACGACAAGAGGACGCAGGCCACGTATGACCTGCTCAAGCCGATTCGCATTGCCACTGAATCGTCTCTGAGTCTGGACTGGCCCATGTACTACACAAAGCATATGGGGCGGAAGTACTTTTGCTCATCCTGCGGATATGAGACTTTTCGGGAATTTTTTCCCAACCGCGCCAGTTGCCTCCCCCGGTTCAGGCGAACTTGCTGCGCCTGCGAACTGCAGGCGGCTCTCGACGAGGAGAAAGACCATGCCAAGGCCTGGAAGTTGGACATGCTGGACGTCATATGCCCCCTGTGGCAGCGGCGAGAGTTCAACATGGACGCACCTCTGTACGGCAACGGCGCGGGCCTGATCTGTCTCAAATCCACCGAGACGGATCGCGAAAGGCATCTTGCCCCTCAACTTCAAGAGCTGCCCCTGATTCGAGACAATAAGCGTCATTTTGATTCACTAGTTGGTCTCCCCAGCCTCGGAGATGTCACAAAGGGCTTTATAATGGCTCCCCTGTGGCAGGATGCCGTCGCCCTCGGATTCCGCTACGACCTTCAACGCCGAGGCATTTTGGAACTGCGGCATCGCTATTACCGCCAGTGGAAGGGGGTTCCAGCTTTCTCCTCTTCGCGAGAGGATGGCGGAGCGCCAGATCACGAGGACGAACTGCAGCCCGTAAACGTAAACCGGAATTTGTCGTTTTTTGACCATCAGAAGGCCCTGGATGTGGCCAATCGCATGAGGCTGAGTGGTTGGTGAACGACTCAAGCGCCGTCGTTGAGTTGCACGATCATGTATGAACGACATGGACGTGGCCTGCTGCTACGCATCGATAAGTTATGGTTGACAAAAATCATTGGAGGAATTGCCCCCAGAATCCTGCGCGATGTTGGTGTAGTAGCAAATGAGAATGGTTACACGAACTTGATGAGGTTAAGGGCCCGTACATAGCGAAAGATGTCATTGAGATGTGTTGCGAAGGTACATTTGCGTTTATCGACTCTGGATCATATGAGGGCGGTGTACAGATAGTCAATCCAGATATATTCGAGCCTTTCTCATCTGCTCCATTATTACCAGCTCAATGACTTGATGATGTTCAGGTCAATTCGTACGTGTTGATGTAGTTGTTGGTTTGGGCATCGACAGCGTCTAGTAAGTACATGTAGCCACGTGACCTTGGACGGCAGATACCGGGACTTGCACCACCACCAAGGAAAAAAAGACGGCCGAACGATTGTCCTGCCTCGCCCAGCAAACGCCAGAACGAACAGAACAAACCAGCACAACGCGCACGATCCGACAAAATGGCCTCCCTGCTGCGCACGCTCTCCCTGACGGCAGGGCTTCTGCGCTCTGCTCCGGCGACGGCCAGCGTCGTCAAGGGTAGCCTTGCGACAGCGAGCCCAATCTCCGCCTGGATGGGCTGGATGGCGAGGCCTGCGGTTGGCGGGGCGCTGCAGCAGACGAGGGGGATGAAGGTGCACAGCTCGGTGAAGAAGAGGTGTGAGCACTGCAAGGTAGGTTTTGTTCTCTCTCTCTTTCTCTTTCTTGGCTTGATTCTGTGATTGTAGAATTGGGGCTGTAGTAGGAATGCGTATGACTGACTTGTCGAATGCAGGTTGTCCGACGAAAGGCTGGAAAGCGACACAACGGGTACTTGTACATCATCTGCAAGGCGAATCCTCGACACAAGCAGCGACAGAGCTAGAGGCATTGGTTGATTTCAATCTTCCTTTTACCTCTTTCTTTTCGAACTATTCTCATGAACGATGACGATTCTCCCGGGCGAAGCGGACATTTTGTATAATTACTGGCGCATAAAAGGCGACGAACAAATCAGGACGAAAGAAAAAAACTACAAACGGACCTGTGGCGAAAGCATTTGGTAGACGACATTACGGCAATGACTCCTGAAGAGAGGAGGCTGGGCTCGGAGGAGGACATCTGATCCGAAGCTTTGCGCCGCGAACAAGGCTCACTGAGATGGAGGGGGCTTCAACGGTTGACGGTTCGGAAAATGCCGTCATGAAATGTACATTTTTTCCCCTCTCTCTTCTTCTTGTGTGTGTATATGTAGAGATTACATACCCCCGATATACCTCTCCATGCTTTCCCATTCGGTTTTCCCTGTTGATAGGAGGTATCGTATGTGGGACTTGATTGATTGCCAGGTTAGCAGGGTCTGTTTTATCTATACATTGAGGGGGGGAGGGAGAGAGGGGCTTTTGGTGAGGTGAGGCGAAGGATACGTACAATGTCTTGGACGTGACGATGACGCTCGAATTCGTCGCGGGCGTATTTGCGGGATTCGGCTCTTGTTCGAGGATCCGCGATGCGTCTTGTGCCTCGCCAGATGGTACGGTACAAGGACAGGGCCCTTGATCGCTGGAGGAACTGAAAGAATGCAGCTGGTTTAGCTTGGCTGTATGGATCTGCTTCACAGCATTCATTTGTACGTACGTGATCTAGGCTTATGGTTGGCTTGAGCCGGGATGCTGGCCGTTGTGTGGCGTAGCCTCGGCTGAGGCCGAGGGGCAGCAGGCGGATGCCGGGATTCATCAAGGTCTATCTATGCATTGGTTCTTGGGGGATTTGTACAGAAAGAAGGAAGGAAAGGGGATATGTAGTTGCGGAGAATTACAGGCGTGGTGATGATGAGAAAAAGTTGATGTATTGGGTGGAAAGACATGGAGCCGGCCGAACTTCGGATGGCTTGAATGTTGTTCAGTTGACTGCTTGGAGCTGAGGTACAATGATGTTCACATGCCTTTGATCGATTTACAGCGTTGAAGCGCGATTATTGGCTATTTTCTGTTATTGAAAGGCAAACCATGATATTGATCTTGCAAGATCATGAGGGTCAGCATGGCTGTCCTCTGTATGATATGCTGGTCTAATTATTGGGGCTGCAAGGGGGGGTTCGGCTTCAGCCTTCCGTGGCTTCGCTCTGGCATCGAATATAGTACCTACCACCCTACCTCTTTGGCATCTTTGAACAACTGCCTTGATAAAGCCATTGACGTTCATTAAAAGCCCAATATTTCACACAATGGGCGAGGAGCAGAGCCAAGAAACTGTGTCTAAGCGGAAACAGTCCCAAAAAATACACCCAATTGCAATAGCCAACGACAAGACCGATGAGGAGTTCATCAAGGACTATCTACAGCCAAGGTACGGCGTACAGCCCAGCCGTCCAGCAAGGGGCTTCATCACATACCTACCTACCTATGCACATATCCCTCTCATGCACATTCAACAGCATAGGTCCGACTGTGATCCTTCACCAGTGCTGATACATTTCGTAGCCAAGATTGGGCGACATGGACGCATCCTCTAACACAGAAGCCATACTCGCTGGAGTTCCTCTCATCCCACGAGCTTTCTAAGGACGACTTCAAGGCCTGCTTCGACATCATCGAGCTTACTAGCGGCGTAGACTACAGAAACTCTTCGGTGGGATGGCATCCGTCCATGAAGAAGAAGGAGATGAAGTCTCCCGATCTGCGGTACATTCTCGTCAAGGATGACCAAGGCACAGTCAAGGGGTTCACGTCCTTGATGCCGACGTTTGAGAACCACGAGCCCGTGCTGTACTGTTACGAAGTTCATCTGGTTCCCGAGCTCCAAGGGTAGGCTCTCCCCCCGACCCCCCCTCTTTCTTTTCCCTTTCTTTCAAAATCCCTTTTCTTGTCTCGATTTGTCGCCAACTCTCGCTCATCTATGTGTGTGTCTGTCTGCGAACTATTAGATCCGGCCTCGGCAAGCACCTCATGGCCCAGCTCATCACCATTGCGGAAAACATTCCTTCTACGAAAAAGATCATGCTCACGTGCTTCACGAGCAACACCAGCGGGTTAAAGTTTTACGAGAAGCTCGGGTTCATAAAGGATGATTTTTCGCCGAGGGATCGGACTTTGAGAGGGGGAAAGGTGGTGAAGCCTGATTATGTGATTCTGAGTCGGGGAACTGCGCATGGGGGCGTGGACGGTGAGTGGAATTGAATTGAGGGATTTGAGCGAGATATAGAGCCTTTATAGATGGTTCATGATGTTGAGTTAGACAAATTATGAGATGGACAATGTTTCTCCTCATGAGCATGCGAGACCAAACACATACTTTAGCTGTGAGATCACACAAGCCCAAGGGCGATTCATGACTTTCACTTCTTTAGGGATTTAGAGCCCCAGCTAAACCGACGACTCAAGTCAAAAGGTCAGCAAAATTTTCACAGCATGTCTCGTGCAAGTCTCTCGAAATTTTGGCATGCCCCAAGGGCCGCATCGCTTGTATTAATTAATCTCAGGGGTATCATGAATCATGTCATCAAATTTCCAAGCCTGCCTCTAGAATCATTGCTGGGAGGTCTTTTGTTTACTCAATAGCTTTTTCTTAAGCTCACCACCGCAAGCATCCCGTACCAAAACTCCAAAAATATCAATCAAGCCCTTCCCGTTTTGTTTCCTACCCTCTCTCGTGTAAGCAACCTCGTCCGGATTCCTCATGCATCAAGTCATTCCTCATGCGTAGAGCTTCTTCTCATACGACTCCATGTTCACGTTGCCCTCCAGCTGAGCGCTGGCCGTGCGAAGCTCGAATCGCAGGGTGCCATTGGCAGCCGACTCTTGCAGCTCCTTCAGGCTGCGCATGCCGCAGTCCTGCATGGAGTGCTTGAGGCCAGCAGCGAGGTAGGGAACAAACTTGGAGATGGAGCTATCGAATGTGTCAGCCAATGGATACATCCATACACGGGGAGAGAAGCATTGCGGGTCGCAACATACCCTCGGTGAGCCACGGAACCGGAAACACCCTGAGCAACCAAGACACTGTCTCCCTCGGAGAAGTAACGGGCAGTGCCGGCGTTGCTCTTCTGGCTGTCCTTGCCACCGCCGCCAGCCTTCTTGTCCTGCATGGCATCAATGGAGCCCATGCCACGGTAGGCCTTGACCAGCTTTCCTTCGCGGGAAACGAAAGAAGTGCCGGGAGACTCGGTTGTGCCGGCCAGGAGACCACCCATCATGATGGTGGAAGCACCGAGAGCAAGGCCCTTGGCAATGTGGCCAACGTTCTGAACACCACCGTCGGCAATGCAGGGAACGCCAAAGCGGGCGGCAAAGGTACTGACAGCGTGGACGGCGGCAGCCTGAGGACGGCCAACGGCCATGACCTCCTGGGTAATGCAGGCTGAGCCGCTTCCCATACCAATTCGGAGACCGTCAACGCCAGCGGCGATGAGAGTCGCGGCCTGCTCTCGGGTGACGACGTTGCCGCCAATGACATCCAGATTGGGGAACTCCTTCTTGATCCACTTGATCATATCAACCTGGTACATGCTGTTACCCTGGGAGCTGTCGAGGATGACAATGTCAAGACCAGCGTCGACGAGCAGCTGAAGACGAATCTTATCCTCTGGGCGAGTGCCAATGGCAGCGGCGCAGATCAGCTGCTTGCTGTCGGGAAGCTTGGAGGCCAGGGGGAAGTGCTGGTTCTTGGTCAAGTCGGAGCGGGAGATCATGGCCACCAGGTTGAAGTCCTTGTCCACAATGGGCAGCTTGCCCTTCTTGGACTGGGACAGGATCTTGTTCGCCTCGGTCAGGGTAACACCGGCGGGGGCAGTGATGAGGTCGGTGACCATGACCTTGGAAACAGGCGCGCTGTAGTCATCCTCGAACTGGATGTCTCGGTTGGTAACGATACCAAGGAGCTTGGAGCCGATCTTTCCGTCCTCTGCGTCGTGTTAGTCATGATGCTGTGCACGGCCAGATTCGAGACGACAATGGATGATGAGACATGTGCAGGTCATAGTATTGGTGGTCCTCAGGACAAAGGTCTTTTGGTGGAACGAAAGTTATAAATTGAAAAGGTTTATAATCATGCAATGCGAAGCCGGGAGCGAATGCAGTCGAGAGTGAAAAATTTTCCTTACCAGTAACGGGGAAGCCTCCAAAGCCCCATTTCTCCTTGAGGGCCTTGGCCTCGCCGACGGTGGTGTCGCGCGTGATGACAACGGGGTCGAGGATGAAGCCGTTCTCAAAACGCTTCACCTTGCGGACCATGTCAGCCTGGGCGGCGGGAGAGCAGTTGTGGTGGATGACACCCAGGCCACCCTGAAGGGCCATGTGGATGGCCATCTCGTGCTCGGTGACGGTGTCCATGGGGGAGGACACAAAGGGCGTCTTGAGCGTGATGCGCTTGGTGATGGGGGCATCGAGGGTGACCTCGGAGGCAGGGAAGCCAATGTAGCCGGGGAGGATGAGGAAGTCGTTGTAGGTCAGACCACCGTGCTTGGTCGTGTCCATGAGCTCTTGTCGGTCGAGGCCATCGCGGGACTTGTACTCGGCCAGGACGTCCACGGCCGTGGTGTGGTCGAGGATCGTGGTGTTACCGTTGATGGCGGCCATTGTGTCCTTTCTTTCTGGTGAAATTCAAAGGTGAGAGAACAACAGACAGACAGACAAAGAGCGAGGTTGAAGGCGGAAAATCAATCAAATCTGGTAGAACTTGATCGATTGTCTGGAGTTGATACGGCGCTTCTTCCCGAAAGAAAGAAGAAGGAAAAAAAAGTTTTGAGGCGGGCCGTCCGAAATTTTTTTATCTTATGGATGCGCTACCGCAGGGTCTGAGCCAAAAGGAGGGGCAATTGGGGGCATTGGCTTTAGTTGCGGGGACCTGCAAAAAAAAAAAAAAAAAAAAAAAAAAAAAAAGAGCTTACACGCTATGGAGCGGCATATAATATCAGCTACCTTACCCTATAATAGCTCTAGGAGACGCCTAGAGTTGTCAGTTTGAACTGGTAATGAGGAGAAATGAGTTTTGAACTCGATGATTCGGTAGGTTCCGGCTCTCAGCAGCACGTTTCAATGGTAACACTTTCGAGCTTCAAGCGGCTCATGTGCGTGTTCTCGCGGGTTCATGTATAATACCTGGTAATGAGACTTTTTTCACTGTTGGTGTTCTTGTACCTGATGGCTATGATTTTCATCGACTGAACAAGGTGCTCTCTCTTGAACTATGACACCGAAATTGGCCTGGAAAAGAGTGTGATATGTCAAAGCAAACGACTGTGTGCCGTATTCCTTTCTCCTCTTTTTCAGAAGACCGCACTCAAGGCGAGTATTCACCGTTTCACTGCCTCTTCAGCCCCTCATCACTGCTCAGTGTGCGGCTGCACTTATGTACCTTATCAAGAACGGACCATGCTCTGAATCCAGCAATACGTCACTCCTCTATCCACTGACGGAGAATCTTCGGTACAGCTTGCATGCAGTCATCTGCATACGCGGAATGGTGCTAAGCCATGCTGCAGGCTGCGAGATGGGGAAGCTGTCAAGAGCAATACTTACGTACTCGAGATCTGATAGCTAATACCACCTTGAGCCTTTTTTTTCTCGATTGCGCATCGCAAGGCTGCGATCTGGTTTGCCTTGTAGGGCGACCAACGGCGGCTTGTCGCTCGGATACCACCAGCTCATGAGCTTGCAATAGCGATAACCGCCGACTCCAGCTGCCCCCCCCCCCCCCCCCCCCCTCTCGACCAAATACACCCGTCATACGCCGCATATCCCCGCGTCGACACTCTGGATGCTGGACAATGTGATGGCCTTTGCGATACAATGTCTGACTCTGAAGACGCTTCTCCTCCCGGAGAGCCGGTGGCCGACATCGAGAACGCGGCTCCCGTCATAGAACACGATGACGAGGCCGATGTCCCTCAGCTCGAGCAGCAGGAGGTAGCGGAGGACGCAAGCTCTGCCAATGCGGACGAGAAGGAAAATCATGCCATAGATGCCAGGCAGCTGTATGGGCGTGCTCAGAATGGAGATAGATCTGAACTCACATCGGCAGATGCGAGCTCTATTGATGCGATCCCGCGGAGAGCCGGGAGCCCCATGGAATCCGTCACCTCTGCGCCGGGGGATTCTCCATCCGTCCAGGTATTTGATGGCTTCCCGCATGCCATGCTTTAGCGACACAATCTGACAGGCGTAGGGATCACATCTATCCTCCCCAAGCAGCAGTGTCTTGCCGTCGTTTGCTTCCCGTCCCGGCTTTGGCAGCCCCACGCCGTCCTTCCGACCGTTTGACCGACGCTTCCAATCCCGGATAGCATCCTTCAACACGCTCAGTCCTCGCCCAACGTCTCCCGCATACGTACCGAACCACAGCCGTCATGCCTCATACAACTCCAACTTCCCGTCAGATCAGCCCGATACTGACACACCGTCGCCCCCGTGGGAGGTTGTGCGGTGGACGAGACTGAAAAAGCTCAACAGCTATGCGTTCTCGGAATCAGGGAGGCGTAATTTCGGGTCCCCTACGTGTCTTGCCGTGTCCGCTTCGATCATTTTGGGAACCTCTAAAGGTATAATCTTAATATTCGACTATAATCAGAATCTGAAAACCATCATTGGCCCTGGAACCAAAGGTATGTACATGCCGGTGCGGAATGTTCAAATCGTGCACGGCTGATGTTGGTAGCCGTGGAATCTGGGCCCATCACCGCCCTTGCTATCTCGGCGGATCATGCAGTTATAGCTGGCGGCCATGCGAGTGGGAATATCTTCACCTGGGACACTGGACGACCGTCGCGGCCCTTCCTCACAATCCCACATTTGGACGGGGCACAGGTGCAGAGTAGGACTGTTGATGGCCACATGCCAGATGCGTCTGTCGTCCATTTAGGGTTTCTGGGGACTCGCCACACGGCTCTTGTGTCTGCGGACAATCATGGCATGGCATTCTCTCATCTTGCCACCAGGGGCACGGGGCCACTAGGGAGGACGGTCAAGACGACGAGGATACTGGGCCGGTATCCCAACGCGCCCATGCTACCGGGTAAAACTATCAAGCCCAGCGCTGTCCTGGCCTTTTCGCCTCTGCCGCTGGGAAACATTGAGCGGGAGACTGACAAGATGGGACTGACGGCCATGCTGACCCCCTATTTGCTGGTCATTGTGTCGACGACTCCGGTGGCTCAGACGCAGCACAAGTCGGCACGCCCCAAGGATGTCCCGGCTCATAGCGCCATGACCGGCTGCCTGGCTTGGTTTCCTGCCGTGAGCCTCAAGGTTGCGGACGCACACACCGGCTCGACCCTCTCCAAAGCGAAGCTGGTGTACTGTTGGTCTAACGTGCTGACGGTACTCGACGTGGATGAGATTCCGGGAGAGGACAGTGATCCGCCGTCGCTGAGATTCAAGGCTCGGAGTAGGTGGAAATGTGAGGAGGCTATCGTCGCGGTACAGTGGCTCAGCCGTTCTGTACTGACAGTCTTGACAATCTCCCAAAGACTGATTGTCCTAGAGGACAGGACGATGCGTATGACGGAAGCCTTCGACCTACTGGAGAGATACATTTACCACACTGACCTGTTCTCTCATCAGCTGCATAGCCTCGTGGAAAATCTAGACGAAGATGACGTCTCAATGCATGGGGTCGTAGCCGACGCGTTTTACATGAGCTTCAAGGCATACAAAGGGAGAATGTTCCTTTTGGGTTTCAACGATGTGTCGATAGGGGCATTGTCGAACTGGGCAGATCGGCTGATTGCCACGATGGAGCATGGTGACTACATAGGGGCCATCCAGCTGGCTACATCGTACTACACCGGTGACGCCAATAAACTGACAGTCGGCCTCCCTGACGACACTGAGCAGAGGCACAACATGGTCCGCGACAAGATCATGGAGATCACTAGTGCCTCCTTAAAGTACGCTTTTGCGCAACGACAGAAGAGCAGGGCGTCCGTGGACGATGACCATCTGAAGCAGCTTGCCGAAACTTGCTTTGTGGCCTGCCAGACCATCGGCAACACCGATTATCTGTTTGAGGAGCTGTATGAGTGGTACAGCGATGCGGATGCCGAGGGCATATTCCTCGAGACCCTCGAGCCATTCGTCCTCGATCAAAGCATTCGAAGCGTTCCGCCCACGGTGGTGAAGGATATGGTCAACTACTATGTTACCAAAGGCTGGGAGAGCAGGCTCGAAGAGCTCATCTGCCATATGGAGACGGCGACTCTGGACCTGGATCAGCTCACCATCCTCTGCAAGCAGCACAACTTGTATGATGCGCTGACCTACGTCTGGAACCAAGCTCTCCAGGACTACATCACTCCAATGATTGACCTGCTTAGCCTTCTGGTTCCGTTGATGTCGAATGGGAGCTCCATCGCTGGTAACACAAGCGACGATTACTACGGTGTCAACGCCGTCAAGATATTTCCCTACCTTTCTTACATCCTGACGGGGCGCGTTTACCCGAGCGGCGAAGCCATGGATGAGCAGACGGCGAACAAGGCCAAAGCCGAGGTCTATTGGTTCTTCTTTTCTGGAAAGACGATTTCGTGGCCCAAGGGCAGCGGTAAAGCGTTTCTCACAAGAGCCGATGGAGGGCCTGAGCCAGCATATCCCTATCTGCGGATGATTCTGAAGTTCGATGCTCCTAGTTTCCTCAGCGCTCTCAACGAAGCTTTTGAAGATTCCTTCCTAAATGACGCTTCAGATGATCGTCCGAAGGGCACTGGCTCTAAAGCGGACATGCCTGAAGAGCAGATCTTTGGCATGACTATCAACCGGCAATATGTTCTGTCCATTTTGCTGGATGTGATGAACCCGTCAGAGTTTGCACCGGCGGATACAATCTATCTCGACATGTTCATCGCTCGGAATCTTCCCAAATTCCCGCAGTATCTGCTTTTCCCGGGCTCAACCTTGTCAAACGTCCTCACGGGGCTCTGCAATTACCCCGGCCCCGATCTCGCCGAGGACGCGCAATTGAGCGCCGAGTATCTTTTATCAGTCTATCATCCCTCGGATATGCCTGCATTGATGCCGCTGTTCAAGCAAGCCGGCTTCTATCGGATCTTGAAACGAATATACAGAGCCGACAAAGAGTATGGAAAGCTTGTGGAAACGTTCTTCGAAGATCCGGAAGATCAGGATTTGGTGTTTGAATGTATCGCAGAGTGCCTGCGACCCCAGAGCGGGCTGAATCGACGACAGGAACAGGAAGTCTTGGCCGTTATCGAGAAACACGCCAGAGACCTGCTCGAACTGAGTCCTGAACGTACGGCGTCGACTCTTGCTCTACAGAGATCCGAACTGCATCAGCACGTCCTTGATACCGCGGATGATGCCCCTGAGCTGCAGCATGCTTACCTGAAGGCATTGCTAGAGCCAGAGAATCCATTGGCTGATGGGCAGCACACGCACGAGCGGCTTCTCGTTGAGCGATATGTGCGGCTGATGTGCAAGTTTGACGCACAACATGTGTCAAGTTACATCGGTCTCGTCCAGTCAGTGGATCTTCAACTAGACAGTCTGCTGCCTACCATGGAGGAAACAGGCGTGGTGGATGCCGCTGTTGTACTCATGGCCAATGCCGGACAAGTCACCGACGCTATGGATCGACTGGTCCAGCACCTCGGCACACTCGAGTCTGCCATGGAAGGTCTCTTGCGGTCTACGGATGCACATAACGGAGAAGAAGGAGCAGACAGCGGCTCGCTGTCGCTGGAACCGTCAGCTGAAGCTCTTCTCGAAAGCCTGCAGAATTATGTTCATGTCGGGATATGGCTTTGCCAAGAGCAGACCAAATCTACAAGGAGAGTTAGTGTTGTATCAAGGAGCAAATCATCTCAGGAGAACCTATCCACTGATGAGAGTCTCTGGTTGAGTCTCATCGGTGCTTGCGTACGAGTCACGCAGAGTCTGTCTCCACTGCTACATGCGGCTGCAAGCGAGCATGTGCTTGACGAAGAGAAGCTTTTGGCGAAGCTGCGATCACTTGTACAGCATACTTTTACCTCACTTCTTGTTTCCACCTCAAGCCAAGCTTCCACCCCAGCAAACGACCAAACAAGTCCCAAAGCTTTGGCAAGCCCGGGGTCTAACCTCTCGTTCCTACGAGTATTGAGGGCGTTCCTGACAAATGCAGCGGCGTCGTCTCCAAGCTTGGCAGATCTCCGCCACGTGCTTGCGTCCATATTCTCGGCTTACGCATACGAGGAGTCGATTCTTCGCCTGTCGAACCGCCTCTTGGAACGCAGCTTGTTTACAAGCGTTAACACATCCGTTGAACTTCGACAGCGTGGATGGAGGCCACGCGGCTCTACGTGCGAGGCCTGTGGCAAAAGAGTCTGGGGCCCAGGTCTTGCCGGTGCTACCATCTTTGAGGCTTGGGAAGACAAGCAAGCCGCTGAAGAGGTGGCCCGGAAGCAGAGGCAGATCCAGGCTGCGGAGCGGGCCAAGGGCCATGCCAGAGTGTCGGATCGTCGGAGCAAGGGCAAGAGTCTGGACACACGCCCATCGAGCATGCTCATTGAGCAACTCGCCGGAAAGTCCAACAAGGACCAGGTTCTGGGGCCGCTCGTCGTATTGGCCTGCCGGCACATCTATCACCAGACGTGCCTGGATGCCTTGCAGGAGAAGCAGGAGAATGGTGTCTTGCCTCGAGAACTCGATTACAAGTGCCCTATTGACGGATGAATCATGGATACGAATGATGACATGAGGCTGTGTTGTACAATGGTTGTTTCTGGCACGAGGTGTTAGACATACAGCAGCGAGCAAAGATGTTTGGGAAAGTTGGTGCATTTTGGTAATTGGAGCGGATGAAATCGACATAGCAGGCCTTTATCTTGGGAGTATCTTGGAATGGAAAAGCGCATTGAAGCTGACGAATTACTTGTGTACTCTAGATGGTGGTTATTTAGCTGTAAATAGATTTATGCTGCATGTCCCTGCCTGACATTTGGTCTGATTGTGGTTGATGTTGCGTATGTCGGCGGGTTAGCTTTTCCCGTATGCCGAATCCCGTGATTATGCCGCATCCAACCATTCCGCCTCTTTACCCAAGTCCGTCCCTGGTCTTTTGCAACTTATTACAACAACATCTTGCATAGCATACAATATTCCCTGTCGGCTTCATCCGCCATGTCTGGCTCCGACGAGGACGGATTCGACGGCGAGTACATCTCGGACAATCAATCGTCGGGCTCCTCAGACCAGGAATCGCCGCCGCTGCCTCTCTCGCAGAACTACTTCGCGCCGCCCTTCTACGGCCGCCCGCCCACGCCTCTGCCCCCTTCGCCGTCCCTGACCTCGCTGCTGCGGCCGTCCCGTCCGACGACGCCCGATGCCTCCGACGACGACATCGCGCCCGTGCCGCGGACGGCGCCCAAGGTGCCGACATACGAGTACTACGGCTTCGTGCTGTACCTGTTCAGCAGCCTCATCTTCCTCATGTACCTGCTGTGGAGCTACCTCCCGTCGCCGTTCCTGCACGCGCTGGGCATCTACTACTACCCGGATCGGTGGTGGGCGCTGGCGGTGCCGGCGTTCTTGGTGATGACGCTGGTGTACATTTACGTGGCGCTGGCGGCGTACAACCTGGAGATTCTGACGGTGCCGCTGAACAGCGTGGAAACGATTGTGGACGGGGCGGGGAAGCTGGCGGTGATTGATTCTAAGGGGAGGCTCAAGGGGAGTAATAAGAGGGAGAAGAAGTGTGATAGCAACGGGAGGCTGAGGTGGAGGGAGATTTGGAACGAGGGGACGGATGCGGTGCTTGATATCCCGCTGGCGGGGGTTTGCGAGGTGCTGTACGGGGAGGGGAGGGAGGTTTCTGATGGGGAGGAGGGGACATGATGATGTTTGTTTGTTGGATAGGGATTTCTGTGTGGTTATGGCGTTTCTTTTGGCAGACAAGCAAGCAATCTTATGAGCGATTGTAGAGGATACCCCATGTAGTTTTACATTACCGAGGGGAAACAGATAAGAACTCTCAGGTGTCTAATAAGACAGCAATCTGTCATGACTGCATCTTTTCGGGAAATCCTCCTCGCAATACAAATCACTTGGCTTCAATATCACACAATCTTCGAAGCTGACCGCTTGCACATCAGCTCCATTCCATGGTGGTGGAACACACCCAATTAGCCTAGCGCCTAGTGGCCGCTGTTGATGGCGGCACCCCACTGTAGCCTTGCAGCAAAAAACCCGAAAAAAAGTTGCAGGGCTGAGCTACAAAATTTCTACATACAAACTTGATGATACCAGCCTCACCAAAGCAAAGAGACTTCTACAGCACATGCTTCGTTAAACCAAGGGCGCTCAAATCACGACAATCGCCTCGAATTTGCCTTGCCGCAGCACTCACGCCATGGATATCCTCAAAGTGCTCTCGCGCGGCACGAAAAAGAGCGCCAAATCCTCGCTCGCAGGCGGCAGCGCCGTGGGCAAGCTGCCCTCGTCCGGAACGAAGCCCAATCCGCAGCTCTTCCACGACGAGGTCCGCGGCCACAAGAGGAAGCGCGACGCTCACGAATCCGAGAGCAACAAGATCCCCGAGGAGCTGCCCGAGGTCGACTTCTTCGCGCCCAAGGATGCCGCTGCCGAGGCGAAGCCGACAAAGGCCGATGCGTCCAACAAGAACAAGGGCAAGCGAGAGGCGAGTCCGGCGGCCGAAGCGGCCAGGCTGCTGAGCCCGGAGGAGTGTCGCCAGCTGCTGCGGTCGCACCGCCTCAAGGTGACGCTGCTGTACAAGCGCGAGGAGGAGCAGAACAAGGTGAAGAAGTCGAAGAAGCAGAAGAAGGCCGCTGCTGCTGCTGCCGTCGTCGTCGAGGCCAAGAAGGACCACAAGAAGCCGCCGCAGCTGACGCCGCAGCCGCTGGAGTCGTTTGGCCAGCTGCGGAGCACGTACAACCTGTCTCGCAGGGTGGCCGAGAACCTGGCGTACCAGGGCTACCGGGTGCCGACGGAGGTGCAGATGGGGAGCATGCCGTTGCTGATTCGGCCGGACCTGGCATTGAAAGGGGAGGAAGGGCTGGAGAGAGGGGTGGATCTGCTGGCGGTTGCGCCGACAGGGAGCGGCAAGACGATCAGCTTCTTGGTTCCCACAATCAATAACATCATGAGGAGGAGGGCGGAGGAGAAGCTGCATGGGATCCACGAGCTGGAGGCCATCGTTATTGTGCCGACTCGAGAGCTGGCCTATCAAATTGTCAGCGTTGGCAGCCAGCTGGTCAAGGGGACTGGCATCAAGGTGCTCGGTATGAGGAAGGGGATGGCCCTTGCTGCCGAGAGCCAGGATATTGGAGAGGACAGCTCGGACGAAGAGGAAGAGAAGGCGGAGGAGTCTGATGAAGAGGAAGACGAAGAGGAAGATGAGCATGGGAAACCAAAAGCGGTGGCAAAGGTCGACATCCTGATCACGACGCCTCTTCTCTTGCTCAACTTTCTCACCTCTGGATCATCAAGTACACAAAAGATTTTGCCAACCGTCCGCGACCTCATATTAGACGAAGCCGATGTGCTCCTCGACCCCCTGTTCCGCGAACAAACACTCGGCATCTGGGCCGCCTGTAGCAATCCGGATCTACGGCTCTCGTTCTGGTCCGCAACGATGGGCTCCAACATTGAGACGCTCGTCACCGAAAGACTGACCTCAAGGGCCGAGTCCTTGGGCATCCCCCAAAGGCCGCTGGTGCGCTTGGTTGTCGGCCTCAAGGACACGGCCGTGCCAAACATTGTCCACAGGCTGATTTATACCGCGAGCGAGCAAGGAAAGCTGCTTGCTCTGCGGCAACTCCTGCGGCCTACTTCGAGCATCGATTCAGGCCCGCCACTGCGGCCGCCTTTCCTCGTCTTTACGCAGACGATTGAGAGAGCTGCTGCCCTGCAGGAGGAGCTCAAGTACGACATCCCGCTCGAGGCGGGCGGTTCGTCCAGAATAGCTGCTCTGCACAGCGGCCTTCCCGACGCAGCCCGAGCAGCCATCATGCGCAAGTTCCGCGCGGGAGAAATTTGGGTGCTCATCACGACTGACGTCCTCGCCCGAGGCGTGGACTTTGCCGGCGTCAACGGAGTCCTGAACTACGATGTGCCGGGGTCAAGTGCGGCGTACGTGCACCGCGCAGGGAGGACGGGGCGAGCTGGCCGAGAGGGTGGCATAGCCGTCACCTTCTATACCAAGGAGGACATTCCCTTTGTCAAGACCGTTGCCAACGTCATTGCCGCGAGCGAGAAGCAGGCGGGCAAGACGGAGGACGAGGCCGGCGTGCAGAAGTGGCTGCTTGACGCCTTGCCGAACGTCGGCAAGGAGGATAGGAAGAAGCTCAAGGAGAGGGGCGTCGAGTCGAGGAGGAGCGGCAACAAGGCTATGATTACGTCCAGGAGCGGGTATGAGCGGCGGAAGGAGCACAATAGGAAGGGGGCTATTGAGGGGAGCAAGAAGAGGAAGATGGAGGCTCGGGAGGACGGGGATGGTGGTGGTAAGGAGGGTGAATGGGGTGGATTTGACGATTAGCTATGATATCCTATCTGATAGAGTATGATGAGAGAGCTCTGTTTCATGCCATATTGAGTTGTGCTATGCTACGAAGCTCTTACTTGGATAAATCCATACGTCAAACGCTTGTCATATCCATAGCCCTCACAACGTGTTCGATCCTGTTTAATATATTACAAAGAACCGTAAGCAATGATTCATTATTATGTTCATACTCGTACATGATATCTAACTAGTGTACAGATTTGCAACCCCTGGTCTATCCATGGGAATGTTTGACGTCTATTTCTCACCACCCTTCTCGTCAGCCGACAATCCAACCACATTTCGCACCGTGCCAAAGCTCAAGCAGTCGCTGATGCGATTGGCGCCCGAAAAGAGCATCACCAGACGCTCGACACCGCATCCCCAGCCACCGGTAGGGGGAAGGCCGTAGTCGAGGGCCTTGACGTAGCTCTGGTCCAGCGGCGAGGCTTCCCACTCGTCCTCTTCTTCCACGGCTTCGGCCGGCGGCTGCGCGGCGTCGCCGTCTGCGGCCACCGGCTCGGCGAATCCGACGGTGCCGTCGGGCTTGTTGACGAGGCTGCGGTGGACGGCGAGTTTTCGCTTCTGCTCCTCGGGGTTGTTCTCCTCTTCGTACATGTTGGCGAGTTCCCGGCCGCCGATGAAGAGCTCCGCGCGGGCGGACACGAGCTGATACGTCTTTGGGCAGAGGAAGCTCTTGGCCAGGGGCGACATGCAGGCGGGATGGTGCGTGATCAAGATTGGTTCGGTAAAGGACATGGGCTCCAGGTACGTCGCGGCGAGCCGGTCGAGGAGCTTCGGCAGAGACGTGGGCACCTCTCCGGGAACTTCAATTCCTGAGAGTTTCAGTACGGCCAGGAGCTCGGCGAGGGCGCCGTCTTCCACGGTGAGCTTCGGCAGGCGGATGCCGATTGCTTCCTCCAGCGCCGGGATGAATTCCACCTGCTTGAAGGGCCGGACGAACTTGCTGAGGTCGATGGGTGGTAGAGTGGTGAGCTCTGTGGAGATGAGCTCCTGGGAGCGCTTTGCGAGGCTGTATATCAGCTCCTCCGTCTCCTTGATGAGGTCGGGCAGGTTTGTATAGGCGCTGTAGAATTCACACATTGTGAACTCGGGGTTGTGAGTGGCATCGATGCCCTCATTTCGGAAGGCAGGGCCCATCTCGAAGACCTTGTCTACGCCGCCGACAACGAGGCGCTTCAGCCATAGTTCGGGTGCGATTCGAAGAGCCAGATCTTTGCCTCGGAACTCTGTGGCTCGCGTCACAAACGGACGCGCAACTGCACCACCGGCGTTCTCGGCGAGGATTGGCGTCTGGAACTCAAGGAAGCGCTTGGAGTGGAAATGGTCGCGGATCTGCTTCATGATCTCTGATCGCAGTCTCAAGACATCGACGACATCGCGGTTCACCAGCATATCGACATGGCGCTCTTGCATCTTTGTCTTGGGGTCCGTGAGCTTCTCAGGGATCTGCTCCATGGAGGGGGAGAGAAGCTCAGGCAACTCTCGGGCTTCCAAAGACAGCTGCCCCGTGCTCGTACGGGTGGCAGTTCCGGTGACCGCTACCAGACAATTAGCCTCTGGAGAGACAGCAGGAGGAGGAGCACAATAGGCCTACATATATGGTCTCCAACTTGGATCAAGTTCTTCAAAAGGCGGAATTTATGGGCACGCGACTCTTGCTCTGCAGCAACTTTCTTCTTGTTGATCATGACTTGAACTTTTTGAAACTCGTTGGTGATGTCGAGGAAGATGAGGGATCCCACGACGCGCTTCGATCGAATCCGCCCAGACAAGGTGACGGGCTCGCTCGAAAGCTCATTCTGAGATTCCTCAAGGAACTCGGGGACGCTCTTCCTAATAGACGACGATTCTAGACGAGGATAAGCCTCGGGGTATAGCGGATCTGCGCTCTGCTGGTCCTCTTGCAGCTGTTCCCGGCGGTGCTTCTTGAACGGCGAGACGTCGTCCAGCTCCTCCTGCTCCTCCTTGACAAACCTCGACGACTCGTTGATCCGAACATTAGGCTTGCTGGACAGAGCTCGGGTCGGCTGTCTGCTTGGAGTTGGCCTCCATGATGCGGATATCAGTGCAGCTCTTTGGCTATAGGACCTTGAGCGGACACTCAACGCAGCGGACTGGCGCGCCAGTCTTAGGCAGCTGGCAGACCTCATCTCTTCTACTCGACGCAATTAGCTTTTGCCGTGAAATGTTGATTTGTTATTCGACAAAGAGGGTAAAGATTGTAAAGATCAGAATATAGCAAGTTATAATCTCCAACAGCCCGAGAGCTGTTTCAATCGCAGCGGTTCTGAAGCGAGATTGCAATTCATCATTGTGATGGTTGGAGGAAAAAGAAGAGAGGGGATTCTCAAGGCAGATAAAGACTTACACACATAGCGACGGCACCGCAATATGTTGCCTCACATGCAATCAATTGCGGGTGCACATCCAGCAAAATCAACTCCAAGTAAAGAGAAGAATCTGAAGCTTTGCAGGATGCAAATTTGCGCTTTGTCTGCAAGAATGTGGGCGTAATTTATTGCCGTACTATTTTTTTTTTTCTCTCTTCTCAGCCACCCCGTAATTGGCATCACCCCGCCAAATGCATGAAGCGCAACAGCTGGCCGCAAGCTCACTCAAACTGCAAGACGCCAGGCTGAAATTTATTCCGACGCGCCATTCCTCTTGTAAACCTCCAACCTCCCTCATAGGCGCGCATCTCTCACCACCTTATCCAGAAGACGACAGCTTTGGGAGCTTCTTCTGCGCGAACCTCAACCAATTGGCCGTTCATTCCACACAATCACAGTCATGGCCCAGCAGCCTTTGCCCACGTCGGCGCAGCCAACCGACATTTACGGCGGAGGTGCGTCTCGTCACTGCTTCTGCAGACGTGCCGCATGTGTCTCTCCCTATAAGGTGATGAAGCAAGCTAACGCATGCGTTCTGGTCAACAGATGAAGTCTCTGCCCTCGTCCTCGATCCCGGCTACTGCAATACGCGCGCGGGCTACGCCGGCGAAGACGTCCCCAAGTCCATCCTGCCGTCCTTCTACGGCCACATCACCAGCGACCCTCCCCGAGATCTCTTTGGCGATGAGTGCATCATCCCGCGCGGCGACTTCGAAGTCCGCAACTACATGAACAAGGACAGCGTCGTGGAGGACTGGGATGTTGCGGCCAAGCTCTGGGAGTTTATGCTGGTTAAGCGCCTGCAGCCCGAGCGGCAGACACATCCGTCCAAGAACGGACTGAACGACGACATCAAGGAGCAGGATGGCGAGGGAGACGTCGCCATGGAGGAGGTTGAGGGTCTGGAGAAGCCGCTGGAAGAGTTTCCCTTGTTGATGTCAGAAGCTCCCTGGAACTCGCCCAAGGCGCGTGAAAAGGCCATTGAGCTGAGCATGGAGAGCTGGGGAACGCCCGCCTTCTGGCTGAGCCGGACGCCCGTTCTGGCCTCTTTCGCGGCCGGCAAGGCCACTGCCCTGGTCATCGATGTCGGCGGCGCAAACACCTCCGTCACGGCCATTCACGACGGCATGGTTCTCAAGCGATCCATCCAGCGATCACCCGCCGGCGGCCTGTGGCTGTCGTCGCAAATCCGCAAGATGTGGGAGACGTCCGAGCCCAAGGTCGACCTGGTGCCCACATTCATGGTTGAGAACAAGACGCCTGTGGATGCGCTCGCCCCTCCACAAGCACGACTACGCGAATTTCCCTACAAGATCCACGACTCTTTCCGAGCATTCGAAGAGGAGCGGGTGCTGACGGAGTTCAAAGAGTCCGTCGTCGAAGTTTGGCGTGGCCCTGGACGATACGGCGCCGCTGGAAACGAGGAGTACATCAAGTCACAGCCCGGGCGCGTCTTTGAGATGCCCGACGGGTACAACCAGATGTGGCGCGAGCAGCGGTTCAAGGTGGCAGAGGGAATGTGGGATGAAAACGCTGGGTACCCTCTTCCCGAGGAGGAGCGTCTCACAAAGGCGCAGACCATTCCCGAGCTTATCCGCTCCGCCCTCAACTCTGTCGACGTCGACCTTCGGGGCACTCTCTTGGGCAACGTCGTCGTCACGGGCAGCACGAGCTTGATCAACGGCTTCAACGACCGATTAAACAACGAGCTGACGGCCATGTATCCCGGCCTGAAGATCAAGATCCACGCCGCGGGCTTGTCGAGCGAGCGTAGATTCGGCGCCTGGATCGGCGGCAGCATCCTGGCGAGTCTGGGTACCTTCCACCAGATGTGGATATCCAAGAAGGAGTACGAGGAAAACGGAGCTGGCATTGTGGAGAAGCGATGCAAATAGAGGACAGTTAAAATTCCTAATCTTGGGGGCTATGTTTTGGGTGGAGGATATCGGCGTACGGAGTTGGACGAGAGATGTTAAATGTTATGAAAACTATTCCGAGAGCAAAAGGCCACTGCACACTCACGGGACTTGAGCAGACATTCGAAATACGCATGAACCTTTGAACAATCACCTCTGCAATACATGACACATTGCCCTTCTGGACAGTGAGGTCTGAACTGGACGTCTGATACCCGTTGATTCACCCACTCTCCCATGCTAACCGGCAAAGCTGACCTTGACTTCGACTTCGTCCTTGAACCCAGCCTCCAGTTTCAGAGCCTTCCAGGCTGTCTCAATGTCGATCTCGAGCACACGAGGGTCGTGCTTTGAGCGATGCACAGTCTCTATAGGAACCGCCACGTTCTGCAGCATCACCATCAGGTTCCCCTTGATGGACACCTCAGTCAACGCAGATACGTACACGCCTGAAAAAAAGAGGAAAAAAGAAGTGATCAGCAGACTGCTCCTCGAGAGGTGAGATCTAGTTCCTTCCACTTACCGACGACGCCCAAAGCCTTCAGCTTGACGTCAACAGACACTCTTCCGTTGTCTTTCATTTCGATGCTGCTGCTTATTAGAGCCACACCTCCGGTCATCTTGTCAACCAACCCCAGGCTCGCTACCCAAATATTTCCGTGGTCGGCCCCCTTTAACGGAATGGCGGGGAAAGCTGTGAAAATTTCATATCCTCGAACGTCCAAGGATCCGGCGATGAGCGAGGCTGCGTCTTCAGGCTTCATGGGCGCAGATGTCTTGCCCGTGACGTGTGCTCGTACGATGTAGTGCTGTGACGATACGGTGCCCGGGAAGCAAGAGAGGGGGATGAGTTCGGTGAGAGGACGTGCTGAGATGTTGAAGATGGCTACGATTGGTGTACCAGTTTCTGCTGGGCCTTTTTTTATTTATTTATCAAAATCAGCACGACAAATCAAGCCGTTCATAGCGTATCACGTACCGTTGTAGCTTCCCACTTTGAGAAGCAAATCGTCGTCGTAGCCGATATATGGAAAGATGGCCCGGCCCAGATTATTCGGCCTGAAGATGACAGTCTTTCCCTTGGGAGTCACACCCGTCATTTGCTTGATCAGATCCATGTTATGCTGCCCAGGAACATCCGTGATGTAAATCGGCCCGCCACTGACACACCTCGCAGCAGCGTGGAAGCCAGAATAATCATGTACCGTCTGGAACATGTCCCAGTCCGGAAGGACGTTGAGATACTCCATGAAGATGCTGTTGTACGCATTCGTCCACACGTGCCAGGGATGCGACGAGGGGATCTGGGGGAAGAAGTCGTCCGAGTTGCGGACAAGCAAGGGAGGCCGGCCCGGCAGCATCTGCGAGTTGAAGAGCGCCTGCGGGATCTGCGACATGCACGAGATGGTCTTGACGCTGAAGTAGCGGAGGGAGGCGAGGCTCCAGGCGTCGAGATACGTGTTGATTAGGTCGTGTCGGACGGAGGCGCTCTTCCACATGTCGATCATGAACTGGGCGTCTGTCTTGACGCCGTCGACGTCGGATTCGGCGAGGAACAGATAGAAGTCGTCGTAGAACTTCTCAACGTCCTCTTTGGCAATCACTGTCATTTTGCCTCCGAGGGGCAAGTTGCGCCGTTTGGCCTCCTCGCGCTCGACTTCGATCGTCTTGTACTTCTTTGCAATCTTTCCGTCGGGCGAGATGCCGCCCCAGTAGCCCAGCAGGGCATGCCAGACGGCGACGTGTAGAATGTTTGGGTTCTTTTGGCGGATCTTCTGAATGGCTGCCTTGAGGCCGTTGGGAAATGCTTCCGGCTCTGCTTCGAAATCGACCCATCCGTACTGGAACTGGCTCTCCCCTTTGTAGTCGATCGACTGCCAGTTGTCGTCAATAATCAGAGAGGTGATGCCAATATTGTGCTCTTTCAGTTTGTCGATTGCGTCAACAATCTTTTCCTCAGTCAACCTTTGGCCAAGGGCGTTCCAGGTGCCTATAGTTTCCTCTATCAGCGGACAACACCTGAATAAGGGGGATGCATGATGGTATACATGTACTTACAGTATCCGAGTCCGTCGTACCATTCATCAAGCCACTCTGGTCGAACTGCGTCGGAGAGAGCCTTCAGTTCGACTTCCAGGGCTTCGTTCTTGCCCCGTGCCTTCATGACAAGCGATCTTGCGTGATACATGACGGCGGCAACAGCCTTTTCAAAGTCATTTCCTTCCGACACGAGAATCACGCACTCCTGTTCCGAGACGGAGTCATTCCGGACGTTTACCGCAATGGTACCGTCGGACGTGCTTTGAAAGACAGGTGTCGTATCGTTGATTCCCGAAACGGCCAGCAGAACCATGTTTCTGCCTTCTGGGCTTTGGAAAGCCAGCAGTATTGCGTCCTTGTCCAGCGAGAAGTCTGTCCTTCCATGGCGCGGTGCTAACCAAGGGGACCACAACCGGACAATCGCAAACCACCTGGGTTACTCCGTTAGATACACTCCGTCTTTATGGACAAGATTACGCCAAATGGCTGAGCAGAAAATCTCAACAGCGGGGGCTTGTTATTACAAACCTCAGAAATGAACCCCAAGGCTTCCCGAGATGGAGAAAACTGTTCGAAGAGTTATCGTTCGAGGCGGGAGGTACTGTGAGTCGAAGAGACCACAATTGGGTTCTCGGTGCTTGGCTCATATGAGACTTGACTGTCCACGAAGGAACAAGTCCAAATATGAGGTCATTTAGATTGTCAGACTCGGAGGGAGCTGGGAGGAGCACGATGTGGCCATCTTCCAGCCCCTGCTCGTCACGGATCCATCTCCACGGTTCATCCACGCTGGGGCGGAACTTGATGGTGAAACGCAGTGACTTTTGAAACGACACATTTGTTGCAAAGTATATCCTCGAGACGGCTTCTGAGTCTGCGTGCAGAGCTTGCGGTGCCTTGTCACTTTTGATCCTGGGTACTTCATGCTCGGTCCAGTCTTGGCCATCAATGGAGTGCCACAAGGCAATTTCCCAGCTTTCCTCAGCCCGAAATATCGGTATTTCTAAGAGAGCAGTGAAGGGGACGCCATCAGGGTCGTTGACTGTGGTCACCTGGCTTAGGGGAGGGTAGCTTTGGACCAAGGCTTTCATGTCCTCGGGCACAGGGGCTGGTTCGGGCTTTTGCTTTGGGATGTATAGTGTTTTGAAGTCGTCTGCAAAGTCGTATGTTTTTGGTGTCGCCATTGGGATTTCCTGAATAACTACCTATGTGTTGTTTGTTGGTCAGTTGCCGTCAAATTCGTTGAGAGGAGTCGAGTGACAGAGATGTAAGACGTGGAGGGGCAAGCTGATGAGAGCAAAGACACGGCAGAGATGATATAATATGTTGATCACGGAGGTTTCTCAGATTGAATGAATATAGTAATTCAGAAATGCCAAGATTGGGCTTGTGGGTGTGAGATGGCAATACAATACCTAGTAGTTGAAGACCACTCACAGATGATAGTACACCTAGGCTTCCCCGCAAGAAAGGGGATGTATCTCAAAGGGAGGGGTAGAGAGATTGAAGTTAGGACGAAAAAGGTGGTGGGATTCTAATTGGATACGATGTGAGCTGTGAAGAGTACATATATATAAATGCAGAGGGTAGAATCAACGACTTCCACGCTGATTCGATGAGCTATGGGTTATGCACGTAAGGCAACTATCGTGTGCCATTAGGTAGCAATACGTCAAAGGTGGTCAACGCGAGAGATGAGCCTTTTTGGGTGGTGCATCTAGTTGAGCTTTCTGCAACAATAACTAAGTTGTTTAGCAAGTAATTACTGTGCTTTATTACCAGGAATGTCCAAGATAGGTCATCAGTATGTACGTGGTATTGGCTGTTCCATACATACTACTTGTCCTACTGTCATATCGTCATTGGCTCCCATCAAGATACGTACCTACTTCCTAATGAGCATATATCGCGGTGGAGCTTGCTCGGAAGATGAGGTTAGTAAATCCGCGCCTCTGATTGGACGAGTGCCTTTCCTGTCGTCGGGCGTCGGAGACGGTCGGAATGACTAAGCGGTCCGCAGCCTCGAAACTAAGGCCACAACCCGCTTCAGCAAAGCTTCTTGCCGAGCAGCGTCGAAAGATTTCATCAAACCGCTCAATTGACCATCAATCGCCCAAACCTCCGCCATGGCGTCCCGCAGATTAGCTCTGAACCTGTCGCAAGGCCTGCGAGCCCGTTCCGGCCTGTCAGGCTTGCGCCGGGGCTTTGCTACGCCCTCCACCGTCGGCAAGACGCAGACGACGACGCTCAAGAACGGCCTGACTGTGAGCGCCAGCCTCGACGGCCAATTGGCCTGTGGACGACTCTTTTGCTGACCGACGCACTCCAGGTCGCTACTGAATACTCACCATGGGCTCAGACCTCGACCGTCGGCATGTGGATCGACGCCGGCTCCCGTGCTGAGACCAACGAGACCAACGGCACTGCCCACTTCCTCGAGCACCTGGCCTTCAAGGTGGGATGTCCCGATGTGGCATCATGAGAGGGCCGGCAATGGCTGACAGCTGCTTCCAGGGCACCGCAAAGCGATCACAGCACCAATTGGAACTCGAGATTGAGAACATGGGTGGTCACCTCAACGCCTACACCTCGGTTCGTCTGAAAATTTACCCTCTTCAAGTCGCAATGGGCGCATCCATGGAGAGATGATGCCGAGGGAAAATAGAAAAAAACTCGAACCACTGACACGGCTTTACAGCGCGAGAACACCGTCTACTTTGCCAAGGCCTTCAACTCCGATATTCCCCAGACCGTCGACATCCTGGCCGATATTCTGCAGAACTCCAAGCTCGAGCAGTCCGCCATCGAGCGCGAGCGCGACGTCATTCTCCGAGAGTCCGAGGAGGTCGAGAAGCAGGTTGAGGAGGTTGTCTTCGACCACCTGCACGCCACTGCCTTCCAGCACCAGCCCCTTGGCCGCACCATCCTCGGCCCCCGCCAGAACATCCGTGACATTACCCGCACCGAGCTCGTCAACTACATCAAGAACAACTACACCGCCGACCGCATGGTTCTCGCCGCTGCCGGTGGCGTTCCCCACGAGCAGCTGGTCGAGCTCGCCGAGAAGCACTTCTCCGGCCTTGCCAGCCACGGACCCGAGACCGAGGCCTATGTCCTGTCTAAGCAGAAGGCCGACTTCATTGGCTCTGACGTGCGTGTCCGCGACGACACCATGCCCACTGCCAACGTCGCCATTGCTGTTGAGGGTGTCAGCTGGAACTCTGATGACTACTACACTGCTCTCGTCGCTCAGGCCATTGTTGGCAACTACGACAAGGCCATGGGCAACGCCCCTCACCAGGGCGGCAAGCTCAGCGGCTACGTTCACAAGCACGACCTGGCCAACAGCTTCATGAGCTTCTCCACCAGCTACAGCGACACTGGGTACGTATAAATGGCGACGTAGCCAGTACGACTTGCCTGGATGAATGTCAAACTAATTGCCCAACTCTGTAGTCTCTGGGGCATCTACCTCGTCACCGATAACGCCACCCGCCTCGACGACCTCGTCCACTTCGCCATCCGTGAGTGGATGCGTCTCTGCTACAACGTCAGCGAAGCCGAGGTTGAGCGCGCCAAGGCCCAGCTGAAGGCCTCCATCCTGCTGTCCCTGGACGGCACCACCGCCGTTGCCGAGGACATTGGCCGCCAGCTCATCACCACTGGCCGCCGCGCCAGCCCCGGCGAGATTGAGCGCAAGATCGACGCCATCACCGACAAGGATGTCACCGACTTCGCCAACCGATACCTCTGGGACAAGGACATTGCCATCAGCGCTGTTGGAAAGATTGAGGCTCTGTTTGACTACCAGCGACTGCGGAACACCATGAAGCCCAAGTTTTAAGGGTGGGAGAGCGGATGCGAAGCGAATGGAGCAGGGGCGGACTTGTCTGAAAAGAAAAAAAGCAAAAGATCCGGGTATAGAGTGTATGAGATACCGTTTTAAAGGCTAGTGTAACATAAATTTCCCACATTCTCATAACCAGGTGTCATCCATGAGGTGGTGATGTGGCAGAGTAATTAAGTTGCTTTTCTTGGGCATGATATGCAAGAAGTATTCACGCTATTTGGACCTTCATGCGAGGCCATTCATGTTGTAAGATAATGGCATAGCCAAATCAGCAGCTACCACCCCCTTTTCCACTATTGGTGGTTGATATTCTGAAAGAGCTTGTGATATCCACCTATCCGTCTATTGTGAGGTATATAGCAGGTAGTATACAAGGCGGACAGAAACGATATTTCGGAGAGAAAGAGGGCAACGAAGCCACTCTGCACATCTTGCTCCTTTCCCCCAACGCCCAAAACGCCCGGCATCCAAGACCCTGGTAAAATCATTCCGAGTTTCAAGTCATTCGCAGACTCCACCTATAACTGCTCAAGCCTCCTCAGCCATTTCTGCATCCACATCGTCGCCAAAGACATCATCCACAGTCCCTCCCTCAACGCCATCTCCACCGATATCCTCGGGATCCGGCCCCTCAATGCCTTCCATGGCATCACCGCCCTGCTGAGAAGCCGAGCTCTCGTCGTCGTCGTCCATGTCTTCCTCGTCCCACATGTCCTTGAGCCCCCAGCTCGTGCCACTAAGCACGAACCTCTCGCTCGGCAGCCGCACGCCCCATTCGTTGGGCACAATCTTTGGCAGGGCGACCTTGTTGCGCTCGCGGGCGAGCTCCTGCATGTACTCCTTGCTGATGCCGCCGCCGCTGCTTCCTCCGCGGAACTGGTAGCCTAGACGCGCGGCGATGGCGACCTTGACGGCATTTGCGCTGACGCTGGCATCGCCCGACGGCGGGGCGGTGGCGCCTGCGCCGGAAGCCGATGGCTTGGATCCAGCTTGCGAGATGTAGGGGTCCCCCGAGAGGTGCAGTGCGTCGCTAAGGACAGAGGAGGTATGTCTGTATGCGAAGTCCAGGAGCAGAAGAGGCACTCGTTGTTCGTAAGCCGTGACGCCCTGTGAGGTGAGAAGCAGCTCAACGAGGCGTGCGTCTCGCGGTTTCGGCGCGACAGAGGGCGGCTGCTGGTGTGTGGGCGATTGTGCAGGTGGTTGGGAAGAGGAGCCGGCGGCGGGGGGAGGCTGGCTTGTGGTTGTCGATTGAGTGTTTGGAATCGTTTGTTGAGATGTGTTGACGGACGGAGCGACGACGCCGTTTGTCTGTGGTTGGCTGGAAGACATGGTCGGCGATGGGGGCAGAGAGATGGAGCGAGGTGTGTTGACGGGAGGAGAGCTGAGGGAAGCTTGGAGAATGTGGAAGATGCAGGCGACGCAGATTGAATGCGCGCCCTAGCAGCAAGTGATTCGAAGAAAGGCGTCGACTTAGCGGAGCATGAGATTGTGGAGTTTCTTGAGGGGTATCGAAATGAACAATGACTGATGGATACCTGCTCCCGGTATGCGCCTCTGCGACGCAACTGACGAGGCTGAAGGTGAGAGTTGTCAGTCGAACTTGAACTCGAGGTTCGCTTCAATCGCGGCACGCGGCTGAATGAGGTTACTGCGGAACATCGTTAATCCGAATGAGTATCTATGCTGCGTCGAGCGCGCACAGACCACACCTTAAATATTAGCCAATGGGAACATCCCAATTCCCAGCGGACGCTCACAGGCTGTAGCGGCAACAGCTGCAGCGCACCTCTGGGCGCCCTGGAGGGGATTGGAAGGGTTGGAGGGGCTCGTTGGAGGGGTTCCAAGGCGCTAGAAGGCGAAGAACAGCGGACGGATTCAGCGCGCACGCTTGCAGCAACAGCACCTCAGTGCAGGTGGCGACCCCACCAAAAATTTGAGGTCGGTGCCGCCGATCCAAGTGCCGGTCCCGGTCACTCGAGGTGTTTTTTCCAGGCGATTTGATCCTGGATTGACTCACTGGACGGGGAGAAGCGGCGTCATATAACATCCCTCGACTCTTCATCTTTGACTATTTTCTCAGTCTATCCCCTCCATTCGATCCTCCCACTACCAATTGCCGTGCCCGGTACCACCATGGAGACGGTTCTCCCCCTGCCGTTCCTCGTCAGTGTCGCCGTCCCTCCGGGATTGGCCAAGCTCGACGGCCTCAGTCGCGAAGAGGTTTCCATCCTCGCCAGCCCGTTCCTCGAGGCGTCGCCGCAGATCCTCGACAAGCTCTTCCGCTTCTTCAAGCGCCACAGCTCCGAGTTCCACGCCCACATCGACGCCTCGGCGCTGTCGTCCACGGACGATGTGTATGCGCTGCTCGATGGCGGGGCTCGCACCGTATTCGTTGCGCCCGAGTCGCTGTCACAATACGCTGAGCTGGGCGCCAGAGTGCTGCCGGCTGTGTCGAAGCTCGACCTCTCTGCGGCCTCTGAGCACGGCCTCCTGATCAAGGACTTTGACCCCAAGGCTTCCAATGTCGACAAGTTTGCCGAGGAGGCGCGGGCCCAGAAGCTCAAGGTGCTCTACCTGAAGCCGGTGCCGGATGTCGCTCTCGACCACTTCATCGAGGTCGCCACAAAATGCAATGCGATCCCCGTCCTGCCCTCGACCGGACTGACGACCGACAAGACCGATAGCAGCAAGCTTCTGCTTTCCAAGGCCATTGCGACATACTGGAAGTCGGACCGCGCCGATGGCCTCATCCCGACGGTGGTGACTGATGTGCACGGGATTGCCCTGGGGCTGGCTTACACGAGCGAGGAGAGCATTTTGGAGGCGCTGCGGACGCAGACGGGCGTCTATCAGAGCCGCAAACGAGGGCTGTGGGTGAAGGGAGCTACTTCTGGAGACACTCAGGAGCTTGTCCGCATCGCGCTGGACTGCGACAATGACACGCTCAAGTTTGTCGTCAACCAGAAGGGCCGCTTCTGCCACCTCGAGCAGTTTGGCTGCTTTGGCGAGTTGACCGGCATTGCGAGGCTGGAGCAGACGCTCAAGTCCAGGAAAGAGTCTGCCCCTGCGGGCTCATACACCGCCAGGCTCTTCTCCGATGAGAAGCTGCTGCGGGCAAAGATCATGGAGGAGGCCGAAGAGCTGTGCGACGCCAAGACCCCGGAGGAGGTTGCCTTTGAAGCCGCTGACCTGATCTACTTTGCTCTCACGCGGGCTGTTGGCGCTGGAGTCAGTCTGGCAGATATTGCTGCCAACCTGGATGCAAAGGGCCTCAAGGTCAAGAGGAGGACGGGCGACGCCAAGGGCAAATGGGCCGATAAAGAAGGAATCAAGCCGTCTGCTGCCGCGGCCCCGGCGAAGCCAGCTGAAGCCGAAAAGCCCAAGAGTGACCGGATCGCCATGCGGAGGATCGACGCGGTCAGCGCCACAGAGGCAGAGCTGCTCGAGATCCTTAAGCGGCCGTCACAAAAGTCTCCCGATGCCATCCTCAAGATCGTCACCCCGATCATCGAAGATGTTCGCAAGAACGGAGACAAGGCCGTCCTTTCTTACACTCACAAATTTGAAAAGGCCACCTCCTTGACATCGCCAGTCCTCAAGGCCCCCTTCCCCAAGGAGCTGATGCAGCTCCCCGAGGAGACCATCAAGGCCATCGACACCTCGTTCGAAAACATCCGCAAGTTCCACGCCGCCCAAAAGGACGACAAGACGCTCCAGGTCGAGACCATGCCCGGCGTCGTCTGCAGCCGCTTCTCGAGGCCGATTGAGCGCGTCGGCCTCTACGTCCCCGGCGGCACCGCCGTCCTGCCCAGCACGGCGCTCATGCTCGGCGTCCCCGCCATGGTGGCCGGCTGCAAGAAGATTGTCCTGGCGTCTCCGCCCCGTGCCGACGGCAGCGTGACGCCCGAGATCGTCTACGCCGCCCACAAGGTCGGCGCCGAGAGCATCGTCCTCGCCGGCGGCGCCCAGGCCGTCGCCGCCATGGCCTACGGCACCGAGAGCGTCAGCAAGGTCGACAAGATCCTCGGCCCCGGCAACCAGTTCGTCACGGCGGCCAAGATGCACGTCAGCAACGACACCAACGCCGGCGTCAGCATCGACATGCCCGCCGGCCCGTCCGAGGTCCTCGTCATCGCCGACAAGGACGCCAATCCCGCCTTCGTGGCCTCCGACCTGCTCTCCCAGGCGGAGCACGGCGTCGACAGCCAGGTCATCCTCATCGCCGTCGACCTCACCGAGGAGCAGCTCCAGGCCATTGAGGACGAGGTGCACAACCAGGCGCTCGCCTTGCCTAGAGTCGACATTGTGCGCGGCTCCATTGCCCACTCCGTGTCTGTCCTCGTCAAGACGATTGACGAGGCCATGAGGATCAGCAACGAGTACGCGCCCGAGCATCTGATCCTGCAGATCAAGGACGCCGCCAAGGTCGTCGACCTCGTCATGAACGCGGGCAGTGTCTTTATCGGCGAGTGGACGCCCGAGAGCGTTGGCGATTACTCTGCCGGTGTCAACCACTCACTACGTAAGTCTCCTCAATGCTCCCCCCCCCTTGTCACCTTACATCATCTCATAGAGGGAAAACTCGTGCTGACAAGCGTTGTAGCAACCTACGGCTTCGCCAAGCAGTACTCGGGCGTCAACCTCGGATCCTTCCAGAAGCACATCACCAGCTCCAACCTCACGGCCGAGGGCCTTCGCAACGTCGGCGGAGCAGTCATGCAGCTGGCCAAGGTCGAGGAGCTCGAAGCTCACAGGAGAGCGGTGGAGATTCGCATCAAGCACATGGACGGACAAAAGTAAAGGGGGCAACTAAAAAAAAGAAAAGAAAAAGTCAAACTTTGAATACATGGATGAATGGCTGGGATATGTATGGAAATGACAGGCTCATGTATAAAATCGGGATGTAAAAAGATGGGGCGAAATTACGAGAAGGCAGAGCACATAGATGAAATTGGATATTTGAATCTGTTCAACACTTTTTGATTGTACATCTATGATTTGAAGATTGCTTGACGCCGAAATTCTATAGAAACCCCCAAACGATCCCTGAAACATTCAACAAGTCGCAAAGCAGCCACCGTATAATCAAACAAGAAAAGCAATTGAAAGAAAAGAGAAGACGACACGCATTGTCTTATCAAAGTCGCTCAATAACACCTGCGCATGTCGCCACATTGCCACAAGAAAAGCCGACGCAAAAAAAGGGTTGACTTTTCTGCTTTTGTCCGTTCGTCTTTGTGCGCGCTCAACTTTCCAACAGAAAAAACCATGCAATACCAGACCCGAAAACGCCTCGCTATGTGCTGTCCAGTTGGAAGTAGGAATGGGGGGGTGAAAAGAAAAGAAAAAGGTGTCGAACCTCGGCGCTGCTTCCGAAGAGCGTCTTTTCTCTCCTCCACCATTCGAATAACCAAAAGCTGGACGTGTAAATTCGCTGCCGCGACCGTGAGGAAGCGGACAGCGAACATCGAGAAATAAGCAAAGCGAACGCTCAAGCCGCTCAAAAGACAAGGAAGTAGACAGCAAAGATCAAGGAGGGTGGCGCCGCGTTATGACGAAATCGAGGGAGGTCGGATCTCGACGGGTACCTCAACGACCGGCGGGTCGTTCTCCTGCACGACGGTTCCGCAATCGTTCTAGAAAGAGCAGACATCCCCTTGTTTAGCCTTGTTTCTTTTTGTCGTCGTCTTCTTGTTTTCTCGCCTTCTCTTCAACGGAAAGGTCACCAACCCCAGTAATTATCTCGGCTGTGACATCTTCCACCACCCGAGTTTCGTCGCCGGATGCCTCAGCGTCTTCGTCGTCGACTTCATCTTCGTAATTCTCCTCGTCATCGGCGTCATCGTGCTCGATGCTCTCGAGAATCTCCTCCTCCTCGTCTTCGTCGTCGTCGTATTCCTCGTGCGAGATGTAGCTATCTCCCATGCCCTCGCCGACTTCCTCATCCTCCTCCTCCTCCTCCTCTTCTTCTTCATCGTCGGTGTAAGCACTGCCCTGGTCGTCATGTTCGTCATCCTCGCTTTCGCTAGCCGAGAAATCATCAATCTTGAGGGGGTCATCTCGCCAGTACATGAAGTCGGTGTACTCCTCCCCGCCACCCCTGACCAGGGTGTCGACAGGGGGGAAATAGTGGTCCACAACCTCATTGATATTGACATAGGTCATCTTGAGTTTGTTAAGGCTCAGAAGGTCGAGTGATACCTCCGAGTTGGAGTTGATGGTGAAGATGCGGGTTCGCGGTACGTCCACCGTTCGGTACGAGATTTGGTCGGTGAGACGGTTGCCAAACCCGGCGTAGAATGGACCGCCGTTTGGCCCATACAGGTTGCGAATGTCCCGTAGCGTTGCCATCTTGAACACGTGCGGTTTCCGCAGGTAGACTTCGCGGCGCAGGGCGGCCATGGTTCGGTCGGGAGACAGAATGGTCGGGCCGTGAGGCATCCTGAAGCCATCCTGGACGATATTGTTCAGGTAAGCGCGCGTCGTGTCGGCCTGTCCAACGGAGCGGCTCGTCAGGTACATGATGTTGTAGCCATTGGCGGCAATATCGCTGTAGAGCTTTGCGATGCCAGAGTGAGTCCAGTCTCGGCCAATCATGTTGAGCACATGGCCAAGGGCATCAGACTTGGTGATGGTGCCGTCAATGTCCGAGATGACCACGGGAGTGTGGTGCTTCCAAAGGTACAGGTTGGCAGCGCACGTCGCCCTGTTGACAGTGAAGCTCATGGGGTTTTCTCCGTACTTCAAGTTCATCTCCTTCAACTGATCGCTAGTCAGTCGAAGCGTCTTTGCGTAGCTCTTGGGCGGCTCGAGGGAGCCGGTCGGAGTTCGAGGAGGCGTATGCATGCCGCCAGGGCCGGCGTCGGACTCTGTGCGCCGGTGAGAGGGCGCGTGTGGTGCGGACGCGATGTCGCTGCCGTCGCTCTGGTAGCCCGGATCCGATATGGCATCAGCAGCGACTGCGCGGCGGTGGGCTTGAAGCGACGACTCAATCGTCTTGTTCATAGCAGCCTGCTTGGCGTCCTCGCTGCTGTAGACCCAGAGGTTTCCCTCCTCATCAAAGCCAAACAAGGCTCCGATGTCGTAGTTGCCATCCATTTCCTCCGACAGGATGTTGCGCGCGAGGACCTCGGCACGCAGCATGTCCTCCTCACTGCTCTTGAAGCCCGTCATATCCAGCATCAGATCTCCCGTCTCGGTGATGTGCGTTGGAATGTTGACCGCGGAGAGTCCCTTGGACAGCGCTCTGGCGCGTGCGATGGCTTCCTGAGGTCCCAGGGGCGGAGGGCTGTGAGATTTTTCTGACTCGGACGGGCTCTCGTTATCCGAAATAGCTTCGTCGTGGTGCCGCACCGGTTTCCGCAAGACGTCGTCGCTGTGAGGTCGACGATCAAAGGCCTTGCGCCAGCTACCAGACGCAGGCTGAGAAGACGACAGGGTAGGGGAGGACGATAGAGGTGTGATCATGCCTACCGCTTGAAGTGAGCACTCATGTCTTGCACCCATATGCGATGGTTACTACTAGCAGGAGGAGTTTGTCAGGACGTACCATTCTCGTCCGTCTGGGGCTGGATGATGGCGGGCGACGGTCGACGGGGCTTCCCAGCGTCCCCATCAAGCTCCAGAGACTCCGGCTCTGCCATGGCCGAAGAGGCATCTGCCGGCCCAAACGGCGGGCTGCTTGCCGGCGAGACCAGCGGAGACGTCTGCATGGACTCGGGGATGGAGTCGGACGTCTCGAAGACGAAGAAGGCCTCGCCGCCCTCGCCCAGCTTCATGGAGTAGGGCTGCTTGACGCCATTGATGCGGAACTCGACCTTCTTCTCGTACGGGCGCAGGAGCGAAAACTTGCCGAAGCGGACGTGGAAGGGCGAGCAGGCCAAGGTGCCGTCCTCGCGCTCGACGACAATCACGTCAATGGCACCGCTCAGCGTCGCCGGGTTGATGGAGTTCCAGGCCGTGGAAACCGAGTCGCTGAGGTTCCGCACGTACTGCATCGTGCCGGCTGTGTCTTTGTCTGTTTCCCGAGTGCAGGAGTCGGTTGCGTCTCCCCCCAAAAAGCGATGGCCTCAGCGTTCGTACTGTGTGTCTGTCCTTGTGTCTGTCCTTGTTCTTGCTCCTGTTGTAGTTGTTAACGAACGACGGCGATTCAAAGAGAGCGACTCGAGGATCCTGCAGACGAATAGAATTGGATGAGCTGCAGACGCTCTCTTTGGGCACTCTCCAGACTTTGTATGAGCTGGAAGAATTGGGGGCAGCCCTGGCCAGCAAGTGGATCTTTGTTGGGATGCCCAGTGGTGACGTCGGTTTCAGACGGCGCCGAGACCTGGCATGTGAAATTTCCGGGACTTGCGCACCCGCCGCTGCTGTCCGTACGGCGCAGGTACCTGGCAAGTATCGTCAGGTACCCAGGTACCAACCCTTGGGCTGCTGCAATGCGCGCAGAAATGGCCGCTGAAACATGCAGGCGATGAGGCGATCGTGAGAAGCAGCACCAAAGCTTAACGCAGCCTCGCACTCTATCGAGGAGAAACCACGCACAGAACAGACAGCCAGAGGTCCAAGCCAAAGGAAACGGTGGCAAATGCGGGCCGGCCAATTGTTGAGAACGTGCTGCCTGTCCGTTGATCCAACAAGCTGCTGCAGGCACATGATCCCAAGGCCTGGGCGACCGGGACTCTCCAGGTCCAGTCGTCCGTTTGACAAGCGCTGTGGGGGTTTGGCCGGCAAAGTGCTACCTAAGGTACTGTATGTACCCGCTACCTGCGCTGTACTCTCCGTTCCGGCTCTGGCGCGCCCCCTTTGCTGCCCTCCAGCGGGCCACTTTCAGGAGGTCCTGTCGCTGTCGCTGTACGCTGGCAGTCGGCAGGGGCAAGGGGCTTGTGCGTCCAGCGGCCCAAGTCAGCGCGGGGAGCGAGATTTGCCAGGCGTTGAACAGCGGCGGGACGTCGGGCGGCGAACCCGGGGTTCCCCCCAAGTACAGGCGACTTGGCCTTGCCGAACCACGGCCCATCATGTGCCTCAACCATTTCCATGGGACATCAGGCGGAAAAGCGCCTTGCAAAAGAACAACGTAATACTGGTCGTGGAACGAATCAGACCCCAACAAGCCGAGGCTCTAGGGCTTCCTTCTTCTCCCGCCTTTTGCCATTTTGGTCTGTGATGACTGGCTTCTTACGCTCAGACTGAAGCATCACCGTCGAAATTGCAGGCATCCCTGACCATGGGGGTCTCGCAGAAGCAAATTCCCCCGTAATACAGAGTGGCTCACCTGACAGACCAAGCATGCCAGAGATGAGTCGAAGAGCCAGGGCCTGATCTCGATTCGATCTTTCGACTCTGGTCTTGTTACTGGTGTCTGCAATCATGAGCCACGGGCGCCGTGCAGTTTACTAATAAACACAAGGCAAAGCCCAAATATGGAGGTGGCTGCAGTTGAGGTCCAAGTTGTCGGACGACCACAGGCAGGTCTGCAATACCTATCATCAGTTTTCTACCTATGTCCATGGACACAGCAGTTCTGGTATCGCCATTATACTAGTACCCTAGGTACTCTCTTCATTAAGCGTCGTATCAAGGTACTACGGCAAGGGACACGCAGATGTCATTTCTCAGCCCACTACGGGTTCAGGATAAGACGGCATCACCAACTCTCCATCAAGCCTCGAGCATCAGCTTGTTTTCCCTCTTGGCTGTTGTCTGGAAAACACCACGAAATTACACAAGTGCCGCCGGATTCTACCAACCCCCCCGTGCGAACAGGGTGAGGGACATGATCAGGAGGGGCACCGAGGCTCTCTTCCCCTCACGAGGATCACTGCTGATCCGGAATCCATGCTGTGATCTTGGTCGACGGTATTACAGATTCATCATAGCGGAATCTATGGCCAGAAACGGCACGCTGACGTCAACGGTAGGCTTCCATGTTCTGTTGCCGACACCCAGCCACCCAATTTGCGAGATTTCGCTGTCGACCAACATGCATGTTTGACTTCGTATCGTACATGTATGCAGGGAGCCAGACCGCACAGCAAGACGACGGCAATGTGAATTCGAGCCAACCGAGAGGCACCAACTAACACGAGGCTACCTCTATAGGTAGGTAGGTATCCATTGCCTTGTAATACATAGTCAATTGGCATATCAGGTAGCACCACCGTCAAAGCAGCCGCTAGAAGCATGTTTTGCAGAGTCCAAGGCCACATCATGGCGGACGAACTGTATCCGAGTTGAACAAACACTTGTTGCTTCAACAACTAATGTCCGCTTGTAAGAAGCTCCCTCCATGTTTCTTCTACCACGAGTTGCTTCACAATCCTGTTTAAGTGACCGCGGCTTCAGGCAGGACCTGATACATGTACATGTAGGCAGCCAGAAGCAAGCCCATAAATTGCTTTGGTGGAGAGCCTTTTGATCCCTTGGCACAATCTTGTGAAGCTGCTGCATCTTTCACAGTTGATCTCGGATATCACGATCCTGTTCTCTTGAGTGTTCAGAGTTCTTCCACGTCGCCAAGCCCATCCATCAGCTCGTTTGCAAGCAGCCTCATTGATCTGGGGGGGGTTTTTCTTTTTTTCATCATTCTCTGTCAGGTTTGCCCTAGCAAGGGTTGATGCCAGATAGTAGTACTATTACCTAGATCCACCCTCTCCGTCGAGGACCGCAGAATCCTGCAGCACTGGGTGACTTTTGCTGCTGCAAGCCTGAGGCGGTTGACTTTGCCGATACGGAGCGCCTTTGTTAATGCATGCACGTCAATGCTTGTTTCCTTCAGCTTCTCTTACTCTGCTTGTGCACTATCAACTCAAGAGCCCTCTTTAGATCTCCTTTTCTTCTCCCACTTCAACGTACCTTAGGTACCTTGCTGACCCAACGCCACACCATACATAAGGTAGGTACCTACCTTACCTTACCTATGACTGCATACAGCACACAAGTCATACGGTGTACCGACTACAGCCTCATCCGTTCAGCTGGCTGCCGACCAAGACCTCAGCTGCGAAGAACCTCTCTGACCTCGGCTGTGTTCCTTGGAAGCTTCTAACCTTGAAGTTGTCAGGGTACCAACAACCCTCTCACCAAAGTTGCTCTTATTGCCAGGGATTCCTTTGAGTCAACACTGTGCGATCTTCTTGCTCCCTAGTTCTGCCGTGCTTCTCTGCTAACAGCTTCTCTCATCGTCGGCAGTTCTTTGTATCTAAACGACATTCAGCACGCACTCAATACCTAGTACTCCTCTCCTTGTCCGTGCCAGCTGGCCAAGTTGCACGGCTACGCACACGGAAAAGTACAGGGATCCCAAGACCCAGCCCAAAGTTGACCGGAAAAAATAGCAGGAAAAAAAGAAAAGCACACAAAGGCGCCAGCCCTCTGCCAGCGGGCCAATCGGCGGCCTGGCTTTTACTGGGGTCAGCCTTCTGCTACTCTTTTCTTCCCGCCTCCAAACCTCCAACTACCGACATCCTCCCGCCTGGGTCGGCATTTCTGGCCAAGTCCATCAGAGAACATGTCATGGGAGCTTCCAGCCCTGACCCTTCTCTCCCTCAGCGCTGTCGGCTTCTGGGGGCTTGGTAGTCCCCAGCCCTTCCACCGCAAGGCTCTGTACATCCTCGTCAGCGCCTCGGCCGTGCTCGTCGACCCTCGCCAGCTCGCTGCGCGCATGTACGCCGGTGCCCACGACGCCATTGTCAACTACCAGCTCGATGCTTTGCTGGCCCAGCACTTCAAGATGGCGCTCACCCTCGGAGCCGTGCTCTGGTTTGTTGCTCCTCCGCTGCATGCTGCGTGGCGCTTTGTCGGACCCCGTTTTTGCTAACTCGGGGCGTCTTCCCTCTCACCGTTCAGGCTGCTTCACCGTGGATGGCAGACTCTCTGGAAACCCGTGCCCGAACTCATCAACATCCTGGGCGTCGATATTCCCGAGCCTCCCGACGTCAGCCTCGCTGGCATTCGATCCGATGCGGCCACGATCAGCTGGACGCGCCCTACCAGCAATCGACCCGTCCAGAAATACTCCATCCAAGTCAACGGGGTGCATGGTACGTATCGGCTAGCAACAGCTGTGTTCTACCTCATACTTCCTCGTGTGAGGCTGTCGTCTGACAAAGCTCGAACAATAGTGGGGGATTCACCAGGCAACGAGGTGGCTATAACGGTGACTGGCCTGAAGCCGAATCATTTCTACAACATCCGCGTTGTTGCCGTGGGGCCGAATAACTTCCAGGCTGGCAGTCCTCTCCTACGGCTGCGGACGTTTGGCAAGGATGGGAGACCACTCTTGGGCAACTCGCGGTTGCCTACTAGCTTTACGGATCCGGATCACCCTCGAATCAATCCCGGCGACAATGAAAGCGACGACTCCGACGACGCCCAATTTCCCGTGCCTTCTGTCGAAGCTGCACCGGTGCTCGATGGAAGCTCGACAAACGCTCGTGAGGCTAACGGCTCTGTGCCCGGGCAAAGGCGTAACACCATCAACCGTCGCCACTCGCCATCTGTTGCGAGCATGGATCAGCCTCACATCAAGCTCCCGATCCTGGATGGTCCTGAACTGTCGTTGGACGAGTTGAACTGCAAGTTTGAAGGCATTCGAAAGGAAATTGAGGATACGCTAGCCCTTTATGCGAAAGACGAGGCCGAGTCGCTGCAGCAGGAAGAAGAGCTGAAAAGGGAAAAGGAGCGAAAGCGGCAGATGCTAAAGGAGAAGGAGGAGCAGACAGCCCAGCTCAAGGCCATGGTGCGAATTACTATGGAGCAGATGCGAGCGGCAGAGAAAGATCGTATGAAGAAGGAACAGCAGCTACGGGACAGGGAAGCTAAGAAGTCCAAGGCCCGAGATAACGTCTCCAAACTGGATGCCGAGATTCAGCGGATGAAGAGAGATCGGGAGGGATTCGAGGCGCAGAAAGCCGCCTTGGCAGAGAAGAGGGACCTGGACGTGCGGAAGCTCGACCAGATCAATGCCGAGCTTTTGGATAAATGTGCCGAACTGGAGGCGGAGTTGAAAGACAAAGGAAAGCAGCTGCAGGATCTCAAGGCGGCTCGAGAACAGCTTCCCGACGCGCATGACGAGCAGTGGAAGGAAGAAGATTTGAGGCTCAGGAGGGAGTGGGAGACACGGAGAAAGGAGCTGCACGCTCGCTGGGTGGCGGAGGCGAAGAGAGCCTACGAGCTTGATCAACAAATCCACCTGGTGACGAAGCAGCTGAGGATCGAGCAGTCCAACCTCGAATTCCTCAATCAGGGCGCCGCTCCGAACCCTGCCGTTGACTTCGAAGTGTCCCCGTCCGCTCGGCCCAGGCCTCCGAGCCAGCACAGCGGCTCGGCGCCGAATGCAACCTTGCCGTCGCCAAGCCCCGTCATCCCCTCGGAACCTGGCTATCAACCGACTGCTGGCTTCACCAGCGCTGGATTTGGCCCGGCTCTCTTCATGGACATGGCCACCCACGGCCACGGCGAGGCCCAGACGGAAGCGGAGCTTAGGGAGGCCAACGGCCCGTTGAGCCCATCTGCAGCTCGCTCCTTTCTCCCGTCGAATATCTTTGACGAGATGGAGGATCCCGAATTGGACGCCGAACATCACGCGCTACCTGAATCTATCCAGCCAGATGACGAAGATATCCAATCGCCGGCTTCCTCAAGCCCACCCTTCAATGTGTTCGCAAGCCCTCATGGGTCCTCTCATAACCTACCATTTCCGCAGTACACCGAGAATCGCGAGAGGCGACCATCAGGGTCTTCGCTGGGTATTGCCAATTCCACGACTTCTCCCGCAACGGGACACAGGCTGTCCAGCCTTTTGGCGGCGCTGCGCAACAGAGGCCCGAAGCCTGCGGATGACCTGGGACCTGCACTTGGCACGCTCAAACCCGGACAGAGTCAGTCCTTTCCCCGGGGAACGGATGAGCAAGAAGTCTTGGAAAACCGCAGGAAGATCAACTTTTCTTCTTGGATGAACCGCAATTCCGCTGGACCGGGCGACTTCGCCGGAACGCCCTTCGCCTCATCCCGACCTTTCTCGGCGCGTCGACTCATTCCCTTTGGCAACAGTTCGAGCGGCGGTGCATTTGCCGACAGGGACATTGACGGCTCCAGGCCTCCGTCGATCACATCGGTCGACTTGCCGCGACCGTCTACGGATAGCGGCTCTATATGGGGTGTCCAGGGGGAGCAAGGAGGTTTGCTCAACACCAAGAATCGGCTGTGGTCGCCTGACAATCGTTGGCCTTCTAGAAGCGGCTCTAGGCGTCCGTCGATCCACGGGTCGCCGTCGATCCTGACAACCACGTTGGCCTCTGCCGAAGATGTCATCCTCGACGATGATGATCTCCTTGACCCCCAGACCTCCCCCAGTCAGATTGGAGTCATAGGCTCGCGCCCGCCGACGGCATTGAAGTCGATTAACCAGCGTCTCAATCCTACGGCCCCGACCTTCATGGGGAACTTCTTCCGCGGCGCTGACAGAGACAAGTCGAAGAGCAAGGACAAGGGCAAGGATAAGAACAAGGAAGAAAAGGCCAAGGGTAGGGAGTCCTCAACGCCCGGCATAGAGTTTCCTCACGGCCTGGACGACTTTCCATCGGAGGCGCACATGTCTCGAGACACCCATTCCATCCGCACGCAGGCCTCCATTTCCGAGTCCCACGATTCGCTGACACTTGACCCGACCGTATCCAACACGCCATCCGATCTCAATTCCAACGCCGACTCTGCTGCAAAGGACCAAGATAACGTCGTCATGAAGCTGTTCCGCAAGGGCAGCTCCAGCAAGTTTGGCCTGTCGACCAGGCTGAGCAAAGACTCGGGGCTGTTTAAGAAAGGACCCGGCAGTGCAACGAACTCTGACAGAAACATGTCTGCGGAGCATCGGTCCAGCATCGGCGACATTGATGACCTAGGTGAGGACGCCTCTCAGCTTGGTCGGAGCTTTGACAGCCTGGCAAGCAGCCCTTCACTTGGTCCCTCCAAGTCGAGAGAGTCCAGGGAGAGTCGGATGAGCGGATGGCGCTTCTCGATGAAGAAGAAGGGCAAAGATGCCGCCAAGGAGAAGGAAGCCACTGAGGCTGATCGATATGCCGAGGAGGAGTGAGCCCTGAGCTCTTGAAGGCGAACAAGGGGGAGTTGAGGATGGAACCTTGGCTGCAGCGCCTCACAGCGACATGGTTCAGGTAGAATCAGTAGATAGCACACGCCAACGGTACCTTATACCAGGCAGCCAATATCATGCACAGAGCAGCTGCTGCATGCTCTCGTCTCTTTACTCGTGTGGCTCTTCCTCTCTCTTGATGTTCAAGTAGATGTAGGTTTGTGGTGTGTCTGCGTTGCTGTAGCCATCGGATATTAAGTCTTGGTGACTGAAGCTATTTAGCGGTTGGCAGCGATGCGAAGGTCACCAAGACATGGCGGGGCCCAGTTTAGCTGATCCACTGCCATTCATTCTGTATACCTACCTACTGTATTAGTACCTTGCAATCCATTGTTAGCACCAGGAGCTTGAATACCGGAGAGAGAGACGCAACCTGGTCCAGATTATTCCAGCTTCAGCCATTCACCAGATTTATCATCGCCATTGCCATTTCCCTGCTGCCCTGCCTTGAGCGCTGTCATCTATCATTCTTCTATTTATTTTTCCAACCAGACATATTCTCCTTGTCTTCAATATGAATGGCTCTCTGGCAGGGTCATCTGTCTCCAGCCTAGACGCAAGTGAGTTGCTATCCTGTAAAGGACAGACAAAGCTGTTGTTGGCAGCTAACCATGAAGACGGCACACAGTCGACTACGATCCCATCGACCACCTCAACCTCCTCTTCTCGCACCCCTCCGCCGTCTCCTCCATAAGCCGAGTATCACAAGCCCTCAAGCACCGCCAGGATGATCTCGAGTACGAAATCAATACGCTCGAAATGGCACAGGCCTACGAGCCCGACTCGAGCCTGGAGCGGATGCGGTCGGCGCAGACGGAGCTCGCGCAGCTGTTCCGCAAGATCGAGACGGTGCGCTCGCGGGCGATAGAGACGGAGCAGAACATCACGTCGATGACGGCAGACATCAAGCGGCTGGACGGCACCAAGAAGAACCTGACGCTGAGCATGACGGCGCTGAAGCGGCTGCAGATGCTGACGACGGCGTACGAGCAGCTGAGGGGCCTGGCCAAGACGAGGCAGTACCGCGAGTGCGCGGGCCTGCTGCAGGCCGTGCTGCAGCTGATGAAGCACTTCAACAGCTACAGGAGCATAGAGCAGATTGCGACGCTGAGCCGAGAGGTGTCGGAGCTGCAGAGGGAGCTGCTGGAGCAGGTGTGCGAGGACTTTGAGATGGCCTTTACCAAGGGCGAGGTCAGCGCCAAGAAGGGGACGCTGGTGGAGGCCTGCCTCGTCATGGACGCCCTGGGCGATTCGGCAAAGGCCAGGCTCGTCGGCTGGTACATCAACACGGAGCTGCGAGAGTACCGCCAGGTGTTCCGGGGCAACGACGAGGCGGGCAACCTGGACAACATCGGGAGGCGATACGCGTGGTTCAAGCGCATGATGAAGACGCACGAGGACGAGCACGCCGCCATCTTCCCGGCGCACTGGCGCGTCAACGAGACGCTGGCGACGGCCTTTTGCGACGGCACGCGGGACGACTTCAAGGGCATCCTGGAGCGCAGCATGAGGCGCCCCGACGGCAACAAGATTGACGTCAACCTGCTGCTTGCGTGCTTGCAGGAAACGCTCAACTTTGAGCAGAGCCTCGACAAGCACTTTTCCAGCGATGCGAGGGCTAGCATTGACACGCTGAGCTCGACCGAGGAGAAGGCGCATGCGTTCAACGGGCTAATATCGGTGGCCTTTGAGCCGTACCTGAGCCTCTGGGTCGAGTCGCAGGACAAGCAGCTGGCCGCCATGATACCGAAATATCGCACACAGCCGCTCATCCCGCCAGAGGAGGAGTTTACGCCGCAGGCTGTCATCTCTTCGGCTCTGGAGCTTTTCCATTTCTACAAACTGACCCTCTCCCAGTGCGCGAAGCTGTCCACGGCAGACCGCCTGCTGGATCTGTCCAAGATACTGGCCAAGTACCTGGATGAGTACGCTCAGCAGGTGCTGCTACGAAAGCTGCAGTCGAGCGGACAGAAGAACCCTTCCATGCACGACGCCGTCCTCGTCCTGAACACGGCAGACTTTTGGCACATCAACACCAACCAGCTGGAGGAGAACATCAAGAAGCGCATCGACACGGAGCTGGTGGCCAAGGTGGACTTGTCATCGCAGTCTGACGCCTTCCTGGGCGTGGCCAGCGCCGCCGTGCTCGCGCTGGTGCGGATCGTCGAGGTGGACTGCGAGGGCGTCTGGCGGGAGATGAGGAATACGAACTGGAGCACCATGGAGAGCGCCGGCGACCAGAGCTCCTGGGTGGGCGAGCTCGTCAGGCACGTCAATGAGAGGGCCAAGGAGATCCTGGGCATCGTTACAAAGCAGCAGTACGCAAGGGCATTCTGCGACAACCTGGTCGACCACTTGGCGACGGCGTTTATCAACAATATTGTACAGTGCCGGCCAATATCCGAGGTTGGGGCACAGCAGGTAAGGACGGAATGGATCGGATTTTGAAGAGGGAAAGGGCTGACATACTACATCCTTTCAGATGCTTGTTGACAAGTATGCGCTCACCAAGTCGTTTGAAAACTTGATGTCGTACCACAACCCATCCCCAGCACAGCAAGCACCGTCGGCGACGTTTGTGAGGCGAGTCGAGCAGAGCATGAACAGGATGGACCCCCTGCTCAAGACGCTGCAAGTGCGGCAATCGCCCCCGGAAGGCCTTGTGCAAGCGTATCTCATTCACATTGCAGATCGCTCCGACACAAACTTCAAGAAGATCCTGGACCTCAAGGGCGTGCGCAAGATGGACCAGGCTCACCTGATTGAGCTGTTTGGCATCCACCGCGACGGCAGCTCCAACGAGAAGCTGGCGCAGAACTCGCCGCTGCTGACGCCTCTGATGCTGTCGTCGAGCCTCAGCAGCACGGGTGCCATGGGCGCGATCAACACTGCGTCATCCTCGTTGGCGGGCAGCTCGGCGGCGCGATTCGACGCCGGGTCGCTGGGCGAGAAGCTGCTCAGCGCGGCCAGGGACATTAGCAACACGGGGCAGAGCGGCTCGGACAAGGCCACGATCAACGAGAACCTGAGGAACTTTGGAAAGTTCTTTAGGAGGGATATAAGCGGTCTTGGGCTCAAGTTTGGCATGCGTGACGGAGCCGAGGACGGGCACCAGCGATGAGGAAGGGTTTCATGAATAAGGGGGGAGGGTCGTGGGATGGCCTTTGAATATGTCGCAAAAAGATGCTCCGTCTGCGGGCTTGAACGTCATCCGAAACCACAAGAGCATACCCATCACCCATTGTCACATTTTTGCAATCTCAAGAACCTCGGCAACTGCAGCATGACTGCGGACCGCGGATCTGCCAAACCAGGGGCATCTGGAGAGGAGACCCAAAGCTTCTGCGGTGCAACAGACAGTTCGGGAACGGCGCAAACCGGCAGGGCTTTAGACAGGGACCAACTAGCACACGACCCAATATGATGGAATCCAGTGGCGCTGATGATGTCGACACTCTTGATGCAGACGCGGGCCGTCTCTGCTGGCCGTGACGCGCTTAGAAATCATCCGAGGCCGAGCACATCTCCCAAGGAGAGCACTATGCATGTCATATCACGGACATTGATTCCACTCAATTGACTGCCTCTTTGATGCTTTTCCACCTCAATATACATCCCTCAAAGCAGAGAGAGATGTCTGAATCCGGATCCCGCAAAGTATCGAGGGGTTATTGCTGTCAGAACTGTCGTTGATGCCGCTTACCGCCCGATTTCAGTCAGTACCTAAAGAAGGTACAAAGTAGCAGTGATGCTGGATTACTAAGGCCTGGGTGTTGCGTTTGCTCTTGTCTCGGGGCTTCGATTCAACCGCTGCCCCGCCATCGCAAAACCCGCGCCGACCCTCAAAATTCCATTTTCTTTCTGCTTGATGCGGCGTCTTATTACCAATACATAGATAGACCTTCGTGCAATCTTCTCTATATATATACCTATTTTCTTTGCCACTTCCTTCAACTCTTCTCTTTTTCTAAGACTTCTTGTGTACAAAACCGCCAAACTGTTCACCTCAACGTTTCGACGGACGCTGCGTTCGAGTGCCGGGCTTTCGATTGCTGCTGCCGCCACTGCCTTTACCAAGAACACTCCTGTCGCCAAGCCGGTGGTTGAACGCGGGACCAGAAACATGCATACCAAGGTTGTCGGTAAGTTGCCCTACAATCCTGTCAAGAGACGGTGGGGAGGACGCCAGGAGGACGTATCCTTCCAGTGAGGAGAGAACAGAAGCTGACCGACTGTGCGTATGTCGGCTGCAGTCATTGGATCCGGCCCTGCGGCTCACACTGCTGCCATTTACCTGGCCAGAGCCGAGCTGAAGCGTAAGTTATAGTCCTTGCAAAGCACAGAAGCAAACAGCAGGTTCCAATTGTATGCTAATGCTGCGGTCTTGGAATGGTTAGCCGTCCTGTTCGAGGGCTTCATGGCAAACGGCACCGCTGCCGGCGGCCAGTTGACGACGACGACGGAGATTGAAAACTTTCCCGGCTTCCCCAAGGGCATCATGGGCCAGGAGCTGATGGTAAGTCTCTCTCTTTCTTCTCTCTCTCTCTCTCTCCCTCCCTCTCCACACCCACCCTTCTCTGTATACTGACTGCGTTGGGGCTTTCTCTGTGCAGGACAACATGCGCGCCCAGTCGGAGCGCTTCGGCACGGAAATCATCACCGACACCGTCACGACCCTCGACCTCTCCTCGCGCCCCTTCAAGTTCTCGACCGAGTTCAACCCCGACGAGACGCACACCGCCGACGCCGTCATCATCGCGACCGGCGCCTCCGCCCGCCGCCTCAACCTCCCCGGCGAGGACAAGTACTGGCAGAACGGCATCTCGGCGTGCGCCGTGTGCGACGGCGCCGTGCCCATCTTCCGCAACAAGCCCCTCTTCGTCATTGGCGGCGGCGACTCCGCCGCCGAGGAGGCCACCTTTCTGACAAAGTACGGCTCGCACGTCACCGTCCTCGTCAGGAGGGACCAGCTGCGCGCCAGCAAGGCCATGGCCTCGCGCCTGCTCAAGCACCCCAAGGTCACGGTCCGCTTCAACACCGTCGCCACGGAGGTCAAGGGCGACAAGGACGGCCTCATGAGCCACCTCGTCGTCAAGAACGTCGTCACCGGCGCCGAGGAGACGCTCGAGGCAAACGGCCTCTTCTACGCCGTCGGCCACGACCCCGCCACCGGCCTCGTCAAGGGCCAGGTCGACGTCGATGCCGAGGGCTACATCATCACTAAGCCCGGCACCACCGAGACGAGCGTGCCGGGCGTCTTTGCCGCCGGAGACGTCCAGGACAAGCGGTACCGCCAGGCCATTACCAGTGCCGGCACTGGCTGCATGGCTGCTCTGGAGGCCGAGAAGTACATTACCGAGATGGAGTAGAGAGACAACGAGAAATAGAGTCTAGATACACTTGTATATACACAGCACATCTTTTTTGGGGGTACCTGTTTCTTTCTTGTTCAGAATTAGAGCCAAGAGGCGACAAGAGAAGGATCCAAAAGAATAGACTACATGCAGATTCACCCGATGCACCAAGTCTCATCACAAGGTTCACAAGAGACGTTCCTAGAAATTGACGGTCATTATGCCTTATTATGCAACAGCTGAGGGAATCATGATTGCAATTTCTCAAACTATCCCCGACTCTTTGTCTAGTGCCTTCAACTCCTTCATTGCGAAATTGCCCCTCAAAGATGGCAACATCATCATCTACTGGCATAAACTCATCCAAACCCATACCCCTAAACATTAGGTACCCTAGTCTTAACCAACGCTGATGATAATTCAAAAAATCATTACAACAATATTCTGGTAAATTTTCTTCCGGCTTCTTGGTCGCTTATGCCTTCTCCAGCTCCAGGACGGCCGGAGCTGTAATGGTCTTGCCCTTGAGGTACTCAAGTCCTTCACCACCCTGATTGAGAATGTTAGCAATCAATTTTCGATCCGACAAGAGGCAGCAACAACTTACGTAGCTGATCAGGGGAGACACCTCGATGCCGCCCTCAGATACAACAGTGGCTCCGGCCGCCTTGACCCAGCGGAGACCCTGGTTCATGATATCGGCCTTGCTGGTGTCGGGGTCGTCCTGTCCGGTGCCCTTGGCGTTCTTGAGAGGGGAGAACTCGTCGGCGCGGTTCACCTCCATGCAGGCAAACTTGTCCAGAGGCAGCAGAGGGAAGCAGTCAAAGACGAACTGCTCGAGCTTGATGCCGTTGGGCTTGGCGGGCTTGATCAGCTCTCCCGACTCGAGGTCGAGAGCGGGAATCTTCTTGCGAGCAACGTGGTGGGGCAGCTTGTGCGCCCATGTAGGAATGCTCTCGAGGAAGCTGAACGAGTAATAGTGGTTGACAATGTTGGCAGAGCGGAACTTGAGAAGGTCCGGGTTGCTAGGGTCGCGAGCCTCGGCAGTCGCCTTGTCAATCTCAGAGTACTCGACAACGTCGGGCTTGCCGTTCTTGCAGAGGATGAGACCGACGGACTCGGTGGCATCGCGCTTTCGCACCACCTTGGTGGCAATGTCGACGTTCAAGGATGCGGAGAAGCCGATGAAGACAGGGTCGGCAACCTTGACCAGGCAGTTGTCGACGCAGTAGGCGTGGATGTGCTGGATGCCGCGCTTGCGCATGTCGTCGAGAACGCCGGAGACGATCAGGGCCTGGTAGATTCCGCCGTTGCCATCGGGGGCGACAGCAAGCTTGCCCTTGGCCTCGAGGATAATCTTGCCCTCGTTAGAGATACAAGGCAGTACACCCTGCTCAAAGATCTGGACGTTGTCCTTGTCCAGGCCAAAGTAGTTGTTGGAGGCAAAGAAGTCCTCGGTGGGCTTGCGGGTAGGGCCGCTGGTCATGACGTACCAAGGCACAACGACCTTGTCTTTGCCGGCCTTCTTGGCCGCCAGCTGCTCGACCTTGCGGATACGCTCGGCCTGGATCTGGAAGAGCGACTTGTGCGAGGGCAGGCCAATGTCGAAGCAGCCCTTGGGGGCAGAGCTTCCCAGTCTGGTGCCCTGACCACCGGCCATGAGCACGACGGCCACCTGGTTGCTGCCAATCAGGTCCAGGCCGGACTCGTACCACTTGTTGATGTCAGTAGGGCTCGAGTCGAGGATGCTGGCGCGGGCAGACTCGGGCAGGGGCTCCAGGTCGGCGGCGGTGTCGTCATCTTCAGGAGGATGCAGGGCCTTGTCGGCAATGTCGTTGATGTAAACGGGGTCGAAGCGGGAGAGCTGCTCGAAGAAGACGGCCTGCTCGGCGGCGCTCAGGGAGTCGAAGAATGTGAAGACGTGCTCCTGTCCCGCACTGGCGTACTTCTCCTTGAGCTGGGAGACAGCCTCGGGGGAAGGCTGGGGAGGAGTGGCCGTGTCATTGGTGGCCTTGCTCAGAACGTTCTTGAGGGCGTCCATTGTATTTGAAGGCAGGTAGGTAGTATTAAAGGAAGATATTACGTCAAAGGCGGAAGCGAGCGGATTGGGGGCAGCAGCTGCAGAGCAGAGCAGATGAGAGGAGACAGGAGAGGAGAGGAGAAGAGAAGGAAGAGAAGAGTGACGATGACGAGGAGGAAACGAGGGAAAGCCGGGAAAGCAGCGGTAATGTAGGTATGAGAAGGGGAAGGAAAGGAAAGGAGACGAAGCCTTGGCCAGGAAGGAGGGATCAATAGGAGAAAAAGCCTGGTTTAGCAGTACGAGGCCGAGTACAGGCAGGTACGAGTAAGCGGGCCTCTTCTCCACCGCGAAGCAATCGCTGTCGGGGTCGTTGCGAGGTATCGGGGCGGTACCTCCTTACGATCGCCAAACGGGCTTTTTCTCCTGGCTGACGTCGTGCTTTCTTTCTCTCCTCTGTCACCCCTCCATCCATTGAAGCTAAGCAGAAGACTCGCGAAGAAGGGGGGCGCGTTACTGCTCAGGTACATACCCACCTAGGTACTGTTAGGTAGTAGTACGAGTGGAGGAGCTTGAACCGGGCAGGAGCCGACTTTGCGGGTACATGCTGCCGCAGCCCCTGTTGCAGCGATGGTGCAGGTACTGGCGCGGTACCTGAATGTGTCGAGTTGACAACAGCCTTGGAGACCTGGACCTTTTGCACCTTGATGACCGAGCTTCACCTTGAATTGTGATGTTCGTTACCTTTCTCTTACGCAACATCTAGCCTATATCCCTTGAGCAACAATGGTCGATTTGGTCAGTTCTCATGCATGCCTCTACAGTGCTGCCAGCCTCATGTCATGGCATTCGAAAATGTTACCCGTTATACTTGTACAAGCCCGTAATACCTCGAGGCTGATGCGCAAATTTGACGGTGCTTCTATTTTCAGCTCGAGCGAGGCGGTGCGGCAGCTGGCCTCCACCGGATGGGCAGCCCAGGTACAGCCAAGGTACCCGACCCGACAGCTCCAGGTCAGCCCTCCGCCTCGCAGGAACGCTGTAGGGCCTGTCCTCCACTAACGTCGTCAGCTACATAAGGTACAACAGCTAAGACCATTTTCCTAGCCCTTAGCCTGCTGTTTTCAGTGCCCGGGTTTATTTCCAGGTTACCACAGGCTGGAGGTAAGGTGTCCAGTCCTTGGGCCTTCAGTCACAGTACAACACCCCGAAGGTAAGGTACCTGAAGGTAAGGGACCTTAGTAGGAGGCTGATGGTGCTGCTTCTTACACTCCCAGATGACAAAAACGCCTTGCTGGAAACAAATCATCTCGGCATCTGACAACCAGGTGATTACAATGTCGAATTGAACCTGACAAGTGACAGAGCATCATCTTTGTTCCTCTCCATCACTTGAGACTCCTTCTCCCGCAGTGTGCTGCGTCTCCTGCACGGGTACTCGTACTTGAAAAGTAGCTGCAGCTGCACATCCGGCTATCCTCGCCTGGGAGCCGATCTCCCCGTATGGACAAGGGCCCTCTCTCCCACCAGGAAAAGACGTCAACAACGGGCCCCCGGATACGAGCATCAGGGGGTGCTTCGAGCCGCATCTATTGGTTTCGTCTGCGTGCTGTCGCAGTGGCTAGCAGACGCTCTGTGCCCCCTATCTGGGCCGGCCATGTGTGCGCATCCCCTGCGATGATTGCTGGCATCGGATGCCGTGTGGCATCAGCAGCAGCAGCATCAGCAGCAGCATCAGCAGCAGCAGCGCACCAAGCCACAGAGCAGAGCACACAGAGAGGCATCGCTTCGTTCAGCCGCACGGCAAGCTCTGCGCATCGGCCACTGATCAGGCCACGAAAGCAGGAGTGCGGCAAGGGGCGGCATACCTACAGCAGCCGTGCACTATGACTTGCAGCAGCAGCAGCAGATTCATGCCTGCGGTTGTTGAATCGTGTCAATGCCTGTATGGCTTCCTGTGAGCGTGGTGCATCTGTACGACCAGGATAGATACAACACCGGCCGCTGAATCGATTCAGTGGACATGCGCTCTGACTGCCGGAGGTGAGATGCCTACCTGCGTTGGGTATCCCCAGATGCTTGCACTATTACTACTCTGCAGTTGCTTCTAAAGAGTCTCGATCTAGATGCGGCCGCTTCACCGCAACTTGTCCAGCTCAGAACATGCTGAATCTGTTGCTACTGATAGGTCACTGGCTTGACCCCTGCATGATTCTTCATCTCTGGATGGTCTCTGACAAGTCCAATGTGAAAGAATCCAATGGTTGGGCATGTTGGACGTTCCCCCGTCATTGTGAAGCGGCAGGTATTGCTAATGGAAAGAAAGCACATCACAGTCGCTCCTATTGTCTGATATCCTCTGAGCATAGCACATGCAGTTCTAACAACACCGGCCAATGGTTCATGTGCTGGCAACGTCTTGCAACAGTTGGCATTGTGTTTTGGGGGGGGGGGGGGGGGGGGGGGGGGGGGGGCAGAAGAAGAGGTGGCCTGCGCCAACGCTAACTGAACTTCAGTTGCGGGAGTTCAAACCATCACGGCCTCGAGCTGGAGTACTGACTATCACAGCCAGCGTGACTGTTGCCTGCTTCAGCCGCAGACGATTGCATACTGGGAGCTGTGTCTAGCCCATCACAACCATGCCCGCTCTGCAAACCCTGGCGAAAAGGGGCCACGATCGCTGCAGCAGGGCTGCTGCCTTGCCACAGCGGCTTAGTCAGAGGGAGGCAAATATAGACCGAGTCTTTTCACAACCTTTAACTTACAACACCTCTCAAGGTGAGAGTGAGATCTGTTGTAGTTGTACAACATCGTTCACTCTGTTTGAATCTTAAGTCTGAACCTGTTATAGCGCAGCAAACAAGCGACAAGGCGGAATCTCCCATTGTCATAAGCGCCATCGGTGAAATATCCAGTTTAGACAGGACCTCAGCTTACACGGATTCACGCACGATTCTGCACCAGCCAGCATGGGCTCCAGAGAGGACGTCGCAATTCCGGACGAGAATGTTCCAACAGTTGCTCCAACGCCGGCAACGTTCGAGGGGCGCCTGCAGCTGAACAAGTTCATGTACAACGGGCAGCAGCCGGTCCGCAGAAGCCCCCGGTTTGCAGCGGCGTCCGAATCGCCATCGCCATCCTCAGCCATCAGCGTGACAGCATCAAGTACAACAAGGTCCGCATCATCAGCGTCTTCGTCATCCGTCAGCAAGAGACGAACGCCCAGCTCCTCATCACCCTCGTCGCCAGCAAAGAAGAAGCGCACCAAGCCCAGCTCAGGCTACGCTCCCCCGTCCACTTACGCCCATCTGCCCGAGCTCCCCGATGCCGTCGCGCCCAACCTGCTCGTCTTCTTCATCGGGCTGAACCCCGGCATCGAGACGGCCCGCAGCGGCCACGCCTACGCCCACCCGTCCAATCTCTTCTGGAAGCTGCTCTACTCGAGCGGCGTGACGCCCCGGCCATGCCACTTCAGCGAGGACAGGCGGATGCCGGAGCTGTACAGCCTCGGCCTGACCAACATTGTCGCGCGGCCGAGCCGCAACGGCGCCGAGCTGAGCAAGCAGGAGATGGACGACGGTGTCTCCATCCTCGAGGACAAGGCTCGCAAGTGGCGGCCCGAGAGCATGTGCGTCGTCGGCAAGAGCATCTGGGAGAGCATCTGGCGGGTGAGGCACGGCGCGCCTGTGGGCAAGGCGTTCAAGTACGGGTGGCAGGACGAGTCGGAGAACATGGGCGTCATCGCGGGCGAGTGGCCGGGGGCCAGGGTCTTTGTTGCGACGAGCACGAGCGGGCTTGCGGCGTCCATGTCTCTGGCCGAGAAGCAGGCCGTGTGGAATCAGTTGGGGTCTTGGGTCAAGACGAGGCGAGCTGAGAGGGAGGCTGAGGAGGAGCGAGCACAGAGTGTAGATGAGGGCGCTTCAGCATCATGACATGACGGCATCCTGCATAGAGCACAAGCTAAATTACAACTGCCATACTGTATTCCATTGAATAGACGGAGACGTACGAAAACAGAATAAGAAACCAATGCTGGAGATACCTTGTCAGTATCAATGCTGAATGCTGTTGGGTGTCTTGAGACTTACAGGTACCTACCGTACATACGATACCTGTACCTGACAGCCCCCAGTTATCCACCCCACCAATCACACGTGCCGCGCAAACCCATACTACTACCTACCTACCTCTCCACCAAAAATGTCATCGTCCCTTGAAGCCAACCTCTTCAACCATCTTCCCTCTTCCCATTGCATTTCTTCCAGCTCGCCCTTCAACCACCAAATTCAACTCCCCATCCCAAGAGCTTCAAGGGACACATCACACACAAAATGTCGTCAATAGGCCCCCAACTACCACCCCACCTCACAAAGCGGCGACGAGACAGCGACACCGACGACACCTCATCCAACAAACACGCTCGCCGCGACGATCCCCCCCCGAACAAGGACGAGATAGACCTCAACGCCTCTGCTTCATCATCAGACTCCGAAGACGACTACGCACCGCCTAAACCACCTTCTCAACCCACCACCGCCCCTTCCACTAATACTGCTCCCGCGCCAAAAGCAGCAGTAGTAGGCCCAACTCTCCCACCACATCTCCTCGCCAACAACAACACCACCACCAACAAAGACGAAATCGCCCTCGACAACTCCGACTCAGAAGACACCGGCCCAGCGCCCCCTCCTCCTCCTCCTTCTTACCCTCCCCAAACCACCGCAAACACAAACCCCGACGACTCAGAATCCTCAGACGACGACTCCTTCGGCCCCTCCCTCCCAACAGCCGCCACCCGCCGCCAAATCGGTCCCTCCATGCCCCCGTCCACAGACGACGACGACGCGCCCAAGCGCGACGAATGGATGCTCGCCCCGCCACCTTCATCAAACACCTTTTCCGAGCGCGACACAACCCGCATCCGCGCCCGCAAATTCGCCTCCAAGCCCTCCGCCGTCGCTGCAGCAAACAATGCTTCAGCAGGAGGTCCATCGTCGTCGTCGTCGATATGGACGGAAACACCCGAGGAGAAACTCCGCCGCTTGCAGGATTCCGTGCTGGGAAGGACTTCTTCTTCGGGCGCCGCCGCCGCGCAGGCTGGCATGTCGGAGCAGCAGCTGAAGAAGCTGCAAAGGGATGAAGCTTTGTCGGCCAGTATACAGGCCACACGAGGCAAGACGCTCCTCGAGGAACATCAAGGCGGCAGCAGGAAATCGACTTCTTCGTCCAGGGGCAAGGTGGTGAGCGCGGAAGAGGAGGAGGAGGAGGACGATCCGAGCAAGAGGGCGTTTGATAGGGAAAAGGACATGGCGGTGGGGGGGAGGATCACGGCAACGCAGAGGAGGGAGCTGATTAACAAGTCGGCCAACTTTGGGGGCAGGTTTCAGAAGGGGTCGTTTTTATAGTGGCATGCCCATCTTTGGTCCTCTTGGTGTCATGTTCCCGGATGGTCGTTGGAAAGATCTAGAGACATCGTGATATGTAGAGAGGAAACCTCCATTCGACGATCAAGTCAATGATGGTGTACCATCAGTTTCACATCATACAAGCCACAAAAACTTCCGGTTTCAATCGATTGCCTTCACCGATCCTTTATTGATAACGTCGAGCTACCAAAAGAAGCCACCGTAGCCTCCCAACTCCGCCGCTCATGTCCCATATCGCCTTCGTCTTAGAACACGCTTGGAGCTCCGTCGAGTGAGGAAAGAGAAGAAGAAATCCAGCCCCAACACGGGGAGGTACCAAAAGCAGGAAAAGATTCCAGAGAAACCATTCATACATGTGCTCACCCTCATACATGGAAAAAACCATCCATCACCCCCCTCCCTTGCCTATCATCCATATTTGCCTTGATGAACCATATTGTAGTGAAACTTAGAAGAGCCGCCTTACCTGTACTTGCTCCTCCTTGGGCGCCTATATACTTTGGAATTGCGCGTCGAAGACCGTTGTGAGCGTGCCGTAGAATGGCCAATACACAGATGATGAAACCACGACAGGAAAACAGATAAAAAAGAGAAGAAGAAAAATGCTGTCATAATGCGAGCGAGATGCCAAACCAGGTGCTTGATATGATTCGAGCTTCATGACGGGTATGCTCAACACACATGTTGGTAATGAGAGAGAAATGCCACTGCCTGGAAAGAAGAGCATCAAGCGCGAAAGAAAAACCCGCAACGCCAAAGATCACTGGCAACACGCTGGGACGCTGGCTCAGAGTAGCGGCGGCGGTTTACCGGGTGCCCGACTCCAGCTGTGAAGGCGTCACCGTCTCCGTAGCATTCATCCTCGGAGGCGGCTCGACAGTCCGTCCGAAGCGAATAGCGTGCCGGACAGACGACAGCATGGTGGTGGGAGGCGATGGCCGGGCTGGCTCTGAGGCATTGGTAGCTGCTGGGTTCTGCTGAGCTTCCGTCGCCGCGTTGACTGCTGCCGTCTGCGCTCGTCGCCGTCCTGGCAATCGCAGCAGAGAGGAGGGGGCCCTCGAGCTGTTGTCGGTGTGGCGGCTGTTGTCATTGCGATTGCCTGAGCTGCGGAACCAAGTCCTGGGAAAGCCCACGGGCAGGTTCATCCGGGAGTTCTGGCGCGGATCGAGGTTGGCGTTGTTGCCAGCCGCGGCGGCATCGCCCTCGGGGTTGGGCCTGGGCTTCGGGACGTAGTAGTCGGCCTTGCACAGCGGGCAGCATGCGCGACGGCTGGTCAGCCATGGGTCGACACAGACGGCATGGAAAGTATGGCCACAGGTCAGGCCACGGACGTCATCGTCATCTTCGAGAGTGTCGATGCAGATGGCGCAGGTGTCGCCAGATGTGTTGAGAAGCTCCGGCGGCAGGGCGGCATTGATCTGCTCGTCATCCTCTTCGTCGTCCTCTTCATCCTCCTCCTCCTCAGTCGTGGTCCGCTTCAGGTTGTGGATGGGCGTGACGGGGCCATCCTCGGGCGATTCGGCGACGGTCGTGGTGTCCTTCTTGTCGTCATCTCCCTTTACAGCAATCTCCTTGTCCTGTTCAGTCTTGGTGGCGGTAGAGGCGTCTTCCTGAACGGGCTTGACTTCGGCGGAGGTGCGTTCTTTGGCAGCAACATCGGGGATAGCTCCGTCTGCGTGGTGTATGCTGTTGGGCCGGCTGGGGGTTCCGACGCCTCCCGCAGTGGGTAGTCCTTCCCGGGCTCGCTGCGAAACCCACGTTTTGTACTTCATCATGGGGAACTTGTCGTTGACCTCGTCCATGGTCATGAGCTTCTTCTCACGTCTCCTACGGTGAGGGCGAGGCATGTTTTCGAGCGTAATGGGCTCGCCATCTTCGTTGGTCATGCGTGCCCGGTTACGGGCATTGTATCGAAAGCAGTACTTGACGCCAACGATGATCCTGTGGCTGCGTTAGACGAGGATGCACTTGATACGGTTTGGAAGAGGTGGTATCGATTGAGATAACGCCCTTCAACAACCGTCCCTCAAGATGATTGAAAATACATACCACAAGTTTGTAAAAACAACTCCAAAGCCCAGCGCAACAAAGAAGAGCAGCGGAGAACTAGAGCCGCCGCCCTTGTTGTTGTTATTGCTGTTGTTCGTGTTGGAGGGAATGGCAGTCTGCGGGCTGGTGGTGATGGTCGCAGAGGCCGTGATGGTCGCGCGGGCGACAATGTGAGCGGCCTCGAAGGCGTGGTTGAGGATGGCCATTGTTCTGGCTTTATGGGGGAGAAGAGAGGTTGAGGGCAGTCCGTGATTAAAGTGGCGTCTGATATGGTCCAGGCGCCAAGACAGGCAGCATGGATCGTACGACGGCGACGGCGACAGCGTCAGCGTCAGTAGAAGGGTTCTCTAGTCCAGAGCGATGCAGGCTCGGAGTCGTCGCGGCGTCGAGAAGGTGCACCATGCAAGGCTGAAGTCGAGTGCACGTCCTACGATCTCTCTTTTTAGAGTCGTTCTTTTTTTTTTGGTGTTTGCCCTGGTTCTCTTTTCCGGCTGCGTCCAGGGTGTGGTCTACTTTTTGCCGTGCGTCTCCACGTCATACAAGGACGGGCAAATCGAGGAAAAAAGAAGAAGAAGAAAAACAACTCAAGTCCCCCGTGTGAATCGGCAGCTTTGATCGCTCAACCACGGCTGTCGAACAATGTGCTGCAAAAGCGATGGGCTGGTGCGCGGCTCACGACGGGCGGCGAGCAACAGCGCGTGGGAGGAGGAGGAAGAGGAGGAGGAGGAAGATCGTGAAAGAGTGGCAGAGGAAGATGGAAGATGCAGAGAGATGGACAAGATTCGCAGCAGCGGCACGGACGAGTCAATGGTTGGAAACTGCGGAGTGCAGCAGGTGGAGCGGGCTCTTAAGAGGGAGGAGGCGATTCAGCGGCATCCACCGCCCTCGGGCCTTAGCTGGCCGGTACTGGGTACTGCGGGCTGCCCGCGACGGCTGCGCGGCGCGCGAGGTACGGGGTACGGGACACAGTGCTGACCCCCAGCGCTGCCGGCGTGTCGAGCAGGTCGTCGAGCAACAGAGAGAGACCCGGCCGCTTTCGACTTGCCTGCCCCCTCTTTTTGCGCAAGTAGGTAAGGTAAGGTACCCAAAGTACCTTGGGTTCACGTTGCGTTCACTGTCCACTGTTCACTGCTGGTTGCTAATGTACAGGGGGGGTGCAGTGGGTGACAGCAAACCGGAAGCCTGGCAACTCAATTGGGCACTGTGACGACCGGGGGGGAACGTGCGCTAAAACGCCCCCTGCGAGAGGGCCTGGAGGGCGCTGGGGGTGGAGCCGGCGTGGGTGGCTTAGTGGCTCTTTGGCGCGCTGGCTTGGGGGACGGATGCACTGGGCTGCAGCCACTGAGTCTGGCTGATGTGCCTCTTGCGCGCTACGAGGCCTTTTGTGCTAGTAGTAAGGTATGTATCGTATGGTGGTGGTCGTATTGATTGGAGCCGTCGGGGTTGCAGTTGAGCCGTGGGGGAGGGAGAGGAAGCGTGAGCAGTCAAGGATTCCGCAGTCGAGCACCCCATCCAGGCGTCGAATCGCAGAGGCGCGAGATCTGTGGGCAGCGGGTGGACGTGATGGATCCAGCTGCGGCAACTGAGTATGTACTACGAGAATCGCCGGTTGGCCAGGAGCAGTACGAGTGCGTATGTATGTGCGCATCAGCAATACGAGTTGCATGCAATTACTACGAGCATATATGTATGGGCGCGCTTTGGAAGCCTATACCTAAGTATGTAAGCCCATAAAAGCGTATTACTACTCTTATTACTGCTGCCACTTATGTGAGCCATAGGCACCTTATCATGTGTACCTAAGGTAGGTAAGTAGACACACGTATGTGTGACTCCATTGAGAGCAGGAATCGCTCGAAATTAGAAGGCCAAAAGTGAGAACCAACAGCTCGACTCCCGCAGGCAAGGCGCCACTACCGACGGCAGGGGCGAAACAACACGAGCAAAAAAAAGCAAATGGGGAGCTGAACAGGAGAGCTGAGCACGGTAAGAAAAAAAAAAGAAAAAAAAGAAAGCAAAAAGGCAAACGCAGCAACGAACAGGCTTTGAAGCCACCAGGGCAACGGGATTGATTGAATGAATGTCTCACAACGGCGCCGCAAATAGCAGCAGCAGCCCGCACTGGCATGCGACAAATGAGACTGGTCAATTGCCAGAATTCTGCGCAAGAGTCAGTCCAATCTAGGTATTGAGTGAATGAATCCCTTTGGTTTCCTCCCCCCCCGGCAAGCTGCGGCTGACAGAGCTTCAATCAATAGCCTCGCGATCCTTGAGACGAATTCCAGTCTGGACGCATTCAGTCGTAGTAGTAGTATCCGCCCAAGATCCATTGCGTATCAATGCCCTTTTTTTTTCACTGCACATACAATAAATGATATTATCTTGCCTTCTCGTTTCTTCTTCCTCCTCCCCCTGCTCATATATTAGCCGGGGCAGTGGATCACTCGCACCAGTAGTCTAAACCGACGTCTGAGGGCCGTTTTTGACGCCATTCGCTTCAGATGACATCCACTGCCTCCATCCTGCCCATCCTCCAATCCTCCCCAATTGTCTAGGTATCCCTCGGGAATAGGCCGACGATGCCGCCGATCGCCGTTGCGAAACGGCTTCGGCCACGGCGGGTCCAGTATCCGACTTCCACAGTTCCGGCCACCTGCGAGCCCACGCCATTCCCCAGCGCCTCTTTTTGTGTTTTTGTCGCCTTTGCCTGCTGGACATTCATCGATGATGCCTACGTAATGGAGGATGGGCGCACCCAGAGGCTACGGCTGGCACGGCACCACGTGAAGCCTACCTACCTAGGTACCCAACAACACGCCAGTATTTATGTATTATCATGTCGTTCAGTTTGCCAGTCACCACTGCAGACAAGAAGGACAGAGGCAAAAAGAAAAAGAAAAGGCAATGTTGAATTGCGAATATAGTAGTCAAAGCAGTGGGCAAAGCACACACCCCCAACGCACCTATTTTTGAACACACTTCTACATACTAGACCCGTGCTGTGCCTTGCTTGTTGCGAGTAGTCGGCCGAATTCGTGCATATGTTTGAGACATGCATTGTTCGCAGGGTGACTGGTTCACGCTTAATGGTCTGGTCTTAGTATTCCTCTGTGCCCTGATGCCGCCTCAGACACTCTGTATAATACGCATACCTACCCGCTCAGCGTCTGGACCCATTGCCCTGCTCCTGTTGTCGATGTCCGGCCAGAGGTCTGGTGCTTTTGGTCTCGTGTCAATCCCTGTGGCGATCTCGGTCTACCTCATATGGAGGAGGAACACGGCCTGAAAGTGCTAGTAGTATCGACTGTTCAGACCTGCGCAGAGCGCATCTCTCTCTTCTGCTTCCGACGACAAACGGATTGATTCCGATTCTGACACCCCTGCTCCATGCAGTCAGTCTGTCATTATCCGTCAGTATCCATGCGATGGTGAGTTTTCGATTTCAAATAGCGACGGTATTTATGCGCGTTTCCATCTTTTCTTGCGAAATCGTCCGCCGAGGGTCGGAATCGAACGCGGTGGAGGAAGACTTGAATCTGTCCTGCTGTTGAGATGACCAGGGGGGAGGGTGATAGAAAATAATGTTAAGCTGCGACTTGCTTCATGTGTCCATCACATGTTACCCCCCCCCCCCCCCCCCCCCGGCTCTGGAGTTTTTGTGGCGCGCGCGCAGTTGCTTGAACAGATGCGGGCAGGGTGACATTCCTCCCGCCACTACCGAACGTACCGCAACACCTCGAGAAGAAAAAGTTGCATCTCGACTTGGCGTCAATCCTTTGAGCTCTCTGTGGGCCAGCGAACGGGCTTCTTGAGATGGAAATGCGTTCTACAGGCTGCATCAATCCAGCTTCTGCGTATCTGCGTTTGCGCTTCTCCGGGCTTCTTTCAGTATTCCAGTATAGGTACCTAAGGTACCTTAGGTATGTGGTATTCACCTAGTACATGTACATAAGTAGGTACATATCTCATGGGGTCATTGAAGGCTGGTGCTACAGGCTCCATGCTTTTCCAACGACCTCTAGAATCGTGCTGTTATCACTCTGCAATCAATCATTCGGCACTGCCCGCATGTGTCTCATATGTACGTACAATTGCAGGTAAAAGCCCTTCTGAAGCCCAATCTCGACAGATGTTCGATAGGAGAAAGAAGAGACCCAGCCGAAGTCGCAAGGTCCGTTTGTTCTGCCTACCTTAAAGCGCCGCCCAGCGCGTCAACGGCTTGATTGTTCCCTGAGCCACGGACAACCACCAGCAGCAAGCATGGCGCCGCCAACGGCTACCTAGGCACCTCATCATTGATCCTTGGATTGTTGGACACAGAAACAGGTCGCTGCACCCGGTAATGATAGTGCGAGTACGAGTATGTGCTACTATTCCATCGTGAGAGGGGTGTGTGTGTGTGTGTCGCACCAGTGCGCGGTATCCCCTGCTGTGCACTGTTCTATAGCGTCGATGCGGACGTCCTGCACGAACCTCGAGGCTATCGAGTACATACAGAGAGGTCTGAGAACGAACAGCAGACCTTGACTGCAATGACGACAGCGCTAAGCTGTGTTGAAGAAGGCCGATGCTCAGCCTCTGGACGGGGGAATTTTTGGGATTTGGAATAGTACTCTACTACTACTACATTTGTCAGAGGTCGGAGAGATGCTCGTCATGTTGCAGGTTTCTTGCGGTCGGATCATGCCGAGTTGAGTTGGCCCGACACAGCTGTTGGGAAGAGCGCACGAGGGCAACTTACATGTAATTATAGCACTCTTCGTTTCCTACCTATGTACAAATAGTTTATGCCCTACCTACTAGGTGTTCGAGGCGCGTAATCCTGTATTTCTGACTGCAAGCATCAGACGGCACGGACTTTGAGCGGCAAATCCCATCCCATCTTACCTTACCTTACCTTACATGGGTCAACGCACGGCCGTCCCGGGCCTCCCGTCTTCCGTCCAGGGACATCCAGACATTGCGGCTGTGCCCGTCAGCCTTATTCCACGTCAGGACAGAGTTACCTGCACATGAGCACATTGCCAAGGAGAAGTCGCGTACGCCCGTTGTGACATCGAGACAGCTACGTACGAGAGAGTCGCCTTGGAAAAATCATTGTCGAGCCATGTCGTTGCTCCTCTAGGTAGGTTATCTTGCTCACCTGAGCTGGTTCTCGTTCTACATCTGGTATCAGCTCGGAGTCGTCCGCAGCTTCTTCTTCTTCTTCTTCTTCTTCTTCTTCTTCTTCTTCTTCTTCTTCTTCTTCTTCTTCTTCTTCTTCTTCTTCTTCTTCTTCTTCTTCTTCTTCTTCTTCTTCTTCTTCTTCTTCTTCTTCTTCTTCTTCTTCTTCTTCTTCTTCTTCTTCTTCTTCTTCTTCTTCTTCTTCTTCTTCTTCTTCTTCTTCTTCTTCTTCTTCTTCTTCTCCTCCCCACTCTCCTTCCAACGAACAAAAGATGAGAGAGGCTGTGCTGCTTTGCGGCAGAATTGAATAGTAATGCTAATGAAGGACGCTATGACAGAGAATCCAGCTGCACCGCGTGCTAATGCGTATGTAGGGATGGAGCCTGGTGGCATGACCTCACAATCCTCCTACAGAGGATAATCCTGTACCTACTACCACCCTTGCTGATTCTGAATCATTGAACAGAATGCAGGCAAGTTGGTGGTTTGATGCCAAGTTCAGGCCGTCTATTGCCGTCATGGGTCTACCTTGGGCAATGCAGAGAGCAGCCTGTCGTGAATGATCAACCAACAACAAAGATGCGTATCTTGTGAACAGTGCTTCCGTAGCTTCTAACGACGATACATCTTGGATAAGGTACCTAGTAACAAATTGAGGTACCTACCCAACTACATGAACAAATTCCTCGCTTCTCGAACAAGGTATTACCAAGCCACCGTGACAGCAACCAAGCCTTTACATCACACTTGAGCAACATCATTTTCAAGTCAACCGATTTCGCTGTCGACATTTAAGCCCCTTTGACCACCGACCGGATCTCTCGGTGCCTGCCTATGTATTCCCTGACAACGCATGATAGTCTTCATATACGTAGTCGAGACGGCCCTCAAACTTCATATTGTGGATTTATTTATTAAATTTTTTTGATCGGCACACCCATCTCCCCATTCCCAACACATTCCGCGAAGTATTTTTCTTTTTTTTTTCCTTCTCGTGGTGCCTGTCTGCGGTGGCGTTTTTGATGTGCAAGCCACAAAGGCGCAGATCGCTTGCAAACGGATTTTCCGAATGCCCGTGGAATTCCTTCTGGAACGGAACATGAAAGTTCTGCTTGAAAGATTTTGTGGTAAGGCTGTGCTGATCTTCGTCTTGATAATTTGTTGGCTGTACCAGTGCGACGAGCGTCCATTACATCCAGTCTCGAGTATAGTCGGGAGAGACTGGGTAAGGTAAGGTAAGGTATGTCAATACTACAAGACTATACTGCTAAAGTGAGAGAAGATGGAACAGCAAACAACATGTCAGAAAGACGCTACGTCATCAATCATTTCAAAAAATCTTACCATGTATCAGCATATACGACACCATCGTGCGAAAAAGGACAGTCACACAGAGTAAAAGAAACAATCATCCTTGTCCATTGCGAGGCCTCAAAGAGTACCGTGACTTTGACCGAAATCAGTGAACCACCTAAACGACAGGAATAAAAACCTCCTAGAGTTATGCCCTTTTCCCTTTGGTATCTCCCATTCCGTTACCGTGAAATGCCAAACCCCTACCAACCGTAGATGAAAGAAAGAGAGAGAGAAAAAAACGCGGGACTGCTGGGTTTTGCTAGACCCCCTTATCGAAAATGAATCAAACCAACTGAAACCAGATTCGTGTGCGTTGTGAGAAGAAAATAAAGGAAAAGGGGGGGATGAGTGAGTGAAAGGACAGGCGAAAGGCAGTGAGAGTGATGAAGCAGGAAAACAAAGTTGCCAAACGAGAGAAACCGCATTCCCCCTTGGATCACCCTACACACCATCCAGCCCGAGTCCATCTCGCAAGCGCTCAGTGGCGACCGAAAGCCCAGTCGCGGCGACGGTGGCCTGGGATAAACGGCGTCACAGTTGGACGGCCGTTGTTGAGGTCGACGCTCGAGCTGGAGCTCAAGAGCGGAAGCGGGAGAGTAGTGGTCGGCCTCTCAGCCGGAGTGTTGCCTGGCGGAGTGGCAGCGGGCGCGCCCGGCGGGACCGTCACGAAGACGGTCGGGGTTGCGTGCGTATCAGGCACGATAGTCTTGTAAAAGGTCTCCATCGTAAATATGGTGGTAGTTACGGTCGAGGCTGGAAGCGTTGAAGCCGGCACGTGTACAGTGATGTACGAGGTGACGGTGGTAGCAGGCTGGGCCAAGTCCAACGACGCGGATGAGGGCCCCTTGATGGCTGTCTGTGTGCCGAAGCGTGTCGTCGTGACAGTGGGCTGCATGGTGGTGAAGGAAGTGACAGTGCTGATGGGCGGCGCACCCAGAGGAGGCTGAATGGGGGCCACAGAAGAGATAGGCAGGATAGGAGCGGCAGGAGGTGCGCCGGGGCCGTCTTTGGCACCGTTGACGTCGATGGCAACCTCAAAGTTGCTGTCCATCTGAGACTTGAGAGCCTTGGTGTAGATGTTCTGGTCATCGACGTACGATCCCATACCGGCGGCGTGGTCGCCCCGAGCTGTGATCTTGATGTCGATGGTGCTGGCGTAACTCTCATTCTTGGCAATGGCGGCCATGGTGAAGCCGTGAGGATCCTTTTCTCCACGCATAAAGGTGCCAGCCCAGGGGTAGAGGCCGTTGGTGGTAGCCTGGAAGTCGATGGAGTCGGCGTTCAGGTCAGGCCAGTCCCAGTACCAGTAGATGGTGTAGATGGAGCCGGGCTTGAGGTCGGTGGGCAGCTGGAGGGTGGACTGGCAGCCAAGCTCAATGTCGTGCGAGGCGCCCTGAGAAGCCAGCTTGGTAGCCCGCTCCATGCTGATGGCGCCGCTGTTTGGTTGATAGCACTGGCCGTCGTCGTAGTTGCGGGTGGCCAGGAGGCGGCCACGGCCGTCACCACCAGTGCCCTGCTTGTTCCAGACAAGGTGGACGTCAAAGAGGCGCTCCTCCTCCTTGGGCTGGCTGGTGCCGTAGAGGAAGACAGTACCGCGGTTCAGGGGCTTCTTGGGTTGATTCTGGGGAAGGGTGGTGTGACCGTTCTCAAGGTGGATGATGGCTATGTGGTCGCCCGGTGCGGCCTCCAACATAGGAAATTGAGGGTTCTCATCCAGCTTGTACTTGTTGAGCACCTCATCCCCAGAGTAGGCACCCTGGCCAGCAGCAGGAAGAATCCACTGCGGGATGATGTCCTGGAAGGGGGGGTCAGTAGAGTCGCGAGAGACCCAGCCGCGAGCGTAGCCCTCGGCGCCGATCATGGTGCCGTTGGGGGCGACTTTGTACGCCTTTTCGATCCAGGAGTGGCCGTTGGCGACGGTGGCGAGGGCCGCAACCATCGTGGCCCTGAGGCCGACGTGCGGAGTGGAAGCCATTTCTCACGGTCGAGACGCGTCTCTGGCGTGTTCTGACTTGCTGATGAGATTGTGTTTCTCGAGCTGCCGAGCAGGTAAAGACTGAGTCAAGAAGGGATATCAGGGAACGAATGCTTTTTGACCTCGCGGAGGGAAAAAGCTGAACCAAAAGACTGATGGTGAGGTTGACGTGCGCGCTGTTTTGCTCAAGATTTGGTGGTTTTTGTTTTTGTTTTTGTTTGGAAGAAAAAAAGAAAGTGAGAGAACGCGAGAACGAGAATAAATATGGGTTGCCAGGTGGCAGAAAGCCAGCAGACTCTGGCGTGTGCGCGCGTGTGTTCGCGATAATTGGCGGACCGGCGAACAGCTGGTGAACAGCTGGCAGTGACTGATTTCTTTCGAATTATTGGGTGTGTGAACAGCTTTTGCCAATTAGGGCTTTTCCAAACGAATGCCACGCCGTTGTTGATTGAATTGCCTTTATGTCGTGTTTGTTGAACTCGTGCCGGTCATGTAACAGTCGAGTGTCGTCGTTGAAGTTGGGTTTGCAGCTTGAGGATATTCAGGGGGGAGGGGTGAATCACGTCCAGCGTCGTTCCAGCCCGGTGAATTAGTGAAGAAGATGGAGAGTTGTCGTTCTATAAGTCGTGATGGCTCCCAGAGACAAGGAAAGAGAAGAGAGAAAGGAAAAGAGAAAAGAGAAAAGGAAAAGAACAAAAGGAAATAGTTGTCTTCTCTCTTCACCTTGCCATCGTCAGATTCGTCTCACCACGTTTGGCACAATCAGAAAGCCTTGTGACAATCAAGCACGCACTAAAGGCAAACCGGCACAAAGATAAAACAGATGCCGCCCACGCAAGCAAGGAAAGAGAGCAACGTAATCTCTGTATGTATGTATGAATGGATGGATGGATGGTGGGTATGTATGTAAGAGCAAGAGAAGGGAGGGAGAAGGCCGAGCAAGATATGACGAACAAGCAAGATTCACAGACAAGCAAGCATCACACGATTCCCCCACGAGGCGACGGGACCAAGAACCGTATTTAGCTGACGCCTCTCGGCTTCAACGGCAACCTATCGAGCGCATGGCTCCGGGCAGAGGCACGGCATCAGAGTGGCCGCTTGACAAGGCCCAGGTCATGCGATGAGACAGCCGCAGGACCATTCAACCTGGGCGGCCGTTTGTATGACGGGCAGCGCGGCGGCTGATGAAATGAAGGCCGTGTCGGCCGGTCCATTGGCCACGACGCCTGCTGGAGGCCACGGAGAAGAGAGAAGATTTCAAGAGGCTGCAACGCCGGGATTGATTCGACTTGATAATGCTGGTGTTTCAGCGGGCGGTGATGCATCGACGCGGATTGGCGACGACGGTCAAGAGCCGCGGCTTGCGGCAGCGGCGCCTGCAGGACCAGATCTGGCAGATAGATGTACGGGTAGAGCTGCAAGTACTGCCGATGTAGCTGTGAGCCCGTCTCCTGCAGCGGAAGTACGCTGACCATACCTCTCGCAGCCCAATCTCTGGTCCCAGATTGCGCGCAGCTCGAATTGCTTGCATGCGTCCCATCATGTTCATGTTCATGTTGCTCAAGCAAGGTTAGTACTAGGTAGGTAGAGATCCCGGCTTCACGGGTACCCGGCAGGTACTTCCACAAGCCAGCGCCTCTGTTTAAGCGCCGCACTCAACAGCCGTCTCTGGGCCTACCATTGTCCGCAGACCATCGCCGTCGACGACAAGTAATACCAAGGTACTGCCTCGTTGCCTCTTTGGGGCGTGTTGCAGCCGCCGCTATCGAGCCTCAATTGACTGGCTGTCATTCGCCGCTGTGCCGACGGCCTTTATTTGCCCAACCCTCCCATGTTCTTTTTGTTCCCTTCTTTCTCCTCTCTCTTTACCTTCTTTCTTGGAATCTCTCCTACAGCCAGAGTCTGTGTAACTCTCTCTCGGGTCATGGAACATGTGGCGTCTTGCGCAGCTACCTAATTTCTGCTCGGAATTTCCCTCTACCTTATCGTTGGCCATCCAGGCCATCAGTGTTGCCCAGCTCTCTCCATGTCAATGTACCACAAAGACATTCCGAAGCGCATGCTCGTGATGCCCCATGGCTCCATGACTATCAATAAATGGGCTTCAGGTCTCCCCATTGTCGTACCTTGGCCTCGTTTCAGTTCCCCTTGTCCCTCTCACCGGCGCTTAAGAAAAGCCTATGCGCTTCTATCTTGAGCCCTTTGTGATACACGCCGCTCAATTCTTACTACTATTCTCGCAGTGTAACATCCCGCTTAGCCGCTGCCGCGCTTCGAGCATGAAACCAATATCGAGGTCAATAGAAATAGAATAATAGTTTCGGTTTTTCTCTGCGACAAGGGTGCGGTCATGCAAGATACCAGGTTTTCTTTTTGGTGCAGCTTGCAGCTTGGGAGTGGCAGAGATCATCGGGTGCTACCCTATCGACGAAAAACGCAACACACCATCCATATAATACCGATCTTTTACGGCGGAGATAAATGACAAATCTCTTGATATCAGCATGGTATTTTGACATTGTATTGTCAATATCTGCATCTTGATGAGTTGCATCAAACTACCCAAGGTCTCAAGAAAGATACCTACGCTGGATATGAAGGAAACGAGTTGAGAGAGATGAGCGCCAGAGCCTAGCAGGTACACTCACCGGTTGCCTTCTTGAAGAATGATACGGGTCATTAGCAATGCAAATTGATATTAAACTCCGACACTATCCATGAATCTTTCTGGACGATATATACATGTAATCAGGCAATGTTCCGACATCCGATCTACCGCCAGCGCCAAATAGCACGTTTCGCTCGCCTTCTTCCTCCCTTTGACCCCGTCTCCATCGCACGACAAAGCCACAACTCTTTGGTACACAACCCTGGCCAGGAATCCCATGCTCTCCCACAAAAAGCAACATGTACAGCTCCTCTCTTCATCCTCACAAAGTCGTAGTCGACAGGGGCTTGGCCGCAAGAAGATCAATGACCTTGTAAAACATGTCCTCCACAGAAGCCCCGGCAAACGGAGGCGCAGCATCAAAGATGTCTGCGAGATACTGTTGAGGGATGATATTGGCCTGAACGTCGTCATCCTCCATGTCCACGTCATCATCTGCGTTTGGCGCCTCCTCCATCTCATCGTCGCTCTCAGCATCTCCGTTGAGCATGATGGCGAGCTTGTTGCTGTCGGCTTCCTGGGAGGCATTGTCGAGCCGCAGATCCTGCAGCGGCTGAGCGGCTAGGATGGTGGAGGCGTTGGAGCCCTCGGTAAGGGTCCAGATCTGGGCCACATCATCGAGAGCGACAAAGCCGCTGGTGCCGGGCACTGAAATGAGACTCACGATCCGATGGGGCGTGTTGCGGACGATGAGCGGCTCGGGCTCGCTCGGGCTGAAGATGCCGATGCTAGAGGTGTTTCCAAGAGGAAGGGTAACTGCAAAATGCCCGGACACCGAGTCGACAGCGAGCTGCAGCAATTCGTCGGCGTCAGAAGCCTTGGGCACCACGATTCCGTACCGTAAATCGTCGCTCACGACGTCGTAGACGTGCAGCTCGTCGGAAAGCACAATCAAATACTGCGACAGCACTCGCAATGAATGCAGCTGTCCTTTCCAGAGGCCCTCCAGGATCTTGACAACTTCGCCAGAGGCCGCATTGATCACATACACGGCTCCCGTGTCAACAGCGCCAAAGGCAGCAAACAGCGTGGAACCGTCTTCCGAGAAGGCAATGCGGGCTTGAGGCTTCACAGGAGCAGCCGAGTCGTTGGGAATATCCGCGATGGCATCTCGGCCGAGCCCATCGCCGATGGGGATTATCCGGGAACAACCCCAGGTAAACTCCACGCCGCCATCTGTGCGTCGTGAACCGTCTTGTTGGCGGACCTTTGGTCGCCAAAGGCGCACGATGCCGTCCCCGGCAATGGTGGCAAAGCAGGCTGAGGAACTGTCCGAGGCAAGATCTAGTATCGTCTCCGGATGGGTCGACGTGTGCGGCGCATTGATTCTGGAGACGAGGGCAATCGAGTTGTCCTCGTCATTGACTTGCCAGAACTTGAGGTATGACTCGTGCCTCTCCTTCAAGAACTGGTCGCCAGCGTCGCCACTAACGGCGCCAATGTCCCTGGTTGAAGGAAACCAGTCGTCGACGCTGGCCAGCCATTTTCCGTCGGAAGAAAAGGAGATGTGCGTGACAACAGGCTCTTCAATGGCGTAGCCCTTATTGGACAGATTGACGTCCGTAGGCTGTGTCCGGGCCAGTGCCTGCTTGGAGATGCTCGTGAAGGTCTCAAGATCAAAGGACTGCAGTAGGGGCGCTGAGAAGTCTCCCGTCATCGTTGCCTGGCGGCCATTGCCGACACAGACGTGAAGCTTGGAGGGCTGGTTCGCCTTGATGGCAGCGGGAATAGGTCGGCGCACTTTGTCTGCTACTGACCAAACACGCTGCACGAGCAAGTCTTTGGGTGTCGTGGCCTCAACCGATGCAGATTGAATGCCGGATATGTATGTGGTCGGAGTCAGTTCAGCAGTGGATAGAATCATTGTTGAGTTGTCATCAAGGTGCACGACATATGATGATCCGCTGGCAGAAACAACAATGTTTTCGACGCTGCCTGACAGGTGCGGGAGGTAGTTTCTCTTGACTGTGTCCATCTGCCATAGCACAAGAACGTTTTCGGAGCCTCCTGAGATCATGTAGTTGCCTAATGATGAGAGTTAGGATAACAGGCCACAAGTAAGGGTGAACGAGGAGACGATCAAGAACGGGGAGCATACCATCTCGTGACCACTTGACTGAATGAACTGCCTTTCGGTGCCAGTGGAACTTTTGAGCTTGGATGCCGGCTTTTCCAAGTGATTGGCTTCGAGCCAGGGCGTCATGGTAGAGATAGATGCCTCCTCGTGCGCCGCCAACAATCACATCCACCACTCTGTCGGAGGCGCGTCGTCCTTTGCTTCCAGCGCCGGGCAGAGCAGAGGCTTGGTATACCCTGAAATCGAGCGTGGTGATGATGTCTGGCACGTCAAAGGAGAAGAAGTCGTATTGGATCTCTTCGAAATTGGTCGTCTGCTCGTGTGACGCTACGCCAATAAAGAGAGAGTCATTCACAGCACCGACCAGGACGAGGCCATCCTGAGTGGCCTCAATCAGGTGCAGGCCATTGCCGGGCTTCTTGATGCTCAGTATGTGCTTTGAGACTGGAGACGACAGCAGATCGCCGCCATACGCAGTCAACTCCGTCTTATTGGACTTGGCTGTCTCGACGACGACGACGACATCGGCTTTGGCGCCAGAGGCCTCGGTCGAAGTCACTGTCATCGCTTTGGCGGTACCCGTCACTGTCTTGAAGCTCTGGTGCGTCTCAGCGGCCTCTGTCCACTTTACATGGTAGATTTGGCCATCTGAGCAAGCAACCCAGAGGTATTCAGGGTTCTGAATAGACAGGCGGGTCGCAACGATGTTTGCGGGAGACGAGCCGTCTGACGTAGCGGTATCGACGGCGCCAATGGGGATTCGTCTCAGGAGGAGAGAGTCGCTGGTGGTGTAGATTTGGACGGAGGTGTTGTATGTCAAGATGAGGTACCTGTATGAATGCAATGAGAATGGTGCTTCTCTGAGACAGAAGGGACTTTTGGTTGTCTTACTGGTCATCTTGAGTGAGGATGGGATCAATGTCGAGCATTCTGCCACCCATGGGCTTGGAGAGTCTCCAGCCAGCCTCTCCGTCTGACGAGCGCTTGGCCACAGCTTCACCATTGCTTTTTGAATTTGCCAGCGATCCATTTTGAAGGCTGTTGTCGGTTTCGACGTCTCCATCAGCTGCTTGCTCGTGCTCGTCCGCTGCGACGCCTTGCTGCGCCCGTGACCTCTTGATTCGCGCGTCGCCCTCGATCAGATCCCTCTTTCTCTTCTTGGTCGCTTCGTCCTGGGGCTTAGAAAGCCTGCTGCCCGCCATTGTGAGTCGTGGTCCGTCGAATGGCAAAGTGAAGAAGATTTGAAAAGAATGAATGGCAGGCTTCAGCACCCAGCGACTTGGTTCCAAAAGTGCTAAGAGCGATGCGCCGCAGAAATTTTGGTGCCGCCATGAACTTTTTCCACTATCAGCGATAAGATAACGAAAGCTGGCCGGCAGAACCTCGGCGGCATAATCTTTTCAGCCATTCCGCGCTCGCCCCCAAGCTTAATCCAACTCTTTACCCGGTTCATCACTCCAAAACTACGTTTTGCCATCGCATCGCCAAGATGATTATCCCCATCCGCTGCTTCTCTTGTGGAAAGGTAGGCATCAGGCCCTCATCTAATGAAACTACTCAGGCCCGTACTAACGACGACAGGTCACTGGCGACCTCTGGGAGCGCTATCTGCAGCTGATTGCGGATCCGCGCAAGACAGATGGGTATGCTTATGCTTGACTTTCATCCTCCGAAGCGAAACTCGAGACTGACCTTCGAAAGCGATGCTATGGATGAGCTAGGCCTGAAGCGCTACTGCTGCCGACGCATGATTATGACCCACGTCGACCTCATCGAGAAGCTTCTCAAGTATGGGCGCTGCTACCGAACCCGAAAACGCCCCTGATTCTGATTGCTAATCCTTCTGCTAGGTACACCCCCGACGGACGAAACGAGAAGAAGCAGAGATTGAACGAGTCGGCATAGATTTGATTTTGGGAAAAGAGAACGATGCAATGCACAGTTTGGCGTTTTTGGATTCAAGTTTCACCTTTTTGTAACTGGGCGCAAGGAAGAATCACAACCATGTCGCAACGATCACGGCGGAATTCACGGGATATCTGTCAATAATGGGACGAAGATCACTCCGCTACGCGTTGTCGACTGGCGAATACCGCGACGAACCTACCACCCTGCGATTGGATGCGGTGACCTATACCAACACTTGGGCTGATGCGCGTAAAACCAAGATGGAGTTTGCCGTGCCATCACTTTGATGTCGACGCCCTGCTGAGGTTCAAACTGGTATGGGCGGCCAGTTGGCCTTGATCAGCACATCTCAAAAATAGTGTTACGCTGCCGCATCTCACAAAGCGAGTTTGGCTAGGATTAGCATGAGCAAACCACTTTTATTTACAACACAGTTTGCAGCTCCTGACCTCTTCCGTGTTTGTGGGTGAGCTTTGCCTGGCATATGTGGTAATCTTTGCCAGCTTTCAACACAGGCGGGTCAAAGCAGTGAGATGTTTATCGACCAACACATGTTAACAAAGATCGATGAACCGGGGTGGTGGTGCGTCATCACAATGATTCCGAACATGATGCGAGGAACAGCTCCATAATGACCCCAACGTTGAAAACACAATACAGGCAAGCCACTCCCGACACCTTGATTCTTAAGCGATATCGAGTGGGACTGTCAAAGGGGGTGTATCTAGCCTGTTGTCGTTGGTTGTACGTAGGCATGGAAGCAATAGGCGTCCTCGACGAGTGCTATTCTCAATCTTCATTTCCCAACCTGCTCCATTCGTCGAGTAGCATATGTCGTAGAACCTCCCGGGCACGCCAAAGGAGGCGAGAGCAAGCGAGCCGCAACATGAAGAGATAGAAACTGACGTCCGACTACGCAAAGGGCGTTTATGCCGTGCACTCCGTAGATGCATCTATACGAGCATGCATGCGCCTGTCGTGGCCCGGTCCTCAAACAGCATCATCGCCACTACGATGCTGGCCCAGAGCAGGGTCAGACGCACAGATTGCCGATTGCAGGCATACGATGAGCCTGAGGTGTGTTGAACGACGTTCGGAGTTGACATCTTCATGATGTATGTCTGATCTAAAAGAAGAAGTGATACAAACTGCGCCTTTGGGAGTACCGGCACTTAGGTACTACCTACTCCATACATTATGTACATCACAGTTGCACAGAGGCCATGAGTAGAAGCCGACTGCCCAGCTTCTACTCGACAGAAATATATCTCACCCTCACAAGAAATCGCCGGCGCAACTATTACCCATATAAGATTTCGGTTCTACGACGATGACCGGCTTTTCGAAGCTGTGTACGTGCATGCTCGGCATATCTGCAGAGACTTTATACCTATAGCGAGGATACTTAATGCAGTGGGCATCACGAAATATGTCCTTCAAACTCAGCACAAACATGAGCACGACAATAGACGTGGATGTCACACGGAGCTGCAGAAAAGGTCGACTAGAAAATCCTACGCCAGGCCTTGGAACGGGAAGCAACGCAACGAGGGCGTACAAGCAAGGCTTAGGCAGCGCGCGTGCAACCGAGTACTAGTCGTACAGATATGCCCGACCTATATCCCTTCCAGCTCGGCTTGTTCAACACGATGAGATTGGCTGCAATATGTCAGTGTCAACGTAACATGTGACACAGGTACATACGGATGTCTAAGAGTAGTACCGCATCTCATGCTTCGGAAGTGCCCATGAAACAGGGAGAGGGGGGAGAGCGAGCGAGCAGGAGAGAGAGAGAGAGATAGAGAGAGAGAGCATCTTGCCGGCTCCGCCCACCCTCGGGGAGAGTAGAGAGGAGATATCGGGCGGTCCACAGACGGGTTGAAGTGAGTGGGCCGTGGCCGGGCCTAACCAGCTTCGTCTGGGCATAGGCGCCGGACCAGATCGTCGGGTCGAACGCTGCCAATCAGCGCGGGTTGACCGAGTCCAGCATGTCCTCTGTGCTCTGGGACGGGAGAGCAGGGGGGTCTGAAGGGCACGGCGGGCCACGTACCGAGCAATAGGCGCTGTGACAGAAGACTGAGGCTTTCGTTTGGTCCGGGTCTAGTAGTCGAATTGATGCGAAAAACCTCGGGATGGTGGTTGGTGTGTTGGTGTTGGTACTGTCGTTGGTTGCTGCTGCTGCTGCTGTGCTGGCCGTCGGAAACTGGAGCCTGTCGGGCTCTTCGCGGCACATCGAGATGCTTGTTGGAAGCCAGCTGGGTAACAAGTCCGTTTGCTGCTCTTCGACCAACAACATGGCTCGCGACGGATTCCATGCAGTTATCCAGGGAAGGCTACTCAGTCGTGACTCGAGGGTCGGGCACGTACAACTACTAGGTAGTCCGCGCCAGCTGAGAAGTGGTAGTGGTGGCTTCAACAAACAGCCCACGTTGTCGCATGCATGCTGGCATGATGGTCAAGTGGCATCGCGGAAAGCCACGAGCACGCCGCCCTCGAGTCTTCGCCATGCTTCTCTCTTCTCTTCGACTCAACCTCGCATGTCCTGTGTGCACGGCGTCGCATCCTAGTTCGGCGACGAATCGTGACTCGGCAGGGAAAAGCATGCAAGCATGTCATCCACCTGAATTAAGCGCCGACGCCTGTCGACTCCCATGCAGGCTGTTTCCACTGCGCTACCGATCGAGTCTGTGAGTGGCCGGGCCTCTGCAGAAGCTCCTCTTCAAGAACTAGGTGCAGCACAGCAGTTCCCCCGCCCCTCCAACGGCCAACGGCTGCGTCGCATTGGGAATCTGGCAAGGCTTCTTGATGAGCTCTCCAAGGCGACAATAGAGAGAGAGATGGATTGTATCTTGTATGTACTGTAGGTGTAATTGACGAGGTGGTCCTTGATCACCACGGACCTCTCGACAGGAGTCTGCTGATCACCGACAGTACGAGTGCGTGTATGTGTGTGCTGGGGATGCGGTGGTTTGAGGGCAACAATGCTCAGGTCATGGATTGTATGAGATATGCCGTTGAATTGTGTAGAGCCTGGACCGTCGTGACTTGATCAGCTCTCCAACCCTCCTCTGGCGGCATTCCTTCGCGTACTCATAGACTTCGTAATATGTACTTCGATAGCCGATCCGTCGTTCTGCACCTGGTCGCACTCGTTGCGCAAGACGCGGCTGTCCACCAGACGAGATTCCTGGCTGGCGTTTCTGCTTTGAGCGGATGTACGAGCCCACTCGAAGGACGCCATGTCCAGGGATCCACGGTCTGATCTGGTCAATCATCAGTTGACAAGTACTGTCAGCACAGCAGATTAAGCGACGGACTTGGCTCCTGCGGCTGGCGTCTGTCTGTCGCTTCGTCTGCCTAGTTCACCAGCCCAGCACTTCTGATAGCGCAGATGAACGACGCCTCGCCGTTCTGTAGCCGCGGGCTTCGAGCCTGGTGCATGCCGTCGTACATTAGCTGGAAGGATCTTGAAAGGCTGCCGCGTTGCATGCACGAACTAGTAGAGTTTGGGTGATGAATCGGAGGGTAGTAGTAGTAGTACAAACCTGAGTGCGTTCGTTCGTAGCTGGGCGAGGTGATGCGTTGAGGTGCTCCCACAAGGCCAGGCACAACTTGAAGGTAAGGTAGGTAGGTTGGTACCTACTACTGCTGCTACAAGTACAGCCCTTCCGAGGTACTCCTGATAGCAGCAGCGCTGGCGTCTCACCCATCAGCTTAGCAGCCATCACAGCTTGCCCCCGTATTACAGGTCGCACAGCTTGCGGACACGATCCCTCAAATTTCATGTTCCATAAGGTAGGTAGGTACCTCAATACCGAGGGTAGGTAGCATCACAACCAGCTGCTCCTCCTCCCACACCAAAGGCTCGTCATACCTACACTGTTGATCCGTCACCTTTTCCATTCCCGGAGCCTCTTTGCGTGCGATTTCCCGGTCTGGAAGCTCCTCTACATACCTACATACATACGATCCCCTCTCCAGCAGTATCCGAACCTGCTGCAGTGTGTCTTCTGCGTCTTCTCCCACTAAATTGACTGCTGACGAGCCCCTTCGTTTCCTCTTTTCTCTTAACCTCGTCTTCCTCTCTTGCTTCTTGTCTCTCCCTCTCTCGCACGCCATCAACACGCGCCCAGGGCTCAACAAAACAAATACGAACATTACTGTACATCCTCACCTCCGTACGGCACCGGAAATACCATCGACTTGCCGGATCCAGCGCGAACTCCTCCTCCTCCTCTTCCTCTTCCTCCTCCTCCCCCCCGCTCAATCAACTCCCAAACCACCACCTTACTACTCCTAGCACCCGCGGAGGCTGATTATTAGGCGCGAAGCTCCAGCAGCCTGCACTGCGTCCTGCGTCTTGCCTCTGGGTCGCTGCATGTCCTACTAGGCAAGGGTGCCTCGACCCCTGTTCCCTCTGCCTGGCCGCAGCGTCTCTTAAACCGCCCAGCCCGCCATCCGTCCAGCGTGCCTGGAACTGCCTCGCCTGATCTACGACCGGGACGTTTCGAGTCGCAGCTTTTGCTTCTATTCTGGAAGCACGCTGACTGTCAATCGAGGCCCGCGACCGCGACCGCGACCGCCTCTGCTAGTGCTTCGAACCTCCATTCAATTCTCGTCATACTATCGCGAGCGCTACAACTCGCCTCGCCACGCCTGCGATTGAGACCGTCTAGGCGTTTTTTCCCGTGGGGTACTCAGAGGCAATCTGCATCGTCAGCCGTCAAGCTGGGCATCTCGAGCTTCTTGTTTGCTGTGTAGAAACAGCTCGCGACGAAACCAGGTCACAGATTCTGCATAAAGCAGCTCAGACGCCGCGCTTTGTGGGAAGTCGTCGGCTCTTGCGCATCGCATTCGCCAGACCAATATCATGGCCCTCGAAGCGCCGCTACGATCATCCACTGGAAGCTTGCAGTTTCAGTTCAATCACCAAGGCGACATGTCTGCAACGTCCGAGTCTGACGGATTCAGGTCACCATTTAGAATCATGTAAGTCCAGTGCAATTGCGCACCAAGCAAGTCCTGTTAACATGTCGGCTCTAGGTCTTCCCCTCCGCCAGCCACAGACTCCTCCTCTCTTCGGCCTGACTCAATGCATCATCGGCTGTCCCATTCGATGCAATTGTTGAGCCCCAGTGATATTGTCGGACCATCTCCTGTGACCTCCAACGGCACCGAGACCACGGAAATCGAGGACGATGTTGCCGACGATGTCGAGCAGGATCACGGAGCGGGAGGAAATTCCTACCGCCACTCAGATGTGAGTTACAAAGAGCTCAGTAGTGCATCAGGACTCCGCTAATATGGATTATAGAATCTCTTGCTTACCACAAACCTCCCCGAAATCGTTCGTCAAGGTAACCCTGAAGAAGCCGTCTCCGTGATCCATGCTCCGGAGAGCTTCGCCAGCTGGGTAAGTAATTTTGATGCGACGAGTGCGGTATGAAACTGCAAGACAGCTAAACCTGCGCAGGTATCCAGCGAGCCTTCTGCCAAATCAGTCACCTCAACAGAGAGATCATCTCCCCGAGCCGATGGCGCCAGCCAGCCATCCTCTACTGGGACCTTCAACAGTGTGAGTTCATTCTCTCTGGTTGATTTGATAGGTGTTTCGCTAACAGTCGTCATGTGAAAAGCCTCCTAGCCATCCTGCTCGGCCTCCCATCTCTACTGATGTCAAGCCTGTGCGATACAGCCTAGACAGTGCCACACCGCGAGCACAAGACTTGCAGGACATGCTCGTAGATGGTAGCCGACTGCGTTCGAGCAGCACCAGCAGTCTTGAAAGTTGGTTTCTCTTCCAGCGTCAACGGCATCGGATCATGGCTAACAAAGGGTAGAAATCGACGAGCAGACTGAAGCCGAGGGTGACGACGACGAACCTTTTCCTCACGTGCCTCAAGTGGCTGATGAGATTGGCGATTTACGGACTCTCCTTCATGAGTCCTGGACGCTGTGTAACACCCTGGCCAATTTAAGCTCGATGCATCGACCACGAGCCTTTAGGGACTCGGGAACTCCTGATGCTGTTGAGAGAGCCTGGAAAGCGTGCTGGAAGCTCTGCCATCGCCTTTACGACAACCAGGATGAGGACCCTGCATACATGAGCGTCAAGTTCAACCTGGATCTTTGTCGTGACTTTTGCCAAGCGCTATTCGATGTCCGCGATAAGAAGGACGAGCTGGCAGACTCTGTCCTCAGGGTTAGCTTTGAGCTGAACAATCAGTGAGTACTTGCCACGCTCGATGTCAGTGTTTTTCCCTTCGACTGACCTCATCGCTCCCGCAGTTTATACAGCGCACAAGACAACCGAAACCTTCCAGAACAGTTCCGGGAACGGACTCTCGACTTCTACATCACCCTGTGTCATCGTCTCATGAAGCAGCGCGGTGAACTCCTTGGCAAGACTGATCAGCTCCTAGGAGCTTGCTGGGCCCTCGCCGAGATGCTCTTCAGTCTGCGTCAGAACAGACTGGGCGGCAAGCCGCCGGACGGCGAATTGCTCCTCTCTGCAGTTCAGGCATGCTGGGGCTTGGGCGACATATTCAAGGACAGCTGGGCCAAGGTGAACCCGGACAGGAGCACTCCTCGGCCATCCCAGAGCTTCTTCTCCCACTCTTCCGACCAGACTGGTCGTGAAAGCCGACAGTCAAATCGCTCGTCACGCCACTCAAAGCAAGTGAGCATAAAGAGCACTCATCAGGAAGAGCGGCCGCGAAAGCCTCCACAGGTCCCCGAAACCCCGGTTACGGAATTCGAAGACACACCAATTTCTCCCGAGAGCCGCTCCCCCCAGATGCCCAATCTGCTGGTGCTTGGCCCTTCCAGTGACGGTGGCCGAGGCGGCAGATGGTCCAGCAGCGCATCCAACCTGTCAAGCTACTCCCACAGCAGCAACAGGACTTCGAGCACCGCGACGACAACTACAGCAACCGAAGACCCCAATGTCGCACGTGCAAAGATCCTTGTCCTTCGAGCCGCTATGACTCTCGGATTCGACCGTGATGCCATCACCGACCCGAAGACAGCCCCAGCCCAGCTGCAGAAGTTTGTGCAGAGCCTTCCCGCAGACGCGTTTGGTTCTTCGCCAAGGGAAACGACGCTCCTTCAACAATACAAGAACTCGGTGCTCATGGACGCATTCATCCCACGGAGTAACACAATACCCTCTCGCGGCAAGAGGGTTCCGGCGGTGGATATGGCAAAGAGCATCCAGACCTTGGCCAACAGCTCGCCTCGCTATGCCTACCTACGTGATCTCTTCGGATTCGTCTTCAACTTTCCCATTGAAGAGGTTGATGCTCGACGACACACCAGCATTGCCGTCTAAAGACCCTTTATACGTTATGAGGCACACATGTGCCAAGGAAACATGAAACAAATGAATTGAGAGCAACGCAAAAGAAGCCAGAGCAAGGAAAGGAAGGGACACATATTGATGAAGGGTTGGCGAACCATCTTTCCTATGTCATTACGCTCCAGATACCCCCTTTACACTATACGTTGCGTTGATCACGGCCATGGTACGAAGCGGAAGGCTTCGCTCTGTGTGTGCAGTCAGAGGATTATGGATTTGTCGAAGGGTAGAGCGGTACACAATCATTCTTTTCTTGGATCATGATGTTTGATGCCGATACGTCGCCGCAAGGCAAGAGAGTTAGATGTTGCTTGGGTTTGCAACTTGGAGGCTATTTGTCAGTTGAATACTCTTTTTGTCAGATTTATCGTAGCACTTTTGTCAAGCATAGCGGGCGGGGTGCAAGTCTACTTTTAATCGATTCACTTTTCTTTTTCTCTCTTTGCCTCCCGTTGTACTGAAATGGGGTCACTGGATGTGTGATTGAAGCTTGCAATAGACTATGAATATAAGAACTCTGCGGGTATATGTTGAGGAGCAGTCTGTGAGCAAGGCAAGGACTTCTTTGCTGTGCTCGGTACGGTATCGAAAAACAAAAAACAAGGAAATAGATAACGAAGAGGAGAGGTCAAAGAAAGTAGATAAGCAGAAAAACGACTCCATCCTGTCCAGTGCCTCTGATGTAGATTCCCAACGAGTACCTATCATTTTCCTTGAACTGTAATCCATTCCGCTCCATCCCTACGTATCAAGCCATTCCATTGCTTCGAAGAAAAGCGAGAAAGAGATTCCATTCCGTTTACTCCAACAAGACAAGTCAAAAAATCAGTGACTACAAAAGGGAAATGGAAGAGAAAGCAAAGAAAAAGGCATGGTAAGTCAAAAAAGAAAGAGAAACAAGAAGAAAAAAGGGGGGAGGCAGCTAATGATAAGGGGAAACCCTCGGGGAGTAGGAGCCTCAATCTTGTTTTCGAAGAGCAGCATACCAATGCCATCAACAATGGTGAGTTCAGCCTCTCCTGACTTCTTCCGGTCAATCAATCCCTCACACGGCATCCTCGGGCGCCGAAGAAGGTTGAAGCGCAACTGTCGCAGCCGCCGCCGAGTATTCGCCGTGAGGACCGAATAGGATATTCGGATCGATTGTTCCGGCGAAGTCCTCTGGGTGAAGCTGCGTATCAATGTACAGCTGCTGCTGCGGCTGCTGCTGCTGTGACTGCTGTTGCTCAAAGGGTGTCGGGGGATGAGCGTGGTGATGAGGCTGCATCTCCGGACGACCCATGAGCGACGGTGTGAAGCTGTGGCCAGTTGAATTCGCCGCCGCCGCTGCCGCCGCCGCCGAGGCCGTGAAGTGGGCGTTCTGAAAGGAAAAGTCGGCGGACTGCGGCGAGATGACGGGGGTGAAGGCGGGAAAGTCGAATGGCGAAGGGGGCGTCATCTGAGACCAGTTCTAGTGGTTCTCTGCGACGCCTCCGACCGTCAGGATGGGCAGGTTGGTGATGTGCTGGGCTGACGGCGTCCCGGTGGACAGCTCCTGGAAAGTCGGCATGGGCTGGTATGTGATGACGGAGTGGTTGTTGCTGTTATTGTTGTTGTTGTTGTTGTTGCCCAGGTTTGGGGTCGCTTGTGTCTCGGAGACGGGGAGATGAGAGAAGGAAGAGGCGTCGACGGGATACTGATGATGCTGCCCGCTGTGAGTTCTCTGGCTCGGATGCTGGAGCTGCTGTTGTTCGACATGGTGCTGAAAGGGGGAGGGGGCAAGGTCCGGCAAAGCAGGCGAGAACTGCAGAGTAGAATAGGGCATTGGCTGATTCGACGGCATCTGCAGCTGATACTGCGTGGTGACGGGCATCTGGGACATTATGCCGGCAGTCTGCTCAACAGGACGATACAGGTCCTCCATCGTCGTAGCAGGCAAGGCTGGATAGACAGACATGTAGGCATCGGGCACCGCGCTGTCGCCGCCACTCGGAAGAGCTGCTAGATTGCCTGCTGGCCAGGTGTCCTGCGGCTGCACAGGAGCCGTCCACATGTCGGTCGTGTGCAGAAACGGCAGTGTGTCGAGTTGCTGCTGGGCAGGTAAGTTGCTGTGTCCCCCAGTCTGCAGGGTGGTGTCGAAGTAGTTGTCCGCCAGGGACAGCGCCAGCGGAGAGCTCGATTGGACGCCCAGCGAAGAGGGCTGGAGACCTGTCGTGTTCGTGCTCCTCTTCCACTGCTGCAGCGGCGTCCTGCCTTGAGCGGCCCTTGGGGTAGACTCTCGAGAGGCAGCCGCTTCAGGTCGAGAGTCTGCTCGCTGTGGCCCGGTGATTCTCTTGACCAGCCTTTGGGTTGGGAGAGAAGCAGCACGTTAGGAGATTGATGTTACGCACATTTGCAATACCGATAGGGATGAGAAAAGGGCTAGGGGAAATGACACGTACCGTTCACTAAGGTCGCTCGACTCATCGACGCTCCTCTTGCGCTTCATCCGTGGTGTTGTCGTCGTCGCCGCTTCGTCCTTTAGCTCTCGTCTCCGTTCCCCTACCTTGTGTTGTGACGACGGCCCTGCTCTGCTGGGGCTTCTGAGATTAACGTCATTCTCGTCGTCTTGCTCACCTTCGTCGTTGTGCTCCTTGCGGCCACCACCACCACCACCACCACCAAGCTTCGGCGATACGGCGACCCTTGGAGGTCGAGCATTCACCAACGGGCTGCTATAAGAAGGGAAAGATGTGCCATGTTAGCTTCTGTCATGCACATTATGTCCTCTATTATACAAACTACTCCAATCTTCACGGAATAAAGAGTGGAGTAGAAGTATGTATGTAGTAGGGGGAAAAAGGGGGGGGGGGGGGGGGGGGGGGGGTCGGGGGGGAGACGTACTTGAACCTGGGATCCTTGCCGTACTTGTTCTTGATATATCGAATCTGGTTATGGTTCAGGTGGCGGCCAAACTTTTCATGAAAGTGCGTCTGGATGTACGACTGCTTCTTCTTCCCGACGACGGCGGAGAGAACCCAGTCAATCTCATCGTCCAAGTACTGCGCCGCGCCAACCATGGCTGCTATGCTTCTGCTTGTCTTGTTGCTCTCGCAGAGCTATGCGTGACGTCTTGCTATGGTGCAAGCAACAAGGCTTTGACACCGTCACGTCTCCCCAAGAGTCTCTCTTTCTCTCTCTCTCTCTCCTTGGGAGCCAGAGGCAGAAATTGCCAAAGCCAAAAGGTACGACAAGGTACGACTTGGGCAGACTCTCCTATATCGAGTAGTATCCCAAAAGAGAAGACGCAAGAAGACGAAAGCGTTCTCCCCTTTGGGGGAGGTGCTCAAGAAGCCTGGAGAGTGCTAGGTTTCACAACACCTTTGTACGCTTCCAACGGAACTTGGTTGTAGCCTGGAAAAAGGCACCTTTCGCGTCCTTGTTTGGTAACTTTGTTCAAGAGATTGTTTACGCGAAAAAAAAAGGCAGGCAACGGGAGAGAGAAAGAAGAAGAAGAAGAGACCCGAATAAGCCGCCGAGATCTGCAAACACTTGTTTCGGAAGAGTAAACAGAGACACAAAAGGGGGGGGGCGGAGGGAGGTTGCTGTCAATATGAGGACGAGAATCCACACAGATGGCACCTAGATATTCGGAGTAGGTAGGCTTCAAGCCGAGATCACGGCCAAGAACAAGAAAAGGAACCAAGTAAGGGGTAATTCTGTAGAGTATCAGCAAGGCGTTGTAGAATTCCTGGAAGAGAAAAAGAGAGAAGAGAAGAGGAAAAGGAAGAGGAAGAAGAAAAAAAATGAGTTCCAACTTGAATGTCCGTCGGCGAGGAAGTCCGTGTCCGATTCAGGCCTGATCTCCCAGGCGGCAAATGGAGACGCTTGACGCCCGGGGTTTCCTGTGCAGCCTCTTCTTTTTTTTTTCTTTCCCGCGATCACGCGGCTGTCTCTCTTGCTCTCGCCGCCTTGCGGAGAAAACTCTGGTTCGCAGAGAATGAGGAGCAGAGAGACGGTGATTGTGGTGTTGCTGATGCCGATGATTCTCCTCACACTCGTGAGTGAAAAATGGCAAGATTTGCTTCCGTAAATCAAAGTAACAACGCGCTTGTTTGCGTCGACACAAACAAAAACCGCCCCAAGCGACCAAGACGATCGATGCTCAGAAAGTGTCGTGATCCTCAGATCGTTCAAAGTTCAGAACCCCGGGGAAACGGAAGAATCGAGGGTGAAAGGGGGGGGGGGGAGTGTACTAGGGAAAAGAGCAGGCAGTAGTAATAGTAAGAAGCCAAACCGGGGAGGCAAAAGGGGAGAGAGAGGGGGGGGGGGAAGGTAAGTAGAAGAGACACCAGAGAAGACAGGAAGCTTTCCCCGGATACATAACGAAAGAGAAAAACAGACGGCCCGGTCGTTGGAGCGTGTATTCTGATTCAGAGTACAGCCGCGAGAGAGATTCAAGAGTCATGCCCACGTGCCACGTCATGCAGCCTTGTCTATTGTGCCCACAGAACGAACAATAACGCAACAAATGAGGAGCCGAGAATCGACCGCTTCTGCTTTGCCAATAGGAGGCGCTCCGGCTTGGGCGTGTGGATTGAGATCGAAGCGGAATGCGTCTGCCGCTTCCCCGTCTTCTGCTGCTCCGGATCGTGATGGTGAATCATCGTATCATGTTGGAGAAAGACTCCGGAAGCTATTGCGAGTGCGAGGCAGCAAACGGGGTTCACGCGGGCCGGTGAGGTCATGTAGTTCGAAACGGGAGACGGTGTGCTCTAGGTGCGTGGGCGTCAAGAAATATAGCCGCGCGAGTGTATCTCGTCACAGGTCTATGCAGGTCTAGGGGCCATGTAGATGTTCGTGTCCGTCATCGTACGTGATCATAGATCATCATCGTTCTAGCGGGGGTGTCTATATGAGTCCATGTGTCTAAAGGTCTCCAAGCTCTAGTCTATCAAGGTCCTTTTGTTTTCCCCCCTCCCTTCTATCCGTCGTCTATCGTCTATATCCCACCGACACTCCTCATCCTCGTCATCACTGATTCATGATATCACGTCGTCAAAGGTGACCCGCCCCGCGAAAAGATGCCCAACCAGCACTTGACCTGGCCCTCCTCCTCATCCTCGCCCCAATCATCCTCCCCGGCAAGCTCGCTCTCCTCCTCGCAGAACAGCGGCGTCTCCAGATCCAGCATGGCCTGCTTGAAAGCCTCCAGGAGCCTCCGCGTGGTGTCATCCCGCTTGGGCACCATGACCACCGCCCTGGATTCAGAGCCGAGCGCGAGGTTCTGGCAGATGGCCGAAGCGAGAAGGCCCGGGTGATCATCGTCGTACATGGGATCAGCAGCGAGGACGAGCTATTCGGCAGAAAAAAAAACAAACAGCATTAGACACAGCAGTCATACACGAAGATCATGGTAGTGAATAATAATAAACTTGCCTTGAACTGAAAGGGTTCTCCAAAGAGGTCCTGGTCAATCTCGTCCTCCCCTCCACCCCAGGTAAGCGGCCCAACCGACATGGATCCCCCGCGAGCCTCCACCAGGCTCCTGTTCCTCTCCGTGTTGTCCTTGAGATTGGGCACAATGTTGGGCAAGTCGCTCAGAATGACATGCGTCTGCCACAGCGCCGCCGCCGCAACGCCCAGCAGCCCCGTCCCCGAGCCGAGCTCCAGCACCGTCGGCGGCGGCTGCCCCAGCGTCTCGTCAAACAGCTTGAACAGCGACGTGGCCGCCAGCCGCGGCAGATGGCGCGACAGCACGTACGACGACCCCCACGTCTTGAAGCCCAGCGAGTCGCCCGTCAGCGCGGGCTCCTTGATGATGAGCTCAAAGGGCTCGCAGGCCACGCCGTCCCCTTCAAACGGCCACCGCCTCGTCACCTCGCCCATGGCCGTCCTGCCGCACCGCTCCGACATGCGCTTGCTGGCGAGCTCCCAGAGGACCTCCTGCTTGTCGTAGTCGTCGATCCAGGCCAGCGGGCTCTTGATGACGGACGAGAGGTAGCGCGTGACTTCGGCCTTGCGCTGGGTCGCCAGGGATTCCTGCTGGGCGAGGATGTCTGCCTGTCGCTGCCTGTGGTTCCAGACGGGGGGGCTCAGCTCCAGGCTCTGGAGGATGCCGAGGAGCTCTTCGTAGCTCGGCCGCTGCCACATTTGCGGGAAGTCTTCCGGTGCGAGAGACGCCATGATGAATGATGAGGTCGTTGTGAAAATCGCAAAGCCAATCAAAGTCGTAAAGTAAAAGAAAAAGAGAAAGAGAGAGAGAGAGAGAGAGAAATAGATGAACGAGCGGTAAGGAGATGCCAAAGACGCCGTGAGACCAATCTCAAGAAAAAGAAGGAAAAAGAAAGCCTCTCGTGCCGAGAGCAAAGTTCTAAATGGCTATCATGATGAAGTCGTATATCGTGATATATCTTCTAAGTGTCCAGCAGTCGCGTTGTTCTCACAGAACCACAAGAGGGCTCCTATAAAGAAACCTTTTCAAGAGAAGTTCAGCTCACATACAGAATGTCACCGCACAAGAATGACAAAATTCCAAAAAAGAAGAAAAAAAATCGGACCCTCTGACTTATGTAAGCAATAGGGAAAAGGTACTCCAGGATTCCGAGTGGAAGGAATCACCAAAAGAAGTGGAACCTCCTTACACCCCACGTGGGGAGAACCTTCCAAGCCCATTTACCTGATGTACATGCAAGTACTCACCTTACCTTACCTACTAGTACTTTAGGTATTTTACTTACCTACCTACCTATTTACCTCAAAGGCGCACGCAGCAGCAGAAAGGAAAAGTACCTACCTTATAAAAACGATAAAGCAATAGTATGCACCAACAAGGACTCGACTGGTGGAAACGCGGCCTTGAAAGAAGAACCTGGAACAGTAACAAACAGAGCGCAGATTACATCCGCCAGACGGTGCTATTTTAGGACAAGACACACGGACGCTCCATCGCGGGCTGACCTACCTCAATACCTACCGTAGGTGTATCGTATGGTCCTTGAAGCCAATCTGATAAATTACAGTACTCAACATGGGGTCGGCAAGGTGGCAAATCACATCACATCCATCCATCCATCCATCCATCCATCAATCAAATCATCAAATAGCACTCAGTATCTTGCATATTATTAGCAGGACCATCAGGAAAAGGGGACCTGCACGCTCTAGTAGGGTAGCTCCCACACATCTTCCATCTTCCATCCCCATCTCCCATGACCTTAGTGCAAAGCAATAGTAGTGCAAAAGTATTCAGCTATTCCTAGTACCTAGTGTATCCATCAAATCAAACAAGCCCCAGCATGAAACAAAACGCGATACAGCAAACATCCAACCCGAGTTGTTTCAACGTCCTGCAAGCCCTTTACACTCCGTTCCGTGACTCCTCGGCCCACGGCTAGCACCTGAATCCAGTCACTAGGTACAAGAACTAAGGTAAATAGCCTTGAGGTAGGTAGTAGTAGGTAGGTATTGAGAGAGTGTGTAAGGTAGTACCTGGGTACCTTACACTACCCTACCAGTACCTGGCGCATACCTGCGGCCAGCCACATTCTAGAACCCAGCAGCATCCGATCCGGCCAAAGCCGCTGATCAGCAGAGAGATCTTCATGCTGATGTTGATCCCCTTCGCATGCCATGGCTTAGCAGCGCGGCTGCATCCATCCCTCGCGCAAGCCGCGGCAGAATGACATCAGCACCATCGTCACGGGCATGCAACAATAAGACTTCATTCAGCGAACAGGTTTCCTCATTTTTTTGGGGCCTCGTTGCGCGCACAAGGCTTTTTCTGTATCTGGCATCTACTGCTGTACCTCCACCTATAACAGGTATTCCATGCCGGCTGTGTAAAGCCAGAGGCGCTTCAGCACTACCTACTCAATAATCGTCGCCCGCGTACTCTGTGCCAGGGCCTTGCGGGTGAAAAATTCCATCAAGCAATTCAGTCAAATCATCCTCTGCTCGTCTCCTTGCTCGAGACTCTAAAATCGAATGGTATCAAGCCATATCCTGCCTGCGCCAGAGCGTGCCTATCCTAAAGGCCTCGCTGCGAGATGCAAAAATCCGTTGCCCAAATGTCCTTGGGGTAAATGCACAGGTGCTCATTGTTTGCCGGAACGCCACAAGTAGTAAAAAGAAAAAGAAGGGAAAAAACAACAGAAAAAGCAAAAACAGCCGGTCCCTTTTTGGTGCTATTATCGAAATCGAATCGTCATTTCAACTTGTGAATCGTAAAGTCTCCCTTGTACGTTGGGGGCATTGGAGTTTCTCTCGCTGTAGTATTCGAGGACGTGGGCGCTGGCAAAGCCCAGTCCTTGCAGTTTCAGTTCGAGGTGCGTTTCAATGTGCAGTGCTCGTAGTCGTAGTCGGAGGGCCCTTCGTGCTTAATCTCTCGCGGGCGAGCACTCCCTGTAAATCTCCTTCTTCAGGGCTTCGAGTCGGCCTCTCATATCAATCAGGTCGGACAGCTTTTCGCGAGGCGGATTATCCAGCGCCGAGATCTCGTGGTGCAACGCCTCATATTGCTGGTAGTAAGTCCTAAACTTAGTAGCCTTACGTACGATATCCATCGAGACGCTCTCGGCCGGGCGCCGCTTCGCAGCCAGAGGCTTGGACTCCATATCCGCCTTTCGCTTCATCTTCGGGGCCGGCGGTGCGTCGTTGTCGAGGTCGGACGCGTTCGTGGGCGGCGAGGAAGCCAGGGGAGATGACTTGGTCGGCGACGTGTTCTTGCTCTTGAACGACGACGACACAGCCGTGCCACGGGAGTTGACGCTGGCGTCCGACGGGCGGTGCTTGAGCGCGGGCAGTGCCTGCTGTCTCGGCTTGATGCGCTTCGACAGCGGCGTTCCGGAGCTGGAGCTGGAGTCCTCCTCTTCCCGGGGTCTCTTGGCGGGCGCCGACGGGCGGGCTGGGGCATTGACGGGCGGCCGGCCGGCGACGATGACGGTGTCCTTGACCTTGGAGGCCGCAGGCTTCGGCTTCGGTTTGGCGACGGGAGGCGCAGCCGGGGCCTCATCGCCAGAGTCGTCCGAGTTGACAATGATCTCCTGGGACAGTATCCGTCTGTCGTTGCCCTTGGAGGCACCAGCCTTGGCCTTGGTGGGGGAAGCCTTTGGCGGAGCGGCTTTCGCCTTGGCCTTGGCGACACCGCCCTTGGAGGGAGCGAGTAACCGTTTGACCTGTGCCTCCTGACTGGTCGGTTTCTTCGCCTTGGTTGGGAGGGGGTTGGAGGCTGATCGTGACATCTTCTCGCCTCCAGCCTTTGCCTTGTCGGCGGCCATGCCATCGTCGGACGTGGATCCGTCGTCAGCCTTCTGCACCTTGATCTTGGGCGCGCCCATTGCGATGGAGGCCTGCAGCCGGCTCAGGCATTTGCCCCTGCCGCGCTCCTCCTTGGGGAGCAGCTTCTGCCACACAGCCTCGGAGGAAGAGAGCCTCTGCTTGTCGTATTGGCGGATCGCATTGTCGATGGCGTTCTGCCGCTCCTCTTGGGAGGGGTAGTTGTAGCTCCATACGTCGAGCTCCTTCCAGTACGTCTTGCGCATGGTCCAAGTATCTGAGGCGGCGTTGTGCTCGGCCACCTTTTCGAGGGTCGGCCGGAAGTCGTGCTCGTTGCCCTCCCACTTCTTCCTCAGGTATTCGGTCGACCGGTCTTTGGCGGCCAACTCGTGAACGAGAATCACACGCTGCTCCTTGGCACGTTCCATAGCTTGCTGGGATGCAGTGAGTGTCGGGTTCAACGAGGGCGAGGTGATGTCGTGGAGGCTGGGCGAGGTGGGCAGAGAGGCGGTCTTGGAGCCATAGTCGGAAATTGGCTTCGCCCTCGACTTGGCCGACGCCTTGGCCTCGGGCACTTTTGCGATGCGAGCTCTGACAAAGGGGTGTTAACACACACACAACACCAACAGCGACACGCAGATAGCACAAACCTCTCTCGCGCTGCTTCATGTGCGGCTAAACCATTTTGCAAAGTCTCAATGTCAGAATCTAGCCCAGGAGTAGACGCCTTGCGGGAGGGCCTACCAGGCTTCGCAAAGACATTGCTTGTGTATGGGATTCGCTCCGCTTGGCGGGTGGACTCGAAGGGCCGGGTCAGGTATATGTCGTAATCGGCAGAATCGTTGGGAGGAGCGATGCGGTGCGTCTTGGAGCCGTATTGGATTGACTAAAACAGACAAGGAGCACAGAGCAGTCAGCACATCAAGTTGGCCCAATGGTGGGTTTCCCCCCCTTGTGGGAGACACTGAGCTGGAGAGGGAGAGGACGGTCCCGAACTTACGGGAGTTGAACCCAGCGAAAGGCGCACATCCTCGCCGCTGCGTGACGACTGGATGATGGACTCGATAGTCGACTTGTCGAGCTGGACGTGGAAAGCCTGAGGCGGCACGTTGGACTCGGAGCCGGACTCGGTCAACCGCAGGCCGCCTTCCGGGACCTTGAGCGAGTTCATGTCGGCGACTGGCGATTGCTTGGTGCGTGTGCGAGGTTCGAGAGAATGCAGCTTCCCAGTCCGCAGACGAGGCAGAGAAGAAAACACCGGGAATTTGCAGACGAGGGTTCGGATGTGGGAGTTTGGTTGCAGCAGCAGCAGCACGGGTGCTGCGTTTAAATAGGATCCGCAGTTGAGCTCGAACTTTGGGCGAGGGCTTGTTTCAATCAGACTCAACTGAGGAAAACAAACTCTATGAATGGCAAGGCGGACGCCACATGATCGATTGAAGGTTCGTGGCGCCCAGGAAGTGAACAATAGGGTGCGAGGCGGGCGAAGCCAAAGTGAGGCCAAGGTGAAGCGAAGCCGAAGTGAATGAATGGGGGAAGACAAAGGGCGAGTCACATCCAGGCAGCGCGGTGGGCCAGCCAATACAGGACGGGACTGGGTGCTTTGTCGATCCGGGCCTGCTGTGTGCAGATAGCCAGAAAGGCGGCGGAGGAGCGCCAAAGGACTGAGGCTCGCGGTGGCAGGCAATCGCAGGCACAAAGACGGCGGGCGGATGAGGTTGCGTGGGAGAGGGAAAAGAGTGCAATGATGCAGCTCTCGCGGTGGAGAGTCAGTAGGTAGTGAGGTAGGTAGTAGGTAGTAGGTAGCAGCAACGGGAGAAGGGACTGGAGGCAGAAGAGCCCAGGCAAGGCCAGTCAAGTCCAGCGCAGTTGGGGGAGCGGAGACAATGGCGGACGGCGAGCGGGAGGGTGGGAACAGGTAC